AATTTTGTTTGTATAGCACTTAATGAGTTTAAGATGTAATGTTCATGTATTACTTGTGTATTTTCCTCAAGTATAAAAAATTGTAAATACAAATAATATCAGACTATTATTAAACTGTTCTAAAGTGTGCAAAAAAGAAAGTCAAAAGACTAATGCTAATGGACATATCTTTATCCCAGTGCCCCCCAAAGGGCTATCTGGTTTGGCACGGCTGAAATCTGGCAACCCTGCTGACCACTGATTGCAATATTGACTACTTTAAATTTGAGCTCCAATCCGCTGGCTTGTTTGTGTGGATAAACTATTGTTGTTTGATACAAGTAGCTTAAAGTGATACTTAACTGGCAGTAGCATGTTATTAGTCTTCTTAAATCCAATCAAGAACTTCTAACGTCTGGCACCCTGAGAAGTTCTACTGCTGAAGCTGATGTGAAATCAAGCTGTCAAATGGCTGGATTGATTAAAGGTTCTTTCGGTGTTGTTAGCGAGAGAGCTAGAACCTATGCTCCATTGTTCCAAACTTAGGATTTGATAAAATATTGTAATGACCACCACTGTCAAAAGTAGGGCAAGCATGGTTTCCAAGACGGACTCTGAAGTGTTTCAATACTACCGCATGTTTAGTACTTGCATAAATAGATTTTTTTTATTAGGGTTTTTTTGTATACTGTCAAGCAGCATTTTTGAGAGTCTGTTTGCTGAGCATGAACAACAGATCAAAGCTGTAAGGAAAAATGAACATGTGTATGGTTGGCTCTTGTTTTAACTACAGCAAATGGGTTTTAGCTCAATATGTGGGGAAGTGATGACTTGAAATGAGTGCAATCAAATTTTTAGGATAAGATTTTATATAACAAGTAAATAGAACATCTGTTTCTTCAAGTTACTGATTGTTTATTCTTGGAAATCTATCAGTGAATTTCAAAAAAGAAAAGCTCTGGACATCCTTTGACTTCTCTTGACGTCATATTGGATCATGTGGCAGACACTTTTGCAGAATGCACTTTCTAAGTACTATTCACGTGATGTCATTGATTTAAACATGGTTGAACAGTTTTTCTTTAATATGATACTTTTCATTCCTAATACTTTTTCTTTCTGTTTGTCCCTCTTGCAGATACAACAGAATAGCGCGGGAATGGACGCAGAAATATGCCATGTGATGTTGGCAGGACACATTTATAAACTGTTGTTTATGCTCTCGTGTTTGGACACTGTCTTAAGGCCATTTTATCCCGTCTGTCTCTTATGGAGGAACAGTCCCGGTTATCTGCTCAAACAAGACTACAGCAAAACCTGCAGGAATCGCCACAGTTTTCGGGTCTAATCTGGATCTCATCCACCCAATGGAATCTGTTTTGTTTTTTTGTTTTTTTTCTCTTTGCTTCCTGCTTTTCTGCCTTGTGGTCCATGTGTCCAGTCATTTTCTCTGACCTCTCACCTCGTGCCACCTCTGTGTGACCGCAGTGCTGGCCTACTCAGGGAGAGGGAGTTTGACTGTGGGCTGTGCTGCTTCTTCAGGGCTGTATTCTTGCAATGCATGTCATCACAGGGTGCTGGGTCATTTTGCACAGCAGTTGCATTTATAAATCTGATTCCTCTGTTAAATCATAACGGTCTAGATCCTTCAGATCCTCTCTTGGCCCAGAGTTCACAGCTGTGGCAATGAAATGCAACTCAATTGGCTTAGATGTCCTGCTACTTTTATTTTCCCCCTCAATAAAGTTGTGTAACTCATTATCTGTGATCCTGTTCCATTTTTGTGAACCTAGCTATAGCATGTGATTTCAGGCTTATGTAATAAGCCAGTTCATATTTAGCAGTGCCTTGGGGGTCTGCTGGATCCTAAGTGCTGTCATCACATTTTTTGCTTATGAATTGACCAAAATTCTGAAACGAGTGCGTTTTGTTGGCTGTTTTAGAATTTAGTCCAATTTAAAAGTTAAAATCTGTTTAAATTACATTTGAAAGACAGATCCTACGTTAGCCATAATTACATTTGAGTGATGTTCAGATGGATAAAATAATTTGCCATTTGAAATAAGAGAATATGAGGGCTTCTGTTTGCCTAAAATTATAAAATGGATTATACCAGCACTGCACATGGCACCTATGTTCTGTACAGGCAGATTCTGGCAATTAACATCTGAAAGCATATATCAGGAATATCCATTTTGTAATGGAGACCCCTCCTGATTTTTTTTGTAATGGTATTAATCTTTTTGAATGTCTTACAAAATATACCTAAATATTAAATTGATGTGGTTCCTTTTTTCTAGCACTTTCTCTAGCCGGTGAGCAGCTGTATCTGTGAGCCAGCGGATGTGAGAGAAAGTTTACATGGTTCACTAAATATGGAAGAGGCCGGAGGAAATAATCTCGTATCCACTTTTGCATATATTCATTGATCTGAGGCAGATATAAATGCTTCTTTTACAGTGTGAACCGGAAAATGTTCTGTAAGGTTAGTACTAATACAAGAGATACTAAGAGAGGCCTTTGCCCGTGGTTTGTATATGCATATGCAGTGCAAAGGGGAACCTACAATAGAAATATGGCTCACTGCTAGCGTGAACATCATACTGAGTGCAGTCTAAGGTGGAGCCACAAAGATCATCTTGTAACTGAAAAATACTAACTTTAACAAGAAAATATGAAAGTAAGTGGATGTCAAAGATGTCTGTTTGTTTCGTATAAAATAGTTTGTGGATTGTTTGATCAAGCATGTTTCAAAATTTGTGCCTGTTTGAGCTTTGACTCACAACCAAGGAGTTCACATGCTATAAGACAGGGGTGGGGCACTGAGGGCCTGAGTCCAGCACTGTTTGGTGATTTCCCTGCTCTAGCACACCAACTAAACCTGGTAATTAGCTGATGAGTTGAAACAGGTGTGTCAGAATAGGAAAAAAGAAAAATGTGCAAGAATCCAGCCCTCCAGGACTGGAGGCCCCCACCCCTGCTTTAAGAACTTGGAAGGAGAAGTGCTGATAATACTTAACACTGAAATTAAAGAGTGTCAGAGGCTTTTTGTTAGTGTCACTTTTTTTGCTCTGCTGGTCACAAAACGTATTTTTTAGCTATGATATTAAATAGTCTCAGACTGGTAAAAGCCAGATGCATGCTAACATAAACTTGACTGACTCTGAAGCAGTAGTCTCCAACCCTGGCCCTGGAGAGCTACTTTTCTGCAGAGTTTAGTTCAAACCTGTATGCAATAAGCTGCCCCACCCATTACTTCTGATCCAGCCAATCAGGGACTTGGGAAGAGGCTGATTAGGGTGGCAATTCGTGGTTGAAACTAGGCTCTGCAGGAAGGTAGATCTCTGGGAGAAGGGTTGGAGACCAATGCTCCTTCCACGCCATGTTTTGATTGGTTTATATTACCATTATGTGCAGAATTCCACCCATATGATTTCCATATATGTATTTTCTGTTTTGCTTGTAACTTTGCCACAAAACTGTAGCACATCGCAGTGGAGGGGTCAATTGCTGGAGCCTCCCACTCCTTTATATGATTAGAGTCCTGGAACATCATTGGTCAGACCACAACTGTACAAAATGTTCATTCATTTTACATGAATATCCAGTGGAATTATGACAAAATACTGACACAAGCATTTTGATTGCAGCTCTTAAATAGTTCAGCAAAATTTTCATGAATTTTCACTTTAAATGCAGTCCATCAGCCAAATGATTTTACTTTAGTTTAGAACTGGAGCTCCTAGGCTAACTGTGCTGACAAACACTAGAAGGCAATAGTCACCCATACCGTTTCCACAAATACATGCCAAAAATTCATACATTTGCTTTGAATTGTGTCAGTGAGCTATGTAAAAAAGTTTTATAAAAATGCCATGGATAGACCTTATTTACACTTTTAAGCTAAAATTACAACTTCATAATCATTTACATAACGCTCTGCTTTTCTATTCTGGTAGGTTCCGACGTTGGAGCGCATGCGCGCTGTAAAATGTCACTATGCAGTTACGCAGTGTGAGCTCTGTAATACCGAAAGCGCGCTTAGTCAGCCTCACCTGGAAACACAGCGTCTGATATCTTTTGCACGCAAAGCTTGCCACAGCTATTCGGGGCAGCTATCGAGGGTTTTGTCAGTTGCCAGTCCGTGTACACATACGGCAGAACAGGCTGTGATTACCTGACGCAGATATGAACTCATTTGCTGATCAGCGTTAGTAACGTCTCTGTTTAGCCAACTCAGTACAATAACGCTGCAACCACAGCTGTCTCTCTCTCTCTCTCTCTCTCTCTCTCTCTCCTCGCTCCCAGCCGTAACTGTGTTAAACCCGTAACTTAGCTAACCTACTTTGTGAAGTTCGTCGTTCTTTCTCATTGTTATGATCTGGCCTTCACTATCACCTCGTCATTCATAATATTTGAAACTGCATGTACATATTAAAATATTAAATACATATAAATAATAAAACAAGCCAACCATTTCCTATCAGGTTGGCTAAGTTAGCTGGCCATGTTAAAGGTTCGAATTTTTACACTGTTATAAGAATATGTACACTCAAATAAAGAAACAAATCAAATTTTTCCACGAAAGGTTCCACTAATCCACCACAAATCCACAGAACATTTTGCTTGTAAATTTATTCTGTCGCGTTAGGCATACTTCTGTTGTGACGTTGTAATGACATTTCAGCTATTTTTTTTTACATTTATGGCGCAATTAAACTCATTTGTGAATTAGGAGAAATTCACTTTGTTTCAAAAGACTTGAAAAATACATATTTATCCAAATTAATTTGTTGATTTGGTTATTTGTTAAAATTGCATCAGACGACAACAGATTTTTAAAAAGTATTTCCTGACGGTGTACGGTGAGCTTCAAAGCAGCGGAATAGAAGTGCAGAACTTTTATTTTGACAGCCGAATCCCTAATGTGTGACGCAATTCAGCCAGCGGAGTTCCATTTGCCCGTGAGCGGAACTTGAAAAAAAGTTCTGCATTTGATTGGCTGATCAGCGGCGGTCTGCGGCTGAGACGGGTCTGTGTTCGGAATCGCTCCCTGTTACATGAGTAGTGCGCTACACGGTGAGTCGGTCAGTCTGGACTGCTGATGGAGGTCTCAGTGGTCAGTAGCTCCCAGTTCGTCCTCCAGTCCGTTCACGACACAGCGTCCGCTATGGTCCATGAATTAACAAGTGACTCTTTAAGAGCACAGATGCTGACTCGTGAAGTCGACTGGGCAGCAAGGCATCAAGGCGACTGCCTTCAGTTTCGGACACAGCCAAAGTGTAGCCGCCCCGCCCGGATCCCAGGTCCCTCCTTCTTTCCCTTGACTCTCCAATGACTGCATAGCAACTGTTACTATCCGCCATTTTTTCGGTCAAGCATTCGGGACTATTAAGAAGCGCGCAAGCGGTTTCTTACGGACATATTTTGAATTCTGAGCTCCAGATATGGTCAAACGGTGTGTGTGGGGGAACTGTAGAAGCGACACACGATACCCTAACAGAGTAGAGGGTGTCTCTTTCTATCCGTTTCCTAAACCAAAGACAAATTTTCAGAAATGCCAGCTCTGGATTCGTCTGTGTGGTAGACCACAACATCGGCTGAACATAGACACCATCAGCAAGAACACCTACGTCTGCTCAAAGGTAAGGCTGCTGTTTAGTTGGTGATGTGAGATGTTTTGACTGAATAACCTGTGTGTATGAATGAACTCCTGTAAAAAGTCCCAATCTTAACAATCCAAACATGAAGTTAGCTGTAGTGCTAGAAGTTATCCTTTGCTGAGCCTTTTCTTCACTAGAAACAGGTGTTATTTTATCTTACTTTCTCAGGTCAAGCCCCTTGGGGCTAATAACTGATAGATGCCATCGTTGTCGTTTTATGTTATTCAGGATTCTCGCTGATCCTTAAGGAGTCTACTAAGTCTTTAAACGGGTTTTAAAAATGTAAGGCCATAAATAGTCTGAAAGTGTCTTTTTTTACTATTAGAGGTATTGTATTCAAAGAGGATGCCTAAAGAGATCTTAGACTAACTCAGAATAGTTCTCTAACCAGAAATATTCAGCTGACAGCAGAAGGACCATGCAAGTAAAAGAGTGACCAGTTAGTTGAGCTAGACAGGGGAATTAAGAAGAGGGCCAGTGACCATGCCATGCCGTGCATTTATCTCATAATAATAATACACCTATCTGAACGAAATAGACGTTAATAAATGTCATATTTGCGTTTGTGTGTGTTTTTGTGTAGTGAAAATGGTTCTGCTTGTCCTGTGTTGAGATTAAAAAACATTAATGTATGTTTAATGTATTTAAGCACTTTGTCAATGGAGGCCCAACAGAAGAGTTCCCAGATCCACTGGATGCACTGGATGAGAAGAATACCCCCAGATCACCTCCGAAGAAAAAGTAACCTATTAATGCCACATATTATTTGGCTTATAAAATGTTAGCTATCTGGCTTGCTGTTATATATGTCTCTAATCTGTGTGTGTGTAAATGTGTGTGCGTGCGCCATGCAGACAGAGGTGCGAACTGACGGAAACCATAAATGCAAGTACAGAGGTTATTCCACCCGACAACACAAGTAAGTTTCAGTTTTGTTGTATCTATTCAACAGTTTATCACAAACATTCCTCTTAACCTTTTTTAAGTGAGCAGTTAATCAGGCACATTGTAGTGAGCTACTAATTCACTATTCAGCTGCATAAAAATACTTAATATGAAAGTTGCAAGGCTCTTCAATAAACAGTCTTCAATAAACAGGCTGCCCAGTCTGCTCATAAACATCTCTGCTAGGTTATTAATTATTATAAGGTCAAAGAAATCAAGGTCAGACTTACCTGCAGGTTAACACACATTTTCCAAGACTGGTCATTTCAGGGATGTTAAGTGTGATTGCTCTGTCAAAACAAGAGCATCTTTACTTGATGTGCAGCTAAATTGTTGGTGAACTACAAGTACTATTGTCAGCTCACAGAGCACTGAGAAGAAATGACATTTTACTAATTAAAATGCAAATGTATTGCATTTTTAAATTTAAATGCGTTATGTAAATGATTATGAAGTTGTACTTTTAGCTTAAAAGTGTAAATAAGGTCTATCCATGCCATTTAAGGACACAGCAACTGAGTTTAAGAACCCATCGTTGTCTAGCTTAAAGTCATGTTAAAATGTTTATTTCCTCTGCTTGTTTAACCAAATAGATGAATGTTCAAAAGAATGTGGCTTCAATTATGCGCATATCTCTGGCACTAAAAGGGCATTTCACTCTAGCAACCCAACCCAATATAAACACAATATAAAACTAATTTTCTTGCAGCTACATTTAAATGATTCTGAAATTAAGCTAATATTCTGTAGGTGTAATATAACAGTAGTAGCAAGTAATACAATTTAAGGAACTTCTGGGTGATGAGAAGAGCTGTAGGTGATGGCATAATAATTGAGAAAGCTGTATAGCACTGAGAATGAATTTATGATGAAAAATAGTGTATGGAATGCCTCATTTTCGAATAGCAGTGACCAAGTTTAAAAAAACAATTATTAGTATGACATGTGATTCCAGATTTTTGAAAGGTAGAAGGAGATATATTAAGCAACATTTTCCATTTTAATGACTATGCGAATTTTGAAGCAGTTAACTGGTCATGTTTTCAGTCCCAGCTTGGAGTTTGTCTTTGTGTTTTTTGCCTGGTGAAGTGTGAATTCATGCTTGTATTGAAGTGCTGGCTTGATATTGTCACTGCACAAAACACATTGGGATATCAAAGCAACCACATTTTGGGTTAAAAAATGTTAGTTGAAGACATAATGACAAAATAGGAAAAATATTTATTAGTAGCTGCTTTCATTGCATATGTGTTCAACAGAAAACTGAGTGCTGTCATGTTTCGTTTTTGAATCTAACTTCTAGCTCTGGCACGTGAAGCTGACCTTATCCCGTATGGAAGTGTGGACATCATGGCAGGAACAGGAGGCATGGCACTAAGGCAAATCAAATCAACATCTGTAGAGGATTCACTGAGAATGACCGCCTACATTCAGTCTGAGGAAATTAAGCATCTGAAAAAGCAACTATCTGAATTACAGTATATCAGTGTGACACCTGAATTAATCAATAACAGCAACATCCCTAATTATTTTGAATTTTGTACTGGATTCACCTTTGACATGTTTAATCGTCTGTGCGCTTTTCTTAGAGTCCCCACTGACTGCATAACTCCACAAACACACATTCCTCTCACCTACAGAAAGGAAACTTGGCACACAAAAAAGATGCCCTTTCGCAATCAGTTCTTGCTTGTTTTGATGAAATTGCGCAACAACTATGACATGAAGGATCTGGCGTTTAAGTTCCAAATTGATGTGAAGAGCACAAACTTAATTTTCAATGCTTGGATAAACTACTTATACCTCCGGCTGGGTCAGATACCAGTATGGCCACACAGGGACATTATCACAGCTCGCATGCCAGACAACTTCAAGAAAGACTTCCCCACGACATTTGCACTTTTGGATTGTACAGAATTGAAGCTTGAAAGACCAACGTCACTGCTGCTCCCCAGTCAGGCCGTCTCTGATGGCAAATCCTCAAACACGCTTAAAGGGCTAGTTGCATGCGATCCTCGTGGATCCATATTATTTGTGTCCATGCTTTACGCTGGATCAATTTCAGACAAGGACATTTTTCAGCAATGCAACATCACCTCTCTACTTTACAGTCTCATTCAGGTTGGCTACCTACACCCAGGTGATGCTTTGATGGCAGACAAAAGCTTCCAGAATGAGAAAGATGTTGAGGAAATTGGTCTGTGCCTCAGCATACCCCCGTTTACAAAGGGCAGTGAGCAGAAGACAAAGAAAATGGCAAAACACAAAGCAAATGTCAAGAGAGCTGTTGCAAAAATAAAAAAATTCAAAATAGTGTCTGATAAAATTCACACCTCCACACTTGGTAAGATTAATCAGATTTGGTTTGTGGTCAGCATGCTGACAAACTTTCAGCCACACATTTTGGGTCAGTAGGTAACTTAAAGAGGATAAAACCTCTCCCTATGCATTGTTTACCTCATAACTCAGTCAACTCCATATGGAGTCTCGCTCAGCTATTTTAATGGGTTGATTGGCCCAAGTCCCTGTCATACTTCTGAAGTCCCTATCATATTTAAGAACTCAACATCTGCATCTTTGACCTCCAAAACTTGAGCTGCGGGTGAGAAAATGTTGATTGTTACTGTAAATATGAACTGTACATACACAGTAGCTGTAGGTCACAAAATGACTGAGATTGTACTCTTTGATAGTTATATATCAAAACCTGATTATTTACTAGCAAACATTCATTATATTGTTACTGCAGGAAAAAAATAAAACTCAACAAATTAAAGTGGAGATGTGTCATGTTGCCCTTTTTTACAGGCTACGCTGGTCAGTTTGTGCAACAAGTGGAATACATACTGGTTATCTGAGAGTTCTGTCATGACATGTTTTCTCTTGTGTTCAGTTTTGAGTTCTGTCACTTTATGAAGTTCTGTGGAACTTCGATAAGGAACATTCTAACGTTATAATATCATAAAACACTATTACAGTCTATCTAGCACTAACTCATCTGTTAGATTTCTGATTTGATCACACTTTATTTATAAGTATTTACTGATCCCACTTGTCCAGTATAGAATTAGCAGTACCACTGTTCTTAACAGAATGAGTTAACCAAAACCTTCCTTTCAAATTCTGTCTTTTAAACTGAACTGAACGGGCAAGTATATCTTTAAGAGATACAATAAGATCACAAAAAAACTACAAATACAAAACTGCACAGTAAGTTCAGTATTGTGCAGTGTCAGAGACCACCATAAATTAATTTATTTTCTGGTCAGAAAGGTCATTGGGCAGATGTAAAATTGAGTAATTACTTTCTGTCATGGTAAAAAATGTCTTGTTTAATGCAAAAGTTTAAAAATGTACAAAGTCACAGATAGGTGTTAAGATATCTGAAACAAACCTCAGGGAAATCCAACCACAGAGCTTTTTTTTTTTAGGTGGAACTATTAGAACTGAAATCTCAATTGTTATGAAAATAAAACAGTGTCATAACTATAGCTGAACAAAAGAGTCAGAGTCAGTACTAGGATCAGAACTGAAGTTAATTACAAGATGCACATAAATAAGCACATAAATCCAGGTCAGAATAAGAATCCATTTTCTATCCATCTCTAAACACATATGTACAATGAATAATTATGTGCTGAACCAAGTAGTCACAGTTGATCCTGAATAGGATTTGTCAGTGAGCTAGTTTAGACACCTTTTACACCAAAACTCTGTGTCAACTGTATTTCTTAGAATATTATCTTAGCTGCCTGTTTAGTATAAAATGCCATCAGTAAACGGCCAAACAACTGAAAAACACCCAAGAGCCTGTCAGTATGAACAACCTGGAAGTCAGTTTGTATGCAGTCATACACGTATTACACCAGAAACCCTTTAGTAGTAAAAACATCAGTAAAAACATTATATTTTGGGCTTGGCCCTTTTTGGCCCAGGAGTGTAGTGCACTATATAGTGACATCTATAAAGACACTATATAGTGCACTATATGACTATTGCACAGTGCACTTTTGAGGGTTCTGCAGTGAGGGGGGCTTTTAGACAGGATTGGGTCAAAGTAGTGATGGCTGAATACTGAATACACTGTCCTAAATGAATTCAGTAAAGTATTCCATTGTGTAAAAAGTAATGCGTTTAGAATGCATATTAATAAAGTACATAGGGAAAAACTCAGCTGTTGTACTTTGTTCATTTTTTTATTTCATATATATATATATATATATATGAAGTAGGGAGAGAGTTCAGCATCCTGACAGCCTGGTGGATGAAGCTGTCCCCCAGTCTGCTGGTCCTGCCCCGGAGACTCTGCAGTCTCCTCCCTGATGGCAGCAGGCCATGAGTAGTATTGTGATTTCCGGTCAATGATAGCTATGTAACTTGCCATGCATGCATAAGTCCAGTACAATGCCAAAGCTAAATACTGCCTTTACAAAACGTAGCCTGGACTGAGCACAGATACTTCATGTCTGTATTCTGAATGCCTCTTCTCAGCCCTTGTATTTGGAATGACTCTGCATGATTTGCGCATTTCCTGCGCAGCCATCACGCTCAAAACGCTCACCTAAAGCAACCGTAAACACCACACGCTTCAAAACCAAAACCAGCGCGCTTCAGTGTGATGGTGAACTTCCCGGATCCACTTCTTAGACATTTATTCTTATTTTACACCGCATTCAGTACTGAAATATGAAATAATGTAGCGATACTGAGGTGGAAATTGTGTTTTTGAGTTTCGTTTTGAAAAGAAAGTCGTACCGAGCTGGACTATCGGTCTGTCAGCTGACGGCTCCTGTGACTGAACCGGGAAGAGTGACTGTCTGCTCTTAAACGTCTGACGCTGCTTTCAGATTTACAGCCCGAGGCTCCTTTCAGTACAGAGATGAGTGTCGGTTTGGGGGGGATTTTTCAAACCATTTAGCGTCAAACATGGACCGTCTGGGACGACCCTTGGTGCACTGTAATGTTTTGAGCGTTGTGCTTGTTTGCGCGCTGTTTCTAGTCTCAGTGAAGTCTGGCGGTTTGGGGGTCGCTGAGCTCAGTCTGAACGGGGTTTGGGCTTTAAGGAACTCGAACAGCTCCCTGTCCCTCAGCGCTGGAGTACCAGGATGTGTCCATACAGCTCTGCAGCTACACGGAGTTATTGAGGTGGGCTGCAGGGATTATCATGCATTCATTTTATCAGGTTAGGGGTTTTAACTAAATAAAATACTCATACTCAGTGTCACACAGTTAAAAAAAGGCTGCCCAGCCCTGTCAATGGAGATCAACCCTGCTGTTGAAACTTTAACACAGTGGCTCTCAACTCCAGACCTGGAGGGCACCCACTGTCCTGCACAGTGTCATCTACTTACTGCCCTGTCACACCTGGTCCAGCTCATTTATTAATCAAGCCATTCAGAAGCTGAATTTGGACAGGGAATATTAAAAACAGGTGTCAGGTGTGTCAGGTGTGTCCGGTCTGGGTTGGATTGGAGCTCTTTGTAGTGAGTAGATCTCCATAAGCCAGTTTGGGCACCTCTGGATTAAATGATGAAATGAGTTAACATTTATTAAATGATCTATCCCATCTGAAAACAGGCAAATTCATGACAATACTAGACGTTGTAGTATAATTGTACTACGTTCTTTAAAAAAAAAGATGGTTTCATATACAACAAATTCTCTATTATTCTGAAGAACCATTTCACCACGCAAAGAACCATTTTACGCATGATGACTCTATATAGAATGGATCTAAATACTACTCTGGGATGCCCACAGGATCCATACTATCGGTTTAATGATCTGGCCTACAGATGGATCTCTCTTGACAACTGGACATATACCACTTCTTTCTCCTTGTCCGACTCTGTCAGGTATGTCAGCCTACTTTACCACCGGCCACTTTCAGCACTAACTCACTCTCACTGACTGGCCATTTTGATGTATTTGTCAACGCCAATTGCACGTTGTTAGTGCTGCCAGTGTTATGTTCCATAATTCTATAATGCATTAAAAACCAGATGAAGTTTATATGCCTTATTCTGTTCTTCAACAGAGGGAGTAAGAGGGCTGTTCTAGTATTTGAAGGGGTGGACACTGTTTCCACCATTTCTCTCAATGGGATCATCATCGGAAAGACAGACAACATGTTCCGGAGATATGTACATAAACACTGACTTACTCTCAGCCACTTTAAACTGTAAATCTGTGATATTTTTTTTTATCCTTTTAATTCCCTGTTAATCAGGGAAAGGGCTTGAAGGCACTCCATTAAGTGTTTATTCTTTCTCAGGACTTTGAAGTTGCTGGACTCCTCAAGGATGTGAATATTCTGGAGGTGTGGCTTATGTCAGCTGTCACTTATGCATCAGAAAAACAGCAAGCCCACACTGCGTACAGTGTGCCCCCAGAATGCCCTCCTGTTGTACAGAAAGGGGAGTGTCACGTGAACTTTATCAGAAAGGTATAATAAAGACTCCTTGATATTGGTTTCTGCTAGTCGACGTGCAAGGCTGAAGTTTAGGTGACTTCGATTTTTATGCATATGTTTCAGGCACAGTGCTCATTTAGTTGGGACTGGGGCCCATCTTTCCCCACTCTTGGCATCTGGAAGGATGTTCGTCTGGAGTCTTTTGACACTCTCAGGCTACTGAGCTTTCGTCCCTAGTCCAAAATATGGTACAGTTCACCAGACTCTCTTGGACCTTCACATCGTTAAATGAAGGTTATGTTAAAAAGAACCAAATTCTTGTAGGAGAAAGAAATTTCATGCATAAATCTAACAAACCTCTTAAGTTCTCTTTCTGACTCTTTCTTTATTGGGACACCCTCTGTCACTCCAGACACTGTCCTCTCAGGCTGGACTGTGGAGGTGGAGTTGTTCTTTGATGTTGCTGTAGCTTCAAAAGGAATCGTCCTCCTGTCTGTGCCGCAGCTACAGTCAGCAGCAAAGTTTCAGCTTTCTCTCATGCCTGGCCAGAGCAATGCATCCTTTGTCCTCCAGATCAACCAGGTAAGGCAAGATGCTGCTTATTGGTTGACTGTAATAATTTACATTCCACTCCAGCTTATACACAGTTTTCCAAATCATTTATAATGAAATGGATTATTCTGGTTTTAAAATCTGATTGGCTGAGCTGTGTTCGAAGGTGTTGTAAAATACTCAATATATGCGCACCTATGACTACCAAACTGCAGCAATAAGAATATGTCATGCATGCATGCATACATGCCTCAAATGTCCATGTTTAAGTCATATCTGCCTTGCAAAGCATTAATGCCAGGCTGAATCTCAAATGGCTTCCCACTCCCTATATTGTGCTATGCAAGTTATTAATCTATGGCTTTTACACTCACTTCGTCCAGTATGGAGCTGTACACACATGGCTGTATCCTAAATGGCTATTTGTCAGACGTATTATGCACTGAAACAGTGCCTGCCAGTAATTTCTTTGTAGTACTCTATGTATATTAGTTTGGTGCTAATAAAAGACAGGAAGTCTCATATAGGTACCAATGAAAATTAGCAGTGTTGTTGCAGTGGTATTTTGGTGAGCAAAAACTACGTAACATTTGAAAGGGGTTTGTAGCACCCTTACCTGTGTAAAATCACTGTAACACATGTCTTATTGCTTTACTTTTTTATGTTTGGTGAGTTTGGGATAGCATATTAGGTAATTTGGGGTAGTATTTAGTATTTCTGGGTTCTTTCCCATTCAATTCAGTGCCAAATTAAGAGAAACAAATAAATGTTCATAGAGCTAATTATATAGTTTTGCATATTATAACTGCTTTATTAATGTAATGCAAGAGCTCTTCTATGTAATGTATGTGTTTCAAGAATGTTACAGTTGATCTGTGGTGGCCATTTGGACATGGTCAACAACCACTCATAAAACTGGTTATAGATATCAACATGGAGGGTGGAGAGACATTTAATGCAGAGAGATGGGTAAGAAGTTGCATTCTCTGTCTTTTTTCTTTCTTTCTTTCACCCAGGTTCTTTCAATAACTTATGTTTCTTGGTATAGATTGCGTTCCGTACTGTGGAGTTGGTACAGGAACCTATTCTTGAATCTCCTGGCCTCAGCTTCTACTTCCGGATCAACGGACAGCCCATTTTTCTGAAAGGTTCAAACTGGATACCGGCCCACGCCTTTCAGGACCAGGTTACAGCTGACAGGTAAAGCTCCTAACACTTTTAAAACACACACCAATTCTCACTTGATTTGTTGTGTACAAAATAAATCAGAAACAACCACATAGATAAGTTCCACACTAACTTAAATGTATTATAACTATTATATCAAAACTGTTTTAAGTCCATTTCTTTACACTGTTGGAAAATGACAGCTGCATGGTAATGTTAAGAATGTTTTTGCCTTTCTCTTATAAAAGTATGATTTTTGAACAGTGACATGCTAATTTGAGTTCTGTTTGTCCAGCTTATGTCTTTTGTGCCTTCTGTTTGTCTGTCTGTGTGTTAGGTTGACTCAACTGCTTGTCTCTGCACAGATGGCACACATGAATGTTCTGAGAGTCTGGGGGGGTGGGATCTATGAACAGGACCTTTTCTACAGCCTGTGTGATCAGCTTGGCATCATGGTATGGGTTCTTGTATGATGACATTGTTACCTGTTACACACTTACTGCTTGACAATAATTTTTCATTTCTTAATGCTCATTTCAGGTTTGGCAGGACTTCATGTTTGCGTGTGCCTTATATCCTATAGAGCAAGATTTCATTCAGTCAGTGCGAGAAGAGGTCACTCAACAGGTACATTTGTACTCCTTTCCAAGCTGACTAACAAGCTGACCGAGTACAACGTGCAACCCTCACTTTGGTCCAAACTTGCACATTTTTCTGGTTTGTGTGTTGTTGTTTAGGTGAGACGGCTGAAGTCCCACCCCTCAGTAGTCATTTGGAGCGGGAACAATGAGAACGAGGCTGCCATAGCAGACAACTGGTTTACTATTCCTCATGCACAGAGGCAACGCTATGTGAATGATTATGTTCATTTGTATGTGGAAAATATCAGACAGATTGTACAGCAGGTTAGAAACACACACATACACGCACACCCCTAAACTGAGTGTAAAAATTGTAATTTCCTTTACAATTTTTTTTGTAAATCCACTTTGCCCATTTTACCGAAAGCAGTACAGAGACTAGATGTTTAATTGTACCTTATCAACTTTATTGCTTTTTGTAAATATAATCATTCTAGAGTTGATGCCTATAAAGCATTACAAAAAAGTTGTGACTGGCCATTTAAGATGAGGAATGTTGTCAAAAAACATCTTAAACAGGTGATGCCATCATGCTTGGGTATAAAAGGAGCATCCAGAAAAGGCCTAATCCTTTACGACCAATGATGGTTTGAAGTTTGTCTAAAAAAAAAATCAGTTATAATCCAGCAGTTTAAGAACAACAGACCTCAACAAGCATTTTAGTTATTTCACCCTCTGTGGTGCATAATCAGTGCAGACCCTGTACAGCTGTAAAGCTGAGAACTTCTATAACAGAAGAATGGCCAAAGATTCCACTTTCGAAACTGGATCAGTTAATGTCCTAAACTGGATCAGTTCAGTCCCTAAACGGTTATTAAGGGTTGTTACACGGGAAGCTGATGTAACACAGTGGTAAACATACTGCTGTCCCAACTTTTTTGGAACACATTAAATTTGAGATGAGCATATATTTACTAAAAAATAAAAAGGTCATAGGATAAAACAACAAGTACAGTGTTTTGTACTGTTCAATTTAATACAGATCAAGCTGAATTTTCTTATCACTGCTTGCTGTTTTTATCAGCATTTCACTTACCATCCCAACATTTTTGGAATTGAGGAACTTCTTCATTGCAACAGAATTTGCTTCATAAGAACAGAATGTAATGAAATGTTCTTGTTTTCAGTTTATGATTCTCTGCAGTTAGTCCCGTAACCCATGTGCGAGAAATTCTGAGACACTGAAACACAGCATGGATTTCAATAGGATTCATTTACCTGTTACCTCTTTACAGACATTTTTCTGGAGAAAATTATATCTACATATCATCGCTGTCCAAAGAAAAACATGTATCTCCATTTTTGTCGATTTTTAGTTTTCAGCATTGTTTGGACACTGTGGCTGTCCTTTACATCATGTGGAAATTTCATGATGAATGGACCAATAACAATGCTCTAAAATTACTTGGAATAGAATATATTCACATTGACTTACATTAAAAGTAAAGAATATTTTTGCCCTCTCCTGTAAAGTTACCATTTTGGAGATACTTGTTTTTCTTTGGACAGCGACAATATATCAGCTTTTATTTTAACCATATATTCTTAGTTATTACACTGTTGTGTATTAATTTAGGAGGACAGCACAAGGCCTTTTCTAGTGTCTAGCCCAACGAATGCAGTGGAGTCTGAGAAAGAAGGCTGGGTGGCCCATGACCCATATGACCCTCATTATGGAGATGTCCACTTCTACAGCTATGTCACTGATTGCTGGGACTGGACGAAGTTTCCTCGCACACGCTTCGCCTCTGAGTATGGCTTTCAGTCCTGGCCCTCATTCTCCACCCTCAGAAAGGTAACACACACCATAGATATACACAGATCAGGCATAACATTATGACCACCTCCTTGTTGCTACGCTCATTGTCCATTTTATCAGCTCCACTTACTATATAGGTGCACTTTGTAGTTCTACAATTACAGACTGTAGTCCATCTGTTTCTCTGCATACTTTGTTAGCCCTCTTTTTCCCTGTTCTTCAGTGGTCAGGACCCCCATGGACCCCCACAGAGCAGGTACTATTTGGGTGGTGGATCATTCTCAGCACTGCAGTAACACTGACGTGGTGGTGGTGTGTTAGTGTGTGTTGCGCTGGTCTGAGTGGAGCAGACACAGCAGTGCGGCTGGAGTTTTTAAACACCTCAGTGTCACTGCTGGACTGAGAATAGTCCCTGCTCTGTGAGGATCCATGGGGTCCTGACCACTGAAGAACAGGGTAAAAGGGTTTTTGGGCAACCCATATACAAATATACTTTTGCATTTATTTAAAGCCATTTTAGCTTCACACATATTCACATTTATTTTAAGCCATTTTAGTTTTGTTGCAATTCAGCTTGTTTACATATGGTAAAACAAGTCAGTGTTTTAATAGTTATAGGCTACAGAACTCTTGCACTCTGTCTAATCAAATGATTGTGACAGCCTGTGGGCTACTGGAGGTTGCTGCTGGGTTGGGCTGCCAATTAAATAGACCTGACATGTGTTAACAGGTTTCAGTGCCGGCGGACTGGGATTTCAGAAGCAATTTTTCAAGCCATCGACAGCACCATGACCTCGGCAACAAACAGATGCTTCTGCAAGCAGTACTACATTATATCCTTCCCAACAACACAGACCCAGTGCAGAGATACAGAGACAGTATTTACATAACCCAGGTAAACATGCACACACCAACACACATACATTATTCCTGTCTGAGAAGTACACATTTATAAGATTATGCTTGGCCTGAGCAGGTCATGCAAGCTCAGTGTGTGAAGACGCAGACAGAATTCTACCGCCGCAGTCGCAGTGACATTGTTGAGGGCAAAGGACACACCATGGGCGCCCTCTACTGGCAGCTGAACGACATCTGGCAGGCACCCTCTTGGTCTTCTATCGGTTAGTATGTCAAGTTGCACCACAGCAATTATAACTGGGTCATGTACATGTCCTGTTGCCTGATAGATTTCAGTCCATTTGATAGCTGAGGAGTACCAAGTTCTAATTGCGTTTATGGAGATGGCTGTGTATACACAATGGTCACTTACACAAACTCCTACCTTGTAGGTCCAACTTACTGGTGTACAATTAGAGATTGTAGCTCATCTGTTACTATGCACGGTTTGTGTTTGTTATGCTCTAGCCCTTCATTACTGGTCAGTTTGTGGCTGCAGATCCACTCTTGGCTGGAGGTTTTGGGTGGTAGACCACTCTCAACCTAGCAGCGACAGTGACGTGTAAAAAGCCCAGCAACACCACTGTATCTGATAAACTTGTACCAGCAGCGCACACACTACCATACCATGAATTTGTCTTTGTCACTGCAGCCAAGTGGCCAGAAACAGTTACAAATTGGGGCGGAAACATAGCTATTTAAAACACGTAATAAATTACAAGGTGATATTGGTAAAGCTTCAAAGATAATTGTAATACCTCTTCCTTCAGTTGATTCCACTTATGCTCAGCACACCCTATTGCGATATTGTTACTTAACTATTCTGAGTAATGTATATATAAGATTTACAGCCTTTGTGAAAATGCATTGATGAAATTATTGTGTAATTTTCCATAGTTCCCCTATATGTTGTATATTGTATTGTTTATTATAGGTATGTGTTGCACTGTATGTTTATGTGTGTTGTATTACTACAGAGTTGAATTACATCTTGATGCACTGAAAACATCTACCACTGAAATGAGGCAATAAAAGAATCAATCAGTCAATCAATTAGTCAGTGAGGAATAGGATAGAGATCTGTTTTCCAACCTGAGCCCGACAGATCCCAACAAAATATCAGGTCTCAGACCGGGTTCGGGCTGTTTTTTCCTGTACAACAGTGAGTTTGGGCTTTAATTTCATGCCTGTGCAGGCCTCTGGAATGGTGTAGATGGAGGGCTAATTGATTGCACAGCAACTGACGGGCTACAAGCTGTAATTGCACAACTAGAGGTAGTTGTGCCTCATAAAGTGGTTGACGAGTTTAAGTACAACCATCATGTTTCTAATTAAGCGGATGTTGTGTCTATATGTGTGCTTAGAGTTCGGTGGCAAATGGAAGATGCTGCACTACTGGGCTGTCCGCTTCTTCAGTCCCCTTATCGCAGTGGGGGTTGAGGATAATGGAAACTTTCTGCTTTATGCTGTCTCTGATAGGAATGTAGACTACATTCTGAAAGCTACAGTAAGAGCATGTGTTTGTCTCCCTACTCCCTGCTTGTACAGTCATTACAAGTTTGAATAGAATTGGCTGCACATAATTTTAAATTTTTATAGTTTTAAATTGTTCTTTCCTCTTTCTATGTTTGTGTGTGTATGCATGTGTGAACACAGGTGAAATTGTACCGCTGGAACAGTTTTACTCCACAGTGTTCTCTGGAGTCTGATTGGACCAAAGTGAAAGGGGGTGGAGTCACACAGATGTTTCAGTGTCCAGTTTCCAAGCTGCTAACAGACTGCGGGAAATGCACTCAGTACACATGTGTGGTCATCTTTGATGTCAGTGGCCAAGGGGATGTTGTAAGAAGCCCAACTAACTATCTGTTCCTAAGCTCCCCACAAGATGCTGAGGGCCTTCAGAAACCCAAAATCACGGTGAGGATTCAACAGATATAACACGCAGTGCCTTGCAAAATTATGACCCCCTTAAAGTAATCAGATTTGTCTGGATCACAAGTGACACAGATTGTTCAAGCCATTATATTTTATTTAAACCCAATATGCTCTGAAAGTAAATTTTCAAATCAAAATATTTTGTCAGCAGATCTTAAAAAAAAAGAAAAGAAAAGAAAAATGCTGCTTGCAAAAGTATTCAACCCTTTTGGACTAGTACCTGGTAAAACCACTTTTTGCTGCAGTAACAGCTGTAAGTCTGTTGGGGTAAGTTTGTACCAGCTTTGCACACTGTTTGGAAGTGATTATTTGCCCATTCTTCCTGGCAGATTTGCTTCAGGGTTTTCAGGTTAGTTGGATGATGCTTGTGGGCTGTAATTTTCAGATAGTGCCACCGGTTCTTAATCAGATTGGACTTCACTATTGTTGTTCAGCCACTCCTGTGTTTCTTTGGCCTTGTGCTTGGGATCGTTATCCTGCTGAAAGGTGGGGTTTTCTTTTTAGCAGACTGAAGTGGGTTGTCTTGTAATATCTCCCTGTATTTTGCACCATCCATTCATCCTTCAGTTCATCCTCCAAGATACCCAGTCCCTGCTACAGGAAAGCATCCACCAACAGGATGCTGCCACCTCCATACTTCACTGTTGGGATGGTGGTTGTTCAGGAATGGGCAGTGTTAGGTTGGCGCCACACACTGCGTTTTGAATTTTGTCCAAAAAGCTCCATTTTTGTCTCATCTTACCACAAAACCTTATCCCACATTTTAGCTGCATCACCCTGATCTTTATAGCAAACTCCAGATGTGCTTTGGTGTGTTTTCCTAGCCAGGGTCCAGTTGTATGCAGAGTTTGTAATATTGTTGGCGGGTACACCTTCACTCCAGTCTCAGCCACTGAACTGCATAGCTCCTTGTAGCTCCTTCAGAATAATTGTTGGCCTCTCTGTGGCTTTCCTCACAGTCAATTTATTGCTCTGACGGCCTTGTCATAGGATGACACTTCCATTACCTCATAGTTGTCTCTAACTTTATAAGCCATAAAATGCTTTTTAGTCTTCTTTTTATAGCTTTCATTCAGATTCAGAGTCTGACCAATGGTATTTGAACTAAGGGGGCCTTTTATCCAAAAAATGTTAACTTTTTTCTGCTTCACAAGTAGATACAAGTAGTAGGCCAGTTGAAAGGGAATTTTGTGTTCATTAGAGTAATATCTTTCATTTGTGTAAACTTGAAACTTCCATAGCACAGGGGTTGAATACTTATGCAAATAGCATTTTTCAGTTAGTCATTTCTGTCACAGAATATTTTCTTACAAAACCAATATCACGTTACATTAATTCATTTTGATGGTCAGTCTTTTAAAATAGAATGTTGCGCTGCACAAAATGTCAAAGAAATCCAGACAAATCTGATGAGTTTTAAGGAGGTTGAATACTTTTCCCAGGCACTGTATGTTACATATACCCTTTTCACAGATACAGACTTATTACTACAGATTTACTTTTTTACCACTGATAGTTCTTTTTATCATACTCCTATACATGAGGTATAGAAAGGGGAATTCTGTTGATTTTTCAAAATTCAGTGGTTGAAATGTAAACAATGTCATGCAAAAATGATGTGGAATTGTGCATTGTAGAGAATTTTGTAGACTTCATTCCAGCCTTCATTTTTAAAGTGGTGATGATAGGAACCAGGGGTTACAGTGCCTAAAACACAAATATAGATATTTTATTTACTATCCAAAACTGCCAGTAAACTCGTGTGTCTTCCGGGTTTTTATATGAAATGTAGTAAAATAGTGGTAAATCTAAAAAAAAAGTAAGTTTTCTTTGGGTACTGCTTTGCCTTGCAACACCCTGCAGGTTCCTCTTCACCATGAAAGGCTTTGTAAAAATAGACCAAAATTGTATCTCAAAACTATTCTAAAACAATGTCTCAGGCATGAGACAGCTTATTATTAACCATTTAATGTAATAACGTCCTGTAATGTAGACTTTAGAGGCATTCATCAGACATCTGGTTCCTATCGCCACCACTATAAACAATTCTGACTCTTTTTATAAAACGGAGCATTTAACATCAAACCACTCAGAATGACTTTGATTACATCTTAACTACTTAATTATGCAGAGCTCTTCTTCTGTGTGTGCACATGTGGTGTGTGTGACAGTTCACTGTGGAGGAAGCTGGGGACAGATTTAAAGTGAACCTGCGTTGTTCCTCACCTGCTCTGTTTGTCTGGCTGGATGTGGAAGACATTCCTGGAGTCTTCGATGATAACGGCTTCCTGATGATGTCTGGGAATTACACCGTGTTTTTCACTGCATGGAGAGTCACGACCTTGAAGGAGTTTGTTGACAAACTGCACATTACATCCCTCAGGGATATATACTGAGTGTGTGTGTGTGTGTGTGTGTGTGTGTGTGTGAGAGAGATCAGACAGGTGCATAAATGCCATAGTTTCTTTGCACTCATAGAGCACTCTGAGGTGCAACAGACTGTATTTGCTCAGGTTGAAAAATGACTCATTGATCACATATTTAAACCAGATAAAGACACCAAACACTTCTTTTGCAAAGCTGGAAACTTGAAATGATGTGTAAATCCTGATGAACACTATGTCCTGATCTTAATAAAAAAAAAACTACATCACATAAACGACTCTAAGAAAATTGTTTTTAATGTATAAATAAGGAGTCTAGTAGAAGCATGTGGGAGACTGGTTACCTGCAAACCCCCCCCATGGGCCTCATGCAGGCGGGTCATTCAGTCTGTCAGCACTGAGCCTGTTCCATGAGAAGGAGGGCCGATCACAACAAAGAGCCCTTTGACTGGGCAAACTGAGGGAGCCGTATGGCTCCCCGTTGGTATCAGGATCCAGAAGCCAACAGGCCTGGAGTTTCTGATCTTTGAGCATCTGTTGATGCCGTTGAGGAGAGAGAGTGCCAGGCGTGTAAACCTCAATCTTTATCATTTAGACTTTGTTCCGCCCACCACGAGGACAACACCTCGGCTATCTGATCTATCAGCTGAGACGTAATCAAAGATCAGGACGTCTTTTATGTGTTAATAAGTAATTATTCACGTTTTGCTCCGGCTCACTTAAACACCGTATCAGAGAAGGTTCTCCCTCATTGTGAACTGCTCTGACAAGAAGTTGTCAAATCCGATTTGGAGTAAAAAGGATGGGTGAACCTTCTCTTCAAGATGTCTTACGCTTTTACGGTAATAACGGTTCGCTCTCTACAGCAAACCTGGAAAACTTTCTGCAGCTCATCACATCCAGAAGAGCAACAGCATCCATTGACAATGCTGCAAATCCACTGAGGAGTGCAGAGGTAGGCTGAGTGTCAGTGAAGATGTACTATCTACCATTGAATCGTTCACGTTCATCTAAACTTGGTTTCTTTACAAACTAGTTCTCACTGGCTGTTTTTCTAACTACGATTTGTCTCTGTAGTGTTTGTCTCTCTCGGATCTGCTGTCAGTCTATGGCCTGAATAATGTATCTGAAGTGACTGTTGATCAACTAGAGCTCATGTGCCCAGCTGTTCTCACTCAGGTCCTGCTACCCTCCTGCCCCTACATGACTCCCACTGCCCAGTCCATTAACTCTCAAGGTGAGTGCATCCAACACTGGCTCTTATTTTCATGTCCTTCAGTATGAGTTTTTCTACAATCTTAAAAAAGATGGTTCTTCAAGGGTTCTTTAGTAAACAGAATGGTCCTGTTTAGAGCCATGAGTTCTATATAGAACCATTGGTTCATTGCATGGGCAAATGGTTCTTCAGATTGATGGAGAATGTGTTGTATATGGTTCTACATAGCACCAAAAAAGTTCTTCTGTTGCTACAAACTTGACATCGTAACAACAGCAGCAGAACCCCTTTTGGTGCTACATAAAACTATTTCAAAAAAGTTCTATATAGAACCATATACAACACATTTTCCATCAGTCTGAAGAACCATTTCACCATGCAAATAACCGTTTAAGCATGAAATGGTTTTACATAGAACCATTGCCCTTACTAAAGTACCCTTGAAGAACCGTCTTTTTTAAGAGAGCATTTTAGTTTAGGGACTGTAGGAATGTGGTTCCTCTTCTTCCTTGTTCCTTGTTTGTCCACTATTTCTCAACTGCCCTACTTTGTGGTAGTTTAAGCAAGTATCATGTGGGTGCAGGAAGCGATTTTTTTCTGGGAATAGTGGCTTCATCAGTCCTTTCATAGAGGATCAACTTGTTACATGTCTCTCATACATTCAGGAAGAAACCAAGCAAAGTATATATATTTAATAGTGCTGAATGATATTTATGAAAAAAGAAAACAGCATCACAAAAATCTCCAAATCTATCACATCACATTATCAGATAATATTTGTAATGAGTTTTTATTAATAAAATGTGAAGATGCTGTGAAAATAATGAACCCAGGTTTCCTAAGCGCTGGTACTCTATGCTGAAAGAATGTCTTAGAAACCTGATATAATGGCGTTCCCAATTCCCAAGTTTGGGATTAATTGTTTAAAAAAACATAAATAATTAGTCGGAAGCTGTGAAAAAAGATACATTTCAGATGTGTCTAAAATGATGACCAGCAACTTTAGATAATTCCATATTGATTGAGAAAGATGTAAAACACTGACAAAGTTATAACAGAATTAACATCCAGAATGACTTGTATTTGAAATGTGGTGATGAAATCTCAGGCAGATAATAAGAAACGACTGCAAATAGATAAATACAGTATTTTGTGTATTATTTAATAGCTCTTTGCGGTTCCCAGAATATGTGAAATATTATCTAAAACATCTTGAAATACCTATTTTAATCTACACTGTTTATATTATTGAATAAAACTACAGCAAATGTTAAAATAGCACGTGATCCCAAACTTTTTAATGCAAGTGGAGCTTGTTTGATCGGACTTGATGGATTTTGTTCTGTTTTCAAAGGCGTACAGAGTATTATAAACATTAAAGCAGACAGAAGCCACATTTCCAGAAAGAAAACTTACCATTTATTTAGTTTTTATGTAATTTTGTGGGCTTTTTTCCCCAAAACGGTCCCAAGCACATAGCAAATGACATACATTGCAGTTATCCATCAGGTTTTTTGCACACACCCCTGTGTATAACAGATATAATGGTCATTATCTATCAAATATATATCATAAAGACTGAAAAGTAATATCACAGTGTGTCAATATCATGGCATATCAGTGTAGATGATTTATTGTCCAGCACTATATTTAAAAGTATTCAGTCATGCTTACTTTTTAAAAATAATTTGAATAAGTGCAGTTTGGTTTTACCGTCAGCGTATGTGTGTATTCCCTGAGTTTCCCCTCAGAGCAAATTCATGAACAGATCAGAATCAATTCTCATCACTTCTTATTCCTTTTACTCCTGCAAACTGGAGAGCAGAACAGAGCTGGTTTTGAGTTTTAGGTTGTGAGCCTGTGGAGTTTCCAGCCTTACCTTCTCAGTTCTCAGTGAGAAGAGGAAACACTCTGTCTGCTCCTTTTCATATGGAGATTTCCCCTTTCGCCAATGGAGCTATCAATTTCTATCTATCTATCTCTTTCAGTTTGGGGTTATGGCTTCCTGGCTGTGACGATAATTAATTTGGCCTCTCTGTTGGGGTTATTCTTGGTTCCCTTCACCAAGAAATCCTACTTTCCAAAAGTGCTAACCTACTTCATTGGAGTGGCCATAGGAACCTTATTCTCCAATGCTGTTCTGCAGCTTATCCCTGAGGTAAGGAGGACGTGAAGAGGGAGGGGACGAGAGAAAGAATCATCGGGTATTAATAAGAGCACAGATGAGTTAGGCTACAGTTAGTTAGGCCACAGAAAAGGAAAGCAAAAAGGACAATGGTCCTTATTCATCAAAGTTGCATAAAAGAGAGCAGATGTGACCTCTGTTAAAATGTACGAACTACTCTGCGTCTGATTCATGAAACTTTCCTATGATATGGAAACAAGCAGAGATTTGAGTGTAAATGAGGAATCAGCTTCAGTGCGTGAAATCAAGCGCCAGCCTACTATCACTGCATTTACATATAATTTAAAATGAAGCACAAATGACCAGGATTGTTGTTATTTTCTGTAAGTTTTGGTTAGTTAACTGCAAAACAAGCATTTTTGTTCAGGTTGTTAAACTATTACACTTACATTTACACATGTGAGTTTAATCATAATGTACCATAAGTGAACTTAACCAAAAACAAAAATTACGATCAGATTTGACTATACGCAGCTTTGATGAATAAAGGCCAATGAACCTAAAGAGACAAAGAGTCTAAAACTGGAGAAAAGTAAATGTACAAAAGTAGACACTGTGTTAATGACAGCATGCAACATTGCAATTTATATTTCCTATGTTTCCTATTATAAATAAACAGGCTCTTGGGTTTGATCCGAAAGCTGATGACTATGTGTTGAACGCGGTTGGGATTTTTGGGGGGTTCTACCTCCTGTTCTTTACGGAAAGAGTTTTAAAAATAGTGCTGAAAGCAGACTCAGAGGTAAGAGCTCCACCCCAGCTGGATTACTTTTATTTGACTGAGTGTGAAAGGCTTTACCTCATTGTGGCATGTCTTTGCCTCTCCCTCAGGATTGCCACAGCCACTTCCCTTCCAAGCAGACCACTGATGTGACCCTCAGCAATGACATTGTCATAAGCAACATCAGCAATGATGTCATCACGAATAACATCAACCATGATGTTCTCCCAAACAGCCCCAGGGAGAAGACAAACAGCCCAACCATGAGTCCTGTTGTGAACCCAGTCAATGAACAGGTACTGGCTCTTCCCCTCACAGCTTATATTGGTTAATACTCATGGTTCCTCTGGTTCCTCAGGTTCCTCGTTGCTAGAGAGTTGGTCATGGCAGGACAAACTATCTTTTGAACTGTGACACACTGTCAACGGTGACTCTTTTTTAACACTGTACTTTTTTATCCCTATACTTGAATCTGTGTCCAGACAACTGGGCAATGATGTACTGGAATATTGTTATCAGAGACGTAGTTCAGTGATTAAGGGCACATAATGATTAACATGAGGACAGACCATTCTGACCTTTTACTGCACTATGTGTACTCTTTGTTTGTGCATTATTTATTTAGCCTTGACATTTTATCATTACTTAATAATTGTATACTTTATGATTTTTCCTAATTATTATTGCCAGTGTGTTAAGCTCAACAATTATATAGATATTGGGCTCTAAAGTAGACTACTGCAGTGGCAAAACTATTGGCCCACTGTCACACAAATGACTTTCTATGACTTTTTTCCATACATATATTAAACTACAGATAAGATCCTGCTTTCTGTAAGCTTGTTTCCTTAAAGAAAAATTTAAACATTTACTGCGTGTGCTTCTTTCTTTCTAAGTGATTAATGATTTCTAGGAGCTCAACTATTGCTCAACTATTACTCTACAGTTTCTGTGTATGCCTCTTGCATCTGTTTAGGAGGCTTGTGTGTTATTGGCATGCCGTTGGCTGCGAGGAGAACGTATATCAAACATAAAAACAATGGCTTGGATGATCACACTGAGTGATGCACTTCATAACTTCATAGATGGACTGGCCATCGGAGCCTCCTTCACACTCTCTCTCCTCGTTGGCTTCAGTACGTCTATTGCGATTGTCTGTGAGGAGTTCCCTCATGAGATAGGTAAGATACACATTCTTACACTGAATGTCAGGAGTATCAATTACTTTTAAGCAGGTTGAGGTCACCCTACCTAAATGATGAATCCAGTGTCTGCTTCTAAGGGGCCTGTTTTTTTTCTTCTCTCTCTCTCTCTCTCTCTCTCTCTCTCCTCTCTCTCTCCCTTCCTCTCCTCTAGGTGACTTTGTGATTCTCTTGAGCTCTGGTATGAGTGTGCCTCAGGCTGTGTTCTTTAACCTGCTGTCGGCTATGTGCTGTTATCTGGGCTTGGTGCTGGGCATCCTGCTGGGAAGCAGCTTCGCTCCAAATGTCATCTTTGCCATTGCTGGTGGAATGTTCCTTTACATCTCTCTGGCAGACATGGTGAGATACACACAGTTTCACATCTTCCATTAGACTAAGTCAATAATACACTACAGTACTGTGCAAAAGTCAGAGACCACCCTTCCTTTATTTAATTTCCAGTCAAAACCTTTGTTACAGCTTCTATTCTTTTCAGGAGACTGAAAAGAAATCTGCAGGAATATTTTTTTTGCACACCTCCAAAGTTCAGTCTTAGAAGTTGGTTGCAATTTTCTGCTTCTCACAATACAAATAATCCCAAACACTTTCAGTGATGTTGAGGTGTGGATGCTGGGGTGGTCAATCCGCTGTTCTGAGAACACCAGCAGCTTTTTTGTTTGATGTATAATTGTTCTTATTTTTTGTCTATTTACTTTTCTCAGTAACAGCTTCTTGACAGCTACACATTGTTGTAAATTCACTGTTTTGATTTGTCACAGTGGAAGTATGGACAGAATCACCTGTGGATTTTTTTAGATCTGAAGCAAGACTGGAGCTTGATTTTCTGCGATCACTCAAAGATGAAAGCTATAAGTACTGTTTGTTTGATGGGAACAGTTTATGGGGTCTACTAGGTCTTGTTAGGAGTCCCATTATCTCTGTATTTTTTAATCATTTTTTTAAATCCTGGAGAAAAAAACTCACTTATTTTCCTTTGACTTTCTCCTTGCTTATGCAAGTGGGTTATCTTATATCTGATCTCCTCAGAAATATCTCTAAAAAATAAATAACTTTTTTGACTGGAAATAAATAAATGAAAGGTGGTCTTTGACTATTGCACAGTATTGCATGTCCAAAAATTTGACACATGTTCATCCAACATTTTTTTCTAAAATCAAAGGTATTAATAGAGGGTGTATGGTAAGGTACTGATGTTTGAGATTCAGAACAAATCATCCAGCGCCATCCCAACTCAGAGGTATTGGGTGGAGCTCCATCACTCCAGAGAATGCTATTCCACTGCTTCATAGCCCAAAGCTGAGGGGTTTTATGTCCCTCCAGCTAATGCTTGGCGTTGGGTGTGGTGACCTTAGGCTCATGTGCTGCTGCTCCAGAGTCACATTCAGATTATACACTGATCAGGCATAACATTATGACCACCTCCTTGTTTCTACGCTCACTGTCCATTTTATCAGCTCCACTTACTATATAGGTGCACTTTGTAGTTCTACAATTACAGACTGTAGTCCATCTGTTTCTCTACATACTTTGTTAGCCCCCTTTTTCCCTGTTCTTCAGGGGTCTGGATCCACATGGACCCCCGACGGAGCAAGTACTGTTTGGGTGGTGGATCATTCTCAGCACTGCAGTAACACTGACTTGGTGGTGGTGTGTTAGTGTGTGTATTGTGCTGGTCTGAGTGGATCAGACACAGCAGCGCTGCTGGAGTTTTTTTAGACGCACCTGCATTGTTGGTCCACCCTGTAGATGTAAAGCCAGAGACGATAGATCATCTCTTGCTGTACAGTATGAGCTAATCATCCTCTAGTCCTTCATCAGTGGTCACAGGACACTGCCCACAGGACGCTGTTGACTGGATATTTTTGGTTAATGGACTATTCACAGTCCAGCAGTGATACTGAGGTGTTTAAAAACTCCAGCAGCACTGCTGTGTTTGATCCACTCGTACCAGCACAGCACACCATGGGGGTCCTGACCACTGAAGAACAGGGTTAAAGAGGGCTAACAAAGTATGCAGAGAAACAGATGGACTACAGACTGTACTTGTAGAACTACAAAGTGCACCTATATAGTAAGTGGAGCTGATAAAATGGACAATGAGTGTAGAAACAGGAGGTGGTCGTAATGTTATGCCTGATCAGTGTATAAGCTGTGTGTGTGCAGTTTAACACCTGTGTCAACAACGAGTGCAAAGTATATTTGAACTTACTAATTGGAGGAGATGGATACTTTGACGTATCTTTCATGTTAACTTTCCCTTTTTGATCAATTTTAGTTTCCAGAGATGAACAGTATAATGGTGGCACACACGAAAAGCTCCAGAGAGAAAATCATATTCTTCCTTTTCCAAAATGGCGGTCTGCTAACTGGATTCTCAATCATCCTTCTCATCACGATGTTTGCTGGAGACATCAATCTGGGATGAAAGAAAAGAGAACGGCAGTTTACTGGTGTATACAGAACAAGAACATCAGTTCGTTCTTCACTGCCAGGGAGCAATGGTTTGACACCAAAAGTGCAAAGGCATCCATGTAGAGACTCTTAATCATTTTTTAAACTACTGACTTACGGCTGTTTTTCTGTTGTAAAAAAAAATCACAATCATGTAGCCTCAAAAGTGAAGCTTTTGTAGTACTACAAAGCCATTGCACATGATTGTCGCTGGCAGTCTAATTTGAGTGTATGATCTGTTTGTGTATGTGTCTGATGGAAACAATGTACTACTGTACGTGAGAGACGTCCACTGTGTCAGTGTCAGCCTTGCACAGCATTTAAACTCAGATATCCTCTGTTAGGAGCTTCACTGAAACTGGCTGAGCCAGAATAAGAAATATGCACATTTTTAATCAATAAGGTACTTTGGTCTAGGAATTTATTGTGTTATGGATAAATATTAAATGTTACTCATGCAGCTCCTCCAGGTACCCCTCAACAAAGCTTTAAAAAGTGTGTTGCAGTGACATAGCAGATATCTTAGAGACATTGTTGCAGTATAAAACAGCATTAAAATATGTTGTGATTGAATGTTCAAATACACAATGTAATTCATTATTAATAACTGCAACAAATAATGATAGTTTGATACTAGACAATATAGCTTGTTAACAGTAGGCTATGCTTACCAACAGTCAGGGATTACACTGTAAACAGAACTATGATTTTTAATAACTTGGCACATCAATAAGCTACAGCAGTGGTGTAACTGTCTTCTAGTCCCTCTGATGCAAAATTAACTTTCTATGAATACAAAAATGACAATGTATCTTGCTTGTTTACTTGTTGCTGACATGTCTCAGACAAAAGCTGTGCCATGAGCCCCTGTCTGTTTGCCCTTCTTGTCCCCCCAGTAATGACATCACTGGGCTATTGAGTTGTTTTTGTTGTGGTATGTTTGTGTATCAACCTATGCCAAGCCTTGTCTCAGTTAACAGCCCAGTTCACCAAATATGCTTCTCCTGTGGATTTAAAAACAACAGGCACTCACACTTTATTCCAAAGAGTTATTGTTCCTGCTCCTTGTGGTATATTTTATTGGAACTAATTTGTGAATGAGCTGCACTTTACCTCATAAATTTCTAGTATCTCATATAACAAAGGAAGTGTCATATAAAGTATGACATAGAACAAGCCATTGTTTATCTAGGCTAAAAAGATTTGAATCTAAACTGCTCCTTTTTCATCACTTATTTTGGCACTGCGATTATGTGGAAAGACATGGACAGATTTGTAACTGATCATATTGTTTTTTCTCTGTACCTGGATTTGTTTTAGCTGTATAGACCAAATAAAGCAATATTATATTTTTAACCTAATTATAATCTTAGTAAAATTCTACATCCATAAATTGAAATATAACTGAAAAGTTTTTTATTTATGATTCTGTAGTAAACCGTATTCCTCATTCAACAAATAGAAAGGCTGCAAAGACTGTGAGACTCTTAATGTAGTTGTTTTGTACTGTTCGTGTTTATTGTGTTTATTCATTGGTTCTTAGTATTGTTTTCATACCTCCTGCTGAAGTAAACGAACAAAAAAATATTTTTGTATCGAATATTTTACGACAGCTTCAAACATGGAATAATTCTCTTAAGCAAACTGCAAAAAAAAATAGGCCTTAGTCTGATGATAACTGCGATATAATAAATGAATCGGCGATGCTTTTGTTCATTCTCTTTGCTCGTAAACAAGACTTTTATTTTGGCTTTTTGCTACTCAGCTCCTCTAAAGTTGTAGCTAGCTAGCAAACCTGGGAAGGACTGGATTATCGCTGAGGTTGGTAGAGAAAAGAATCCGCTGGCAGATAAATACGAACACGACATAACATGTTTAGTACTAAAGACCTCCGTATCGTTAATTTTTACGCATTTCATGACTGCATTTGTCTGTGCGCTAAGTTAACTAACTAGGTTAGTAGTGGCTGGTGAAGAGATGATGGTCAGTCTGACACTAGAGTAGTAAAAGGCTGTTACTAGAAGGTAGATTTAGATAAAGACACGTGTGTCCATTAAAATGTTTATCATTTAATATTAGAAATTGGCCTTACTGTTGCCCAATGTTAGCCAAGCGACTTCCATTATAACAACACCATTAATACCTGAACGAAGGCTGAAGGAAGGTGAAGTTCGCTTCTTAGTCGGTTTCCCCGTTCCACCTTAAATGGTGCAGCAGTTACTGCTGCACTTCTTAAGATGGAACTTAAAATTAGCATAAGAAGCAGTTATATGTAAATGCTGCATTATTTAAGGTGGAACGGGAAATAAGAATAGGAAGCCGATGTCTCGTCAAGCAGACTAACTAGTGTATCCTCTAAAACCTCCAGTCTGATAACGTTGTTTGTGTGGTAAATGATACAGTTGGGCTAAAATGGCCGGTAGGAACGGACCTCTATAAAAACAGGACATCAGTGCGGGGTTTTACTCACAGGAAGAACAAAGAACAGAACATGACAAATAACCTTAGAAACTGGCCAGTAAAGGAGTAATAAAGGACAAAACGTGCGCCCTCTTGTGCCATAACTATTGAAAAATGACTGCTCTTATAACACTGGACGTGTTTGACTCTTTTTAGCTCAGTTCAGTGTTTTTTTTTGTTGTGCAAGGGCAAAGGGCCCTTTAGGTTCGGTGTTTACACAGTCAGTTATTATCTATCTTTTATAGAAACAACTTTATAGTTTGTTATGAATGCATTCACTGGAATAGTGCTGCTGTTTTGGTCAATGACTTCCTGTTTTGTGTCATTATTGTCCACTTCTTGAATTCAGCATGGTTTTAGGGTGTAACTGTTGATACTGTTTGTGTTTGGAAGGCCATGGCTGAAGTGCAGATTCGTCGCTATGAGGACGAGGATGACGAGGACGTAAAGGACCTCTTCACGCTAGGAATGAGTGAGCACGTCCCGTCCTCCTGCCTGCATGTGCTCAAGCAGCCACATACCCAGATGCTTCTTGCATGTGTGTTCTGTGCTCTGCTGGCCAGCTCCAAGTCTTTCCTGCTGCCCATACTGGCAGTTACTCTCCTCCTGGCCGCAGGCCGGCAGGGAGTCAATTATATATTCTCCCAATACATCCAGACTTCCCTGAGCTTGGACCTCAAAAACATACGCCAGACCTACCTGGAGAGGCCCAACTCCTGCTTCTGGGTGGCTGAGAGCCAGGGTCGGGTGGTGGGCACGGTGGCGTGCCTCCCTGCGGAGCGGAACGAGGGTTGTCTGGAGCTCAAGCGGATGTCGGTAAAGCACTCTCACAGGGGTCAGGGCATCGCCAAAGCCCTGTGCCGCGCTGTGTCAGACTTTGCCCGAGAACGGGGCTATCCAGCTGTGGTTCTGTACACCTCCATTGTCCAGACAGATGCTCAGAAGCTCTATGAGCATATGGGCTACAGGAAGGTCAGAGAGTTTGTCGTTCCAGAACTGATGGCTAGGATCACCAACTTCACATTGTTTGAGTACAGGCTTGACTTGCAGCAGCCAGAAAACTGAGTTTTGATTTGCTCTGTCCACTCATTGTGTTTGATTTTATTACGTCAGTGTATACGATGTAAGCAATATTTAATACATAATCAGTATGTAAGACACAGCGAAGCGAACAGTTACTGCTTAAGCTGTGTAGTAAAGAATTTTGTTTTGAAGGTGAAAAGACAAGAATTAAGCAAAAAAGCAAAAGACTTGGCCTCATTCATTCTCCAACCTTTCTTAAGAATTATCTTCTCAAAAACCACTTGTGCAGTTTTCAAGAAGATTCTTAGATTCACCAGTGTTTTCTTATTTGGGATTTGTTCTTAGATAAGAAGAGAATCTGTGCATACTCAAGAGCATAAAGATGGGAACAGTGCTGCAGTTTAAGAACACGTCATGAATCTGATGTAGACTTTTCCTTCAGACTTTTCTCAAGAACAAACTTAAAATTAAGGAAGATATTGGTGAGTGAGGCCCAATGTGTTACCTATACTTTTCATCTCTGCCAGCATATATTGCTACAAATAATCTTTATAAATAATCCCAAAAAAGTGAAAAATAAGTCTGAACATTGTCATAATTATAGAGATTGCATATTTAGTGTACAATTATTGACGACTTGCACTATGGTATGGGGGTCCATAGAGCAGTCATTCTCAACCCTGGAGGCCCCTGCCCTGCACATTTTATTGTTTTGCCTTCTTCAACACACCTGACTTAACAAATCAGCTAATTAACAAGCAGATACAGCAGGGGCACACAAAATTGTGCGTCTCTAGGGCTGAGAACCACTGCGGCACAATGTTTTCTGTAGTCCCACAGTCCAGCTGCTAGTGATTGTTTCTAAATCTTTTTCATAAAACCTGCTGGTGGGTTTGTATCCACTGGCTAACGGCTGCATATTGTAAATGAACATTTTATTCGATCTATGTCATGTATGTGATTAAAAAAAAGATATCAAAATATAATAACACTTTTCTGTGCTGCTTTTTGTAGAACTGATGCAGCTGCTGTGTGGGAAGTGTGATTTACCAGGTGCAGAGAGCATGTAGGTGCTGTGTGGGTCATGAATGTGAAACAATGCTGGGTTCAGGCTGTGCCCTTTGTTCAGTCCCTCCTAGGGCTATACATTTACACACTAGAGACGTACACAGCTGATAGGTCATGCTCTGTGCATATCAGAGCTCCTGTGGTGTGTAGTGCTCCGTAGACTTGCACTGATTTTTCCCTGATTTTAAAAGGGCTGATTCTATTAAAGGTATTTACACTTTCTGCAAAGAACAACCGATTGTTCCTAGTACAATGTATTTTGGATATAAAGATTTAAAAAAAAAGAATCAAACCGAACAAACCCCAAAAAGTCTTACCAAGTGTTTAATATTCTGTGACCTGTAGCAGCACTGATTTTGGTCAAAATCAGTCCTCCTGACTGCTCTCATCCAAGCTCGCTTCTCTTCATTTGCATTAACAAGAATCTAAATGATGAGAAAACACCTAATTCTTTCTATTCTACACTTGTAAATTTGGTCTGGCTACAGCAGCTGCTTTTATTTTCCCAATGCGACCGACTCACCTTACTTGCTTAACTGAATTTTATTAAATATATAGCCTAATACAGCAAGCTAACATAGGTCCATCATATTGGCAGAGAATTGTTTGCTTAGTTAATGGTTCCTAAATTAATGACAATACGTACACAATATGTCTTGCCACAAGTATGTGTATTTTTGGAGTATGTGTTTAGACATCCATAGACATCCGTTCACTTAATGTCTTTGTGATGGAGTAGAAGAATGGTGGCCTCATGTCAGAAAGGCCTCACGTTGAAACTCTGCGCACATGACTCTGTAAAGAATGATGTCCTCAGCCACCTAGGTGTCTAATGGGCGTTTGAACACTGAACTCATGAAAATTTCTGGGTTTACAAACAGACGAAGAAGGTCTTCCAGTGCAGTAGTACACATTTCATGTGCCATGATTGTTTGCTAGTTTTCAGACAGTGACAGAGACGCTTTAATTTTTGTATTGTAATGAGTATAAATGGCACTTTGTTTTCTTTATCATAATGTGTGTAAATATATCTGTAACATTAATCCTACCAGTAGTAAACAGGTCCTGTCAGTAAGCAATCAACAATAAACATTTTGAAAATGTATTTTGTTTTTTTTTTTTACTGTAGCAAGCAATGTCATTGGTCTATTGATAATAAATAGTTTTATTTTGCAAAGTATGTTACACATATGAGGAATCTGTCTTGGTGAGTGTGTATGTGTAAGTGCACAAGACTATAAACAAATGTTCAAGGAAAAAAAGGAATAAGGGGGAAATCATCTTTTCTGAAACAGTATACTTGCACTAAAAAGACTAGCTAGCTGATGTAGGTAACTTGTTAGACGGCTGGCTAATTTTATCCCAAACTGGGTTTTCTTCTGCTCAAGCTGAGATTATCTAGTGAGAACTGCCAGTGAAGAATATCTTCTGGGTTGATCAGATGCTGCCGGGTGCTACCAAAAGAGTCCAGAATGAATGGGAACCTATGGTGCTTTTGTGTCATATTGTAATTTGTAAATGGTTAATCCTTTTTATTCAGGCCAATGCACTCGATTTTTCAACAAAGAACAAAATGTTTAAACCACTGCTTTTGTATTTCTGAGTGTGTTTTTACTCCAGTTAGGTAGGATTTTCTAACAGTGACCCATGTACTTTCTTGACACCAGTGAGTGCAAATGAGCTGATCCGCTTACTAATCAATCAGCACCCAGTAGCGGTAGTTTCTGTATAAAAATGTTCTCATTGATTATTTTAGATATTTTTGTACTTTTAAAAAGAAATTCCTGTGTGAAAGACTAAAAATATGCACATTTTTAGCCATTTAGCTACATTTATCTTTTTGGATCTTTGAAGTCATGTTGTTATTCTGTAGTTTGTCATGCCTATATTAGAAACTCTGGGTTTAAGCTGGTTTTCTCTATAACAAAAATAAATGACATTTTCAAATATCGCCACTGTATTTCTAACAGTGCCTCATGTACATTAATGATGTCAGTGAGCGCAAACAGCTTCACTGAGCTAATGAGCTGATCAGCTCACCACCTAATCATCAATAAGTAGCTGCTTTAATGGTCATAAGCAGGCTGCATGCACCGAGAAGCAGAGGTCAGAGAACAGGCAGGCAAAATTAGAGGCAGATCCATTAACAAAAAACAGTAAGCACAGAAAGGATCAAACATAGGACCACAACACACAGAGAGCAGGCTCAGAATACAGTATAAGCAACAGAGACTTCTCAAGGCTGTAGGCCAGTGGTCATCAACCCTGCTCCTGGAGATTATTATTGATTTCAGTCCTTGATTAGCTGAAGGAGACATGTTAGAATTGGGTTGAAGGGGAAACATGCAGGAAGATAGATCTCCAGGAGGAGGGTTGGTGAGTCATGTTAGTTTTATGTTGGAGGTGAAATGTAGATGTCTACATTCTGTAACTGTAAACCTACAAAGTTCTCATCTGTGGTATGTGTTTCCCATGAAATGGCCAAAAAGTGTAGGTACAAGGTAGACTGACTTCATAAACTCAATCACATACATATAAGCACAGACCTTAAACTTATGACACTTATGAAACTTATGATCATACTTTTCTCTCAAATATATTCTCCTCTATCTAGATTTAACATTACCTACAAAACACAAAAATGTTATTGCAACGGTTTTGGAATGATGTGCATTTCCTTTTCACCTTCTGAATCTCAATATATGATACTGTAATGTATATAAATGACGTGGGCTGGTATAAACAGGTCACAGGAGAGACTATAACATTTTTCATCTCTGCCTATCTTTAATAAGTGGTGTACGTCTTAGCATTTCATAAGCTCTTTGGACATTAATAAAAAGTAAATAAAATTAAAGTTTTAGACTAACATAAAAATAGATGGATGACACAATGGAAAATCAACAATTATATTTATTATTAAATTCATTATTAGATCTGTGTTAGAGATGATCATGAGGATGGTCTAATTAGCTTTTTACTACAGTGCAATAAAAAAAAAAGATTTCAAAATAAGTGCAATCTCAAAAGATGTGCAATAAAAATGTGAGGCAAAATAGTCCCCCAGGAAACATATTATTTCAGACTTTCCACTATTTTACCCTCATCAACATTACATATAAAAACTCAGAAGACGTGTGGGTTCACCGGTGGTTTTGGACAGTAAATAAAATGGCTATATTTGCGTTGTAGTCATGGCAACCTCTGGCTCCCATCACCACCACTGTAAAGAAATCTGAGTCTGTAAAGTTTCTCTATAAATGAACCATTTCGCAACAAACCACTCTGAATGACATTGTTTACATCTCAACCACTGAATTATTTAGAAATTTTGAAAGATCGATGGAGTTCCCCTTTAAAACATCTACGCTGATACAAAGACCGCCCACTTGCTGGTACCCATCCTCCTGCGGTGTAAGTCCCTCTAACTTACTGGTTTCTTGAGAAGGTGTTTAAACCTTGTCGCTTCCCTAGTTCCCGTGCTGCTTGGGTTTGTTTATGTTGGTGAGTGCGCGCGCCCGACGACTGGATTTGTTTGAGGAGCGTGAATTTGAGGTGGAACCGAATCGGATGAAACACGGAGGCAATACGAGTCCAACACGGAGCTGATATAAAATAGAAATAGTAAGAGAAAGCAGGAAGCCTATAGACTGAAACACGCCATAGCGGGGACAACATAATGTAAATACCGGCTGTGTCCGAAATTGAAGGCAGCTGTCTCGATGCCTTGCTGTGCTGACTCAAGTCTGGGCCAGAGCCTTAGAAGGCAGCTCGGTCCTCTACTCTGCCTTTAAAAATGGCCGAATGGAGGAATCTCAGCTGGCAGCGTTTTATACAGACATTATATTCAGACTTGACTGGCAGCCTCCTGCCTCAGAAGTCTGTATGAGCCGGCAGCGGTCATTTCCCTTCGGACACAGCCAGCGTCTTTAGAGGAGCGAGGAGTGGAGTCTTATTAGGTCACTCCACTATGAATGACGCGTTGATATGTTGGTTGCCATGAGTTTGTTTTGTTTGTAAAGCGCTTATGTAGGTAGCTGGGATCTAGCTGGCTCCTACAGAATGAGTGCTCCATTCACGAGCATTACTCTTGGCAAAACGCCGCACTGCGTTAAAACTCTTTATAGAAGGGCAAAGTTCCCCTTGACTGTGGTTTTTATGCGCTGAATTACCAGCTAGAAACATATAAGCAGAGTCTTCTTCGTTGTCATCTGGATTAGATAGATAGATAGATGGTTAGATAGATAGATACTTTATTGATCCCGAAGGAAATTTAGCAGCCAGTAGCAGTCACACAACACAGGACAGTAATAATAGGCAATAGGTAATAAAAGGGTGAAACAATATAAAAGGACGAATAAATATAAAAAATCCTATCTACAGGCATATATACAAACAGAAATACAAACAAATCTGGAATACGATCTATAACCTGAGATGAAAAAGGCAGTGCAATAATGACTGTACAAGGAGGCGCAGGTAACGGCATATAGTGACAGTACTGAATAAATACGTGCATATATTGGTACCGAAATAAAGTGTGTAGGTGTGGAGTGTCCAGATGTGCAAGATGCGCGATAGGGGGTACAGAAAGTGCAATATGTACAGTAAGGTGTCCATATGTGCAGATGGACAAAATAAACCTATGATTTAACATGAGATTCAGATTAGAGGGGTTGAACCTCCTGTTTAAAGTTGTCATTGTACGTCTATTAGATTCAGTCCAGTAAGAATGATTTGAGTCTTCGGTTTTGGAGCTGACTCACTGTGTGTAGGCAGCTTGGCGTGACCTTAGTCAAGTAATAAAATTCAGGAAGCTATGCCGCATCTGCGCATGCGCTCTGTGATTCTTCTGCTTCTACTGCTGCTGCAGACTCTCCGGTAACACTTTACAAAAACGGTAGTTTTACGTCTATTAGTCGGAATTTCATTATAGACTAGCATGAACTAATTAAGTAGTTAGAGTAGAGGTGGGCGCTATGGCAACAATGCATCATAGAGATACTTAAAGACGTTTCATTATGTATGATGACGTTTCATATATGTATACACGATATTTCATTATTCATGTCATGTCATGATACTTCGTTGCTCCGGGTTGATCAGTGGGAACAAACAAAAAACAACTGTAATTACCATATTTAAGCAATACTATCAAAAATTGTAATCATTATTATTATTTTTAGTTATAATTTGTGAAAAGGCAAAAGTCCCTTTGGGTTTTGTGTTTACATGCTGAATTATTAGCTAGAAACAGATTTTTGAGACTTCTTCACAGTTTGCTGTGAGTGTTTTTGCTCTCCTTGGATTAGAGGTGTTGATGTGCTGGTCAACAACCTCCTGTTTAACATTATCATTTTACATTCGGTCATTTCCTGCTATGTTTTGTTATTTTTCTCTCACCAAGTTGAGAGTTGAGCATGGGTTTATAGTGTAACTGGTAATGCTGTGTATGTTTAGTTTGAAGGCCATGGCTGAAGTCCAGATTAGGCGCTATAAGGATGATGACGAGGTGGACGTGAAGGACATCTTCACTGTTGGTATGCATGAACTCATCCCATACTCTTGCAAGTATGTGCTGAAGCAGCCACACGTCCAGATGTTGCTACTGTCTGTGTTCTGCGTTCTGCTGGCCACCTCTGGGTCTCTTCTGTTGCCCATGCTGGCAGTTACTCTCCTCCTGGCCGCAGGATGGCAGGGAATCTGCTACATGATCTACAACTACGTCCGAACCTCCATGTGCAGTGACTTCAGCAACATCCGTCAGTCCTACCTGGAGAAGCCCAACTCCTGCTTCTGGGTGGCCGAGAGCCAGGGTCGGGTGGTGGGCACAGTGGCCTGCTACTCTGCAAAGGAGGACAAGGATTGTGTGGAGCTCCGCCGGATGTCAGTGAAGCCCTCCCACAGGGGCCAGGGCATTGCCAAAGCCCTGTGCCATATTGTTGCGGACTTTGCCCGAGATCAGGGCTGTCCAGCTGTGGTATTGTACACTTCAAGTGTCCAGATCGATGCTCAGAAGCTCTATGAGCGTATGGGCTACAAGAAGGTCAGAGAGTTTGCTTCTCCAGTGCTCTTCTCTAGGATCACCAAAATAATGGTAATGAAGTACGTGCTTGACTTACAGCAGCCAGGAAACTGAAAGTTTTCTAAAGAAGCTTTGCTCCGTCCACTCATTTTGCACTGATGTACAACACTGTGTTGTGCACAGTGGCCTTTATGAGTATGGAGAGAGTCAACTGTAATATTTTTAGCAGTTTACTCTTAAAAAATAAAAAAACATGTATGAGAGAGGTTTAGATTGTGAGCCAAGAAATCAAGGTTAGTCATTCACAGCTTGGCTGAGTGTGCAGTTTGATTTTAACCATTTAAAACAGCCATCAAAAAAGCTGATTCTAATACATAAGCAGCGTAAAATTGATTGACATTTATCTTTATCTTTATCTTTATCTTTCTGCCACTGGGTAAAGAAGCTTCTATGCAAATTGTAACAATTTTATCCATTTCATGTATACAGTTTTAAACAAATTATCTTTACACTAACAGTGATAGCAACTTCTGTGCTACATGTTAGGTAATTATTGCACTGTTTGCTTGCAGCTGATTGTGAGGTTTGCTTGTCTGTATCTGAAACTATTCTTGTAATTAAAATCCCTTTTGCACTGACTATATTTTTACTGTGTTGTTACTATAGATTTGACCTCAGTAGAAACTCTTTCATTTGACCATATTTTGGTTTGCTTTGTGTAGGCAGTTTGACGTGTTAGAAAGATCAAGCGATAAAATTCAGGAAATTTCAAGTTGTTGACTCCCTCTTTCACTGTCTGCTTAGTTCTTCTTTTGCTGACAGTAGTAGAAATGTTACCACTGCTTTAGGTTCACAGCAAATGACCAGGTAAGACTTTATAACACCTATAGTTTATAAGACATCTATGAGCTGTTACTTCATAATTGACTAATCATAAACTAATGAAGTATTTAGAGTTATTTATCATGGGCTAATGAAGTATTTAGAGTTATTTATCATTAATTAATATATTAACATTACTTTGTGAGACACATACATTTATTCCTAATCATGGTTTACAAATGACTGTTAAATGATTTTTATTTGCAGTCTCTGCTCTAAAGATGTCACAGTGTGTTCCTGGCTCCACCCTCTCCTGTATAGTGTATAAGAGTGTTTATTGAGGTTGTTTATGGACTAATATCACATATTCTAGTACATACAAGTGTTTATTGAGGTTGTGGCCCACATTTAAAAAAAATTCCTTTGATTAGGGTTCACAAAAGACACATTACATTAGCAGCCAAGATTTTCATTGATATTTTTAGACATCTTTTGTAAATACTCAAATAATGTATTCACTAACAGTGGATAACATCTGAGTTTCTGATTTGTTCATCATTAATTAATTAAGAATTATTACAAAAAGTAAACGTGAACATATGTAGACGGTCACTTTATAATCTAATATGAATAAATTCCTGGTATGTACTTGATTAGTTAATTATGAAGCAGAAACTCATTACTTCATTCTGAAGTCAAAACCTGTATGTCTATATGTAAGTAATGTGACTATTCGCTAACAACGTGTCCACAAATGGAGCGCTGGCTTTTTGGGAAGTCTGAAAATTAAAGCCAAAATATGTAGATGTGGCTTGGTTTGTTTGTAATGAGCAATGATTGGGCAGTAGTTTGCAAATTTCTCACTGGGCTTTTCTTCCATCATTTGCATCCATAATTAGCTTGTGAAAAGCACCTGAGCCACTGGTGTACTGATGTCAATATGACTGGCTTTTCACATAGGGCTAGTTGTTGTATGGGAAAAGTATTTGTTAAAAAGGGTAATTTTATTAATACATTGCAGTTTTAACAGTGATTTTGACCTATGCGAACAATTTATGGGAGGAATTCTAATTCATACATAATGAAGACTAATGAATTGTTACATCTCTACTAGAAGCCGATCTTTGTAGAGACAGTTTCTTCATAGTTTGTTGTAAATGATGTTTACTCACCTTGATGAGTTGGCCGACAATCCTTTGTTTAACCATTTTATGTTCAAGTCAGTCTTTTTCCAGTCTTTTGTAGTGTCAGAGTGTAACTGGTGATGCAATGTATGTTTGGTTTGAAGGCCATGGCTGAAGTGAAGATTCGACGCTATGTGGATGATGACCAGGTGGTCGTGAAGAAAATCTTCAGTCTTGGTATGTGTGAACAGATCCCGTACTTTTTCCGGCATGTGCTGAAGCAGTCACACATCCATACTGTCTGTGTTATGCGCTCTGCTGGCCATCTCCAAGTCTCTCCTGCTGCCCATACTGGCAGTTACTCTCCTCCTGGCTGCAGGCCGGCAGGGAATCTGCTACCTGATCTACAGCTACATCCAGAATGCCATGCGCGGTGACTTCAGCAACATCCGTCAGTCCTACCTGGAGAAGCCCAACTCCTGCTTCTGGGTGGCCGAGAGCCAGGGTCGGGTGGTGGGCACGGTGGCATGCTACCCTGCGAAGCAGAACGAGGGCTGTGTGGAGCTCCGCCGGATGTCGGTGAAGCCCTCCCACAGACGCCAGGGCATTGCCAAAGCCCTGTGCCGCACTGTTGTGGACTTTGCCCAAGAACAGGGCTGTCTAGCTGTGGTGCTGTACACCTCCATTATCCAGATAGATGCTCAGAAGCTCTATGAGCGTATGGGCTACAAGAAGGTCAGAGAGTTTGCTGCCCCAGAGCTGTGCTCTAGCATCACCAAAGTAATGGTGATCAAGTACATGCTGGACTTGCGGCAGCCAGGAAACTAAAGAAGATTTTGTCCATTCACTCATTGTGCATTTTATTACTTCAGTGTAGGAGATTGAACACAGTCGCTTCTCTGAGTATGGTGTGTACCCATGTGTGTTGCATTAAAGATAAAAATAGAAGTTTGACACAAATCCAGATTATGAGCTACCTTAGTTATTCACAGCTTGTTTTAGTGCGTAGTTAACGCAAGTAGATATTAATCAATTAAAACAGCCTTTGAATATTGTGTCTAATACATAAGCAAATACATAAGCAGTGTAATATTGCTTCATTTTATCTTTGCTAGTCTGATATCTAGACTGGTAATGCTGTCCTGCACTATGGAGAGAGGGTCTGTACAGAGAGTCTTTGTAGTCTCACAGCTACTGATGATGGTTGATCTTTTTTTTCTGACTGTGAGCTTGTCTTGTTTGCATCCTAACAGGTGTGGCCAGCTTCTATGCAAATTGTTGTTTTGTTATGTGTGATAACAAACAAAGAGCATCTTTACTGTAAAAGGGATGTCAAATTTGTGTGCTACATTTTTGTAATTGTCAAGCTAATTGCCATGCTAATTGCACTACATGCAGTTGATCATGTATTTAGGTCAGCTTAACTGTATATTAAAACTATTCTTGAAATTAAAACCTTTTTTACACTAACTGTGCTTTGACTGTGTTATTACTATCGATATGGCTTCCTCTTTCTTTTGATCATATCTTTGGTTTAAATCTGACTAACTGTGTACTCAGCTTGGCATGAGTTAGAAAAATCATGTGATAAAATACAGGAAATTTCAACTTCGCCACCCTCTCCTTACATCTGCGCATGTGCTCAGTGCTTCTTCTGCTGACAATAGTAGAAATGCTGTGACTGCTGAACACCAACATTCTCACAGCTCATGAAGTACAGATCAGTAGCTGTTTAGTTGTGACTGTCAAGGGGAATGGTTGTCAGCAGAAGAAAGAGAAATCTGTAGTGGTAAGCCTATTACTTGATTTGTAATTAATAAGTATTTAGCTATTTTAATGCCTTCGTGCCTCTCAGTTTTCGTAGGGCCACTTCTAGTACTTCAAAGACGCTGAAATAGAGATTAGTTTTAGCATTCGGACTCTTAGAAAAGATGGTGCTTCAAGGGTTCTTTAGTAAAGAAAATGGTCTTATATAGAACCATGAACACACAAAGAACTCTTCATGAAAGGGTTCTTCAGGTTGATGAAGAATGTGCTGTAGATGGTTCTATATAGCACCCAAAAGGATTCTTCTATTGTTATGGTGTCAAGCTTGTAACAATAGAAGAACCCTTCTCAAAAAGGTTCTATATAGAACTGTCTATAGCACATTCATGCACATTTTCCATCAATCTGAAGAACTCTTTCATGATGCAAAGAACTTTTTAATCATGCAGAGGGTTCTTTGAGTGTTCATGGTACTATATAGAGCCATGTTCTTTACTAAAGAACCCTTGAAGCACCTAATACTGGACTGTATGCATGTCTGATGAAAGGTTTGTTCTTCCTCTCTCTCTCTCTCTCTCTCCTCTCTCTCTCTCTCTCTCTCAGATGTGGTATCAGATCCGTGAATATTGTGACTCGGACTACTCTGCTGTGCGGGAAGTTTACTCTACTGGGTTCAGAGAGCATGTTGGAGCTGTATATGTTCGCACTCTGAGGCAACACTGGGTTCAGGCTGTGCTGTTGGGACTGTTCCTCCTCTTCATCCTCTTCTCCGGCTCATTCTTGGCCTCTCTGCTGTGTCTCGGTGGAGTCCTGCTGGCTGGCAGGTTTGCTGTCCAGTATTTCTTTGAACAGGGAGTACAACTCGGGCTCAGAGAAGACCTGCAGGACATTCGAGCCTCGTACATGCAGCCAGGCCAGGTTAGTTGCTTCTGGGTAGCAGAGTCTAAAGGCTCTGTCGTGGGGACAGTAGCCTTATTGCCATGTGTGGAGGAGCCTGGAGCCTGGGAGCTAAAACGCATCTCTGTAAAGAAAGAGTTCCGAGGTCAAGGGCTTGCGAAGGCACTGTGTTGGACTGCCCTGAGGTTTGCAGCCAGTCACAAGGTACACAGAGTGGTGCTCTTCACCTCTCTGGTGCAATTAGACGCTCATAAGCTCTACCACAAGATGGGATTCCACAAGGAGGAGGAGTTTGTGTGGCCATCACTTCCTGCCAGACTGATCAACTTCTTGGTATTTAAATATGCATGTAAGGTTATGCATGATGAGGACCGAAGGAGTAAGAAACACTGAACTCCTACTTGACGTGTAGTATTAAATCATGTTGCATTCAAGACTAACTTGGACTGAGGGGACTCTCTTTTTTGTAGGGTTGTAAACATCTGCTTATCCAGTGTTTCTTCTGAAATCAAGGGGTTTGATAGGGAGTTTGTCCTACTTTATATATTAATGTTCTACCTTTACAACCCACTGCAGTAAGTATAAAATGTACTACTGGAATCTTAACTAAGTGTATCACACATTTAATTAGATCTATATTTATTTTTTAAAATACACTGAGGGGAAACAAGTAATCAGACACTTCTGTTTTTCTTATGTAATATACCTCCAGTATATATGTCTACATCAAATGTACATGCATGTCTTTTTACTTTGTACTTATAAATATGTACAAAAAATATGAATTCATCAGCATGAAAATGTTGTTTAAAAACAAAATTAATAAGGAAACTTCATTAAAAGATATGTAAAGGTTCAAATGGTACTGGAGCATTACGTGTCATCAAAGTAAACATGAATCCCTATCAGCTTCGTTTTTTAAGCATATCTTTGTTTATGCTTATGAATAGGTTTTTGTTCATATTTATAAGTGAAATGCTGACAGACATAATGTGTGTAAATCTTAAGTGGGTATATGCACTGGAAGTATATTAAGTATATATAAAAAAGTGGCTGAATACTTGCTTCCCCTCCCTGCAGTTCCATTATGTATGTATACTGTTTACCAGGACTGCCCAGCCCTGTTCCCGGTGCTTTACTCTCCCTGCAGATTTTATCTTCAGCCCTGATCTGACACACCCGATTATCAAAGAGGTCAGGAACAATAGAGGTAGGTGTGTTAAATGGTGTGTAAAATTATCGTTGGACCTATGCTTTGTAAGAAGGTAGATCTCCAGATGTAGGACTGGGCAGCCCTGCTGTATATCAAAGTAATGTCTAATTAAACTGTATCAATATACCAATATAACATGCATGTTTTTATCTGTTACAGAACACTTGGAGTTCCATAGTTGTAAATAAAAAAGTCTATTTATGTAGGGTGGTTTGAGTCATATAGGTCTTGATTTGATGTTGTGATATTTACTATATTTTAAGAGCCCCCTGTAAATACTATGTAGATACCCATCTTTTCTTTAAATAACATTCAACCCAGTGTATTTTAAATGCAACTAAACTTTAAGTTCAGTGTAATAGATTCAATTAAATTTAACTCTAACTCAAAATCCTAATCCTAAACCCAACCCTAAGGCTGTTAATAAACAACTGAATTTCACTAGATAGTTTGCTATGATAATGGTAATCTATAGGGGACTATCAAAATAAAGTGTGATTGATGGTGGACAGTAAATAATCTCAAAGTCTCTGAATTTTAACATGTCCATTTTTCCAACCGCTCTTTATCCCTTAGAATTAAACAGGCTGTTTTTTGTTACTGAACCTAATGTAAATGATCTCTGTTCTGATTGGCTGCCTTGTATTGTATCTCATACAAAAAGCAGTCTGGACTGAAGCACTCCCTAAAACATCAGCGTTAAAGGGTAGGGCTAAACTGCTGTAGGGTGAACAGCAGATACATGTAAATGTGCTGTTTTTTGTGGCATCACAAAACAATGACTTCAGAATTACTTTTCATATAAGCTCTGTATGAACTGGGGAGTGAGGGGTGCGTATCGAAATGTTAACAATGTTATACTAGACTGGTATCTTTTACTTAAAATGTTTTTTGTTTGTTATGGGCCATTTAATTTTAAATAATGTTTACAAAAAAACCCTCCACAACAGACAAACTCCATAATCTAATTACAGGATGTTTTTTTCAGCCAATCAGAGCGCAGTAAATGTACACAAACAAATCAAGCAGGTCATTGATTTCCCCACAGAAGACACACACTGTCTTAACAAAATACAAATGACTACTCATAGTGTGAGTTATGAAACAATGAAATAACAAAGATTTCATCTAAATCCTTAGGTCACTATCTCTCAGGGGGATCACAGAAACCCCCTGAAGCTTCAATGCTCTCACCAGCATAGGGTGTGTACACTTCACTCTCATGCTACAAAAAAATACTTTCTTTTATGTTTTTCTGTATGAAACTGAAGAATATATTATTAACCATAAAGCTCAGTGACAATAAGACAGCCAAAAACAAACTGTCAGTGGATGAAATTTTATATTTTCACATGATGGTCAGGGCCTTCTCTCTTTTTTTTCTTTTATGGATGAATGTATGTATTTTATGTTTTTCTCTTTTAAATAATTGCTTTTTTCTTTACTGTTTTTGACAAAGTATTATTCAAAGTAAGCACTTAACCTTCAGAAAATGTTATCTTCTCACCTCAGGCTGTGAAATCAGACACTATATGAGCTATTTTCACCATAAGTGACTGAATAACAGGGTTGAACACAGAAATCATTTCCCCCATTTAGTTGATATCAGTTAAAACATATAAAATATACAACAGTAGAGGGGAAAGTTGAAAAAATTGTTTTACTTAAAATGTTTTCATTAAAATCTTTGTTTCAAGACATTTTATTTCATTTTCATTATATATTATCGAAGGTTAAAAATGAGTAACAGGCTTGCAAACTTAGCCTAGAATAAGCAGCCTTCAGGCGTGGTTAGCCAGACAGGGTGTACATTCTGCATGCTAACTACTAATTACCATATAGTTTGCATATATGGTAAGAACGTAAAAAAAAAATCAATTTTTTTATAACAATAATTTTGGTAACAGGGTTGAATGATCAAGCTTTACTCATGCAGCCAAATCAGTTTTCTGAGACTTGTCTGATGGTCATTCTGGAGAAAATGATGTAAATCCCTGTATTATGCTAATTGGAATGTTCCATATTTTTTACGGGGGGGATGTTTTGGTAAGACGGTTACACATAATATTAAAAAGGTTAAAATGATGAACTGTTGGTTAAATGGAATTAATGATCAGGGAAAATCATTCTATTAACATTAAATTGCCTGGACCTTATAACACTGTAATGATGGCGCTATTGAACGATTGTAAAGAATAGATAATTCATCAGTGAGCTGGGACAGCCCAAAATCACCAAAATGATTTTAAGCGTTTTTGTGATCATTCAAACGCTAATATTTTAATATATTTGTTTCAAGTACGATCCCTTCGCTTTTGACATAAATGTTTGTTTTTTGTTTTTTTTTATAAAAAAACAACACTTTATTCCTTTTTAAAAAGGTAATGGGACATGAATTAAACTCTATTCATGTGAGTGCCATATATTATTTTACGATCTCCCTCTCATATGTGTTTGTGTTACTGTACGTTCATGTTCACTACAGTTCTAATTGTAGTGTTTTTCACTCTTTTTTAAATCTGCAAAACAGAGGAAAACCTCTCCTCAGCCGCCAGCACGCGGTTCATTTTACTCCGGCTCTGACGTAGCGCCGCCTCAGGAAGCAGTCAGATCCACATTGTATGGGAATCAGCACACACGGCCAGCACAGGACACACACACACACACACACAGAGCCTAAAATAAGAGGGTAAGTTGTAAAGCATGTTTTGAAATAAAGAGCATGAGAAAACAGCGAGTGCTGTCGGACCTCCAGTGTGTTTTGTGCCGTGTTATTATGGAGAGGCTAAAGCTCGCAGTGCGATATGGATATAGGCGGTGGCTGGACAGATTGATGGACTGCTTTTCAGACAGGACGGCTTTATTTGGAGGGGTTTTGGTTGTTTTTTGGTGTTTGGGGGAAGTTTCAGTGATCATTATTTGGACAGTCCTAGTACACTACCATGTACCTTTGAGATGTTTTTTTTCGTTCAGAGTAGTATTTAAGGTGACAGGTGCATGCCCAGCTACATTCGGGTTACAGCATATGGTCAGTAGAAGAATCACACCTACTACATTTTAAATAAAATCCCGAAGGAAATAGGCCTTGTGCTGCATATTCTTTTAAAGTTTGCACTCTATTATTCACCTCCTAGAAAGACTAAAATAGGCTGTGTTTTGAATACGACGTGTAATTCCCTCCTTTGCCTCAAGAGGGCAGTAAAGCACAGCAAAAAAAATCTACACGGTTGTTCAGCAGATTCTATGCACATTCAGCATTAAGTACAAACATACTCTTCAGGCCCTGCAACCTGTGGTAGCAGCATAAAGGTCATACAATCAGCAACAGGTTCACACAGAGCACACAGATTTATGAAAGCCTCACCTGTTTTTATCTGTAGCCAATACATTTCTTACAGAGGTGTCCCATGCGTAGCTTTCCCCTCTCCTCTCTCTTCTCAGTCCTGGTTTCCTCTGATCTTCACTGCTCTCCTCACTGCTTTCCATTGTCCTCCCCTGCTTTGGCTCTAATGGTTCGGTCTTCACTTTTGAGAGACGTCAACACCTCTCAGTCTCAGATCTTGTCATTAGGATGCCTGTCTAGATGAAAGGCCCTCTTCTAGAGGGTCAGCTGGAGCATTGTGCCAGGGCCAAGAGAGCTGCTGTTGAGGTACATTAGTCACAGCGCATCTGTAAAAGGATGTGCTGCTCATTGTTCTCTGGTAGTTTTTAGTCAATTATTATACATATTATGAGACCGAAAGCAGAAATGCATAGTGGCTGATATAGATTCTCCTCCCCTGCTGTGGATCCCGTCAGACTGTGAATAGTGAGTGCATTCCAGCCTTCAGTATTTGCTTTCCGTGCAGAATCTGTAAATAAAGAATCAAGCCGAGAGCGCTGCAATGCAGTTTTAGCTTATAAAGAGTGTTAATCCTCTGTGTGTGTGTGTGTGTGTGTGTGTGTGTCTGCACTCTGGTCAGCTGAGGGTGTACACAGCTCTCTCTCTCTCTTTCTCTCTCTCTCTTTGGCTTTTTGTTAAAAGCTGCGTCACATTGAAACAGGCCTGCAGAAGAAGAGAGGCTGAATAGAAAGGCTGCCTTCCTCCGGTTCTCTGCCTTAAAGAGACCTGCACTATTATTCACTCTCAGCTATACTAACAGCATGGGAACGTGAATGTCTGTGAAACAGTGATGTAAATTTCAAGCTTCTTTCAGTGAATCAATCAATTGGTTCAGCTCTCCAATAAGATCTGATTCTTTATGCTCCCAAATGGCTCTGTTCTGTAGCATTGCCAGTTTATTCAAGTACAGCATATTTTAACCTAGAATGTTTGATTTGGCTGATCATTTTAATTGTTCAATATAATATTACTAGTTTACCTTACCTTTACATGATGTTATGGTGATATTCCCACTACATATTGTAGACTGTATGACTGTACCATATACATTTGTTCACACAGTTATTGCAGCATTTGTCCCTGAGCCGGCAGTGCAGGCCTGTTATTTACCATTACCTACTACCTGGAATATTGATGTTGTAAAATGACAAAAGCACTTCAGATATGTGAGTCCACTCCCAACATTCATCTGAACAAGCCAAAGAGACGACTCATTTACTCATTCCAGATACATCACTATTTCCACTTCCCTGTGCTTTGTCTAGTGTAGCATCTTACCTCCGGTCTCTATAACTGAGAGAAGAAAGGCCAGGCTTGGCTATGAGGCCTCTGTTCAGGATCTCTTATAGGAATGGTGAATCATGGGCAGAAAGATGATGAAGAGTAGTAATTGTGACACAGCAGTGTGCAGTGGATAAGTATTGAGTACATGCAGTTCAGAAATTGAGTTCCGAAATGTGTGGGATTTGTGCATCATTAAATGCTAGCCTGGGTTGTTTTAGAACGTCTAGGAGGAAGGTATAAAAGAGTTAAGGCAAAAAGGCACAGGTGTATAACATAGTGTGTATGTGTTTTATAACCGTGCTAGATGTCTGAGCAGTGGATCGCTTCTCTTTTTGCTTGTGATGATTATGAGCAGTCCAAAACGTCTCTATTGCTGATAGAGAGCTGCTGTTAACTCTGTGAAGTATCCTGTCGTGCAGTAAATTAACTCCTACAGGAGTACTCTTAAAACTCTAAACTGTTCTTGGCATTGTGTAACTATGTCATTATTCTGTCATAGAGGTATTTTTGCCTGTGGGTGTGTATGTGTTTGTGTGTGTGGATGCTCATGTTTGGATGTGCAAATATTTGGATATTTCTGTTACTCATTTGTGTTCAGTTGCAATTTTGAATATGTGTTTTTCAAACTTTACATGCGCCCATGTGTATTCTTGTTAGGGCTTCATGTGAGTAGAATACCAGCACTGCAGTTGTATTTCTGAACACTGCAGTTGTGATATGCCTTGCAGCATATTACAAATGGATTGGCAACCCAGTAATGTAAGATGGTTAAAAACAAACAATTAAAGACTGGCATTGATCCGATACTGCATATCACTGTCAGGAAGAAAGACATTAGCAAAAGATGTTGGTTGTGAAATCAGAAGGAAAAAAAGAAATAATCCAGTCCAATCCATTGTGTGAATTGTTAGGGCATTATAGCCTATTTTTAGATGCTCCTCTTAAGCACTTTATTAAAAATAGCTATTAATTCTAAAAGAATAAACATTAGTATTAACCTCAGTATTGGCCAGTACTCAAGGTTTCATGTTCAGTGTTGCTATATCAGCAGTGGCGAATTAACTATTGGGACTAGATCTTTAGTTTGGGCTGTAAATTTCAAAACTTGGTCAAAAACACCTCTATAGTAATGCTAATTTCTGCTAGCACTTCTGTGGAATTCTCGTAGTATGTGAGTGCTAAGCTAACAGTGTTTCCCATTAATATTTTTTAGCCATTTGAGATCAAACACAAACATTTGAAGCTTGTAAAAGACATAGTGATATATATTTTAAGCCTTAGCAAATTTAAATAGACTTTTTCACTAAAAGGTCCTGCCACTTCGGTTTTCCATTTCTAACAAATGAGAGAAACACATTGGTGACAAGACTACCACTCATCCGTAACGTATCTGGGACTTTGAGAAGGCGTAGAGCAGACATGTCAAGCTGGGGATCTTCTGGACTAAAGTGCGTTTACCCTCATCTAACACTCTGAATTTAGTGCATGAAGACCTTGCTAATTAGCCGATGAGCTGAATCAGCTGTGTTTAATGAGGCAGTGTGCTGAGGTCTGCGTTGTTTTGGCCTGCGAGGACTGGAGTCTGACACATGTGGCTTAGAGTGATGCTTCTTCCTCACAAAATTGGTCACATCTAGTGTAAATGTAAACATGATTGGTTGATTCAACCTCAGCTTCTTATTATGTTATGATTAATCTAACACATTAGGCCTTCAGTTTAGCTCCTGAAGTCCTAACCAATGGCTGAGCTAATTGGATGATTTAACCCTTTCACCTCAACTAAACCTCAGCTGAAACCTAACAATGAAACAAAAATAGTACTCACAGAGTTTAAATACAATAAGCATAATGTTAATATTAAATAAAAATAAACTAAATATTACAGATATTTATGTGGTTATTTCGCAGAAATCATTGGGCCTTCTTTGAGGGCCTAGAATGCCCTGAGGCTTCCTTGGGAGGGAAAAAGTGATATTGTACCATCTCTATTAAAGACTAGCCTGCATTATTTACTTACCTTAAGCTACATTAATGCCTTGATTCATTAAAGCACCCATTAAACACTCTGCTGGAACTGTGGTTGGTCAAGATGCTCACAGTGCATTGTAAAAAAAACAAGTTTTGATCGGTTAGAGAGCTCATTAGCATTTTGCAGCCCTCTGTGATCAATCCAAATCAGATTTACTCATATTAGCGCTTTAAACGACAGTTTTACTGCTTTACAGATCCAGGTCCAGTATCAGTATTGTGAAGGCCAGTATCATGATAACTATCACAAATAATACATTGTGCAGCCCTGAGTCCTGTGTGATGAAGGGCTTTAGGACCCAGGAGTGTCTCTTTAGCTCTCCTGCAGAAAGCAGCACAGACACTAGCGCAGTAGCACTGCTTTCCACACACACACTCACCCACCAGCACCAGTCTCACACACACATACACACGCTCACACACATGTACATACATATGCACATTTCACCCAAACACCGACTGCTCTCACACACACACCAGCAGCTGAACTGACACATCGTCACAAACACACACACACATTTGCCTACTCACGTCTCTGTCGGCTCATTCTCCTGCTCACCTCTGGGCTTTCTGGCCATCAGGCTGTGCTGCTGGACCTTTACTGGACCTGGTTCCACTCTCCTGGATCTGGACTAGACAGCAAGTTTCAGCCAGCCATTGGAAATGGACAGAGAGAAGAGACAGAGGGATGTGTGATGGAAGAGAGGGGGAGGTAGGCAAAGAGAGAGAGGGCGAGAGAGGTAGAGACCATATTTCTGTCTAGAGGAAGGCAGGGAATTGGTGACACTGGAGCAGCATGTCTCAAACCAAGAGATACACTTACAGCAGGGTGAGTGACATACACATACACTGTCTCTCACTTCCATTCACATATACATACACAGGTGCATGATGACCAAAATCCGTAAGCTATTGTTTCTCACATTCTTTTGTCCACATGAAATGAACGTGTTTTAGTGATGTCAGAGATTGCTGGGCAGTGGTGACCAGCCGTGTTGTCTGAGTGCATATAGTTAAGGTATGGTGTGGGACGCTGTATGAATTACTCTTCTTCTTTGTCTGTTAGAGAATTCATAAATGAACATAGATGTCTGAGGAACAGGCCACCATGTGGCTAAAGGGGTTTGTGTTTGATCAATAGTAGCAATGGACTGTGTTTCTGAGCAGGACTGGATGACCGGAAGCGGACTAAAATCACACATGATGATGTCATCCAATGATATCATTACTGGCCAGTGAAGTTAAATTATCTGTTATTGAATTCACTGTTCATCCAGGACACCGAGATGTCTGTGTCGTGTTTGTGTCCATATGTATATGGATCTGTCCATCTCTTTTATTGCGCTCTTAAAAGTGAAGGGTTCTTTGGAGCAGCGCCATAGGAGAACCCCTTTTAGTTCCCTAAAGTACATTTCACTGAGATCCATCTGATAATGTTTGTGTAGCTTGTTTATCAAAAACAGTCATATTTCATTTTTTACATGATATTTTCCAGCCTCCCTTTATCCCTTAGATTTGAACAGGCTGTTTGTTACTGTACATTTAAGACTTATATATGTAAATGAGCTCTGTTTTGATTGGATGCCCTATATTTTGCCTCATTCATAAGGCAGTCTGGACTGAAACGCTCCTTATAACTTCAGTGTGAGTGGGTGGGACTAAACTGCTGTAAGGTGTATAGGTGGACATTTGTAAATGCACTGGTTTTTGTGACATCACAACAGTCAATTTAAAATGAGACTGTATGGACTGAGGTGTGAATGGTACTTTAACAGTATTTACGTACTACATCAAAGTTTTATTTAAAAAAAAAAAAAAGCAAGGATTTGGTTTTCCATAATATGGGCACAAAATAAAGGCCAAAAGGATTTTTGGGGTGACGCCTCAGAAGAATCAATGTTGGTTCCCTAAAGAACGTTTCAATGAAGCGTTCTTTTGCAGTCTTGTTTATAGTTTAAAGAACCTCCACATGATGAAAAGGTTCCATAACAAGCAATTTTATTGTAGAACTGTTTCTCCAAGCCAGCAACCATTGAGGAACCTTTATTCTGAAGAGGGTATATTGTACCTTTACTGTGACACATTGACGTGTTGGTCGTATGTGCAAATTTCAGAAACCACACCAAGTGTTTTATGGTTATCAGCATATTTGTATCCATGAATTCAGACACAGTAGCCTGCACTACTAAAAAGAACAGTACCATAAGGTGTTCATATGAGTGATGCTAACCAAGAACTCTTTTTATTTCTCTGAAGAATCTTTAAGTGGATTGTTCTTTAAGGAACCATTCTTGTACACAAGTGAAGAACCTTTTTAAATTTTAAGGAGCCTCCACATGATGTTGGTTCTATTTGAGTTAAAGTTTTTGCTCATTGTTATTGTATGTTAGAATCAGCTACCTGAACCAAACCCAAGAGGACCTGAGAAAAAAATACTGGGATTCGGGTCTGGTTCGTACAGAGCCCAGCTGGTGACATCCTGTATAAAAAAAAATACGTGGCCACGACTTAGTAAGGCGTGGGAACGAGATCCTAATGTGTGGCCATGACTTAGTAAGGCATAATCTTGTTCCCACATCTTCCTAAGTCGTTGCCACAACTTAATTATCTCATTCCCACGTCTTACTAAGTCATGATCTCGATTTGCTAATAAGGTGTGGCCACACATTATTTTTATTTATATGGGATGTCACCAGCAGGGCTCCGTAGGTTCTGGCTGATTTTTGTACGTACTGTAATGGACTTGGGTTCGAGATGGGGTCTCAAAGTTGCGTGGGTGGGTCGGGTTTGGGCTTCAGTTTCAAGCCTGTGCAGACTACTGTATAGTCTTATGCAATGGTTTGGCACCCCTGGCCAAAAGACATGTTTTGTTGATTTTCTAAGTGAAAACAAGTTAACACATCCTCTACAGAGAACACACGTCTGCACGTTTCAATGCACAATTACTGTTTAATTGCTGAATTCATCATATTGGGAAAAAAAGTTTCAGCAAATTAATAGAAATTGTGCACTAACAATAAGTTGAAAATGCCATATTTTAGTATGTTCTCTGAAGACAATATGTTAACCCCTTTAAATCCTAGGCTTATCGCATACAAAGGCTTATTATTCTGTAACTACTGGTACTTCAATGCAAATGAGTTTAGCCATTCTTAGGTTATAGAAGTGTGTAATGGCCATGTGAGGGGTTAACCTATTTTCACTTAGAAAATCAACAAAACATGTAATTTGACCTGGGGTGTCTAAACGTTTGCATACGACTGTATATCCGAGCCAAGAACCATTTCAGAACCTTTATTTTTTAACGAGTGTAGGCTTAGCTCAGACTATTTTAACCCACTCATACTATAACATGTTCTTAAACCTTCTGCCTTAATATTACAGTCTCCAACCAAACAACCTAAACTCAGGCCTGATGTATTAACCAGACCTCTGAACCTTGAGTGCCATAATCCTAAAGCATCTCCCAAAAGCTGCAGGCATGCAGTCTAATGAGCATTGCACCAGCAGGAACTCTTTTAAAGATAACAGGCACATGCAAATTTAATTATTTGTTGAATGTAGGCTATGTTTGGTTGAGCAAATGTTTAGTCCTGCCAACAAGCTTTTCTCCTACAGTAGACTGATGTTATGGACATAGGTAGCATACACCAACTGATGAGTTTAGCATCAGTATATTTGCATTCTTCCTTGTGTGAACTGTGAAAGGTGTGGGTTTGTGTGTATGTGCTCGGTTGTTTGTGTATGTTTATTTATTCATGCTCCCTGGAGCTCTTCTGTTGGATTGTAGATGCTCATATGTCATGGGCTCCAAGACTAAAAGAGCACAGACACAAATCAGGGGGATGATATGGCAAAAATGTAATATCACAATCCAATCCAGACATCTTCATGATGCACTATAGGTATCGGAATATGTTCTTCTGATGTCTGATGTTGGAATAGAGGAAAAAGAACTAGTAGTGCTTCTAGCTATTGTTACAAACTATTAACATAATAATTTTCATTCAGTATTTCACTACTGCACAGCACTAAATCCATTTAAACAGGCCTAATTGTGCTGTCTTTGTAATTTAAAAAATGCTACACTATGTAAGTTTTAGGGATTTGGAGACCTCTCTGGTGGAAATGTGAAATTGCATGCAACGTGCAGAAGATGTTGGTTGTGCTTCAGACCCCTTCCCTGAGTGGATAAATCTGAAGACTGTGAATACGTTGAAAGAATATTGCGATGTAACATGGTGCAGTTTATCAAAATAATGATAAATATCATATTGCCCACCTCTATAAACAAACACATTTTTGCTTGGTCAACTGGCCTGACTTCCTCATGCTGAAAAACTAAACCCTTGCACTACGTCTTTGTGTTTGAGCATACTGTGGCCTGCTCCCAAGAGATTTAATTCTAGACAAACAGCCAATATTTCAGAGCCGGTTAGACTTGTGCTACCTCTAACCCATAAAACAAACCAGTGTTCACCCATTCATGAGTCTATAACAGACTCACAGATGTGAGTATGCATGCAATGCACTCATCTCAGTGTACGTAAAGAAAAATCCTTTATCCTATACATAACCTCAGACTCTCTATAGAATGCGCACTCAATCCTCCATAACAGTCCTCTGTCACACAGGGCTTAATTATTTAGTGCCTGCAGTGAAAGCACATTCCTGCGAGATCATTAAAACAATCACTCTCTCTCCTTACAGCCACATCACGTTTTTTGCTGAGTCACTGTAACCCGTTGGCCTTTTTCTTATGAATTTAACGCACTGATGTAGTTGAGGAGTTCATAGTTTTGCAAAAAAATGTCTATCTGGGTATGAGTCAGTGTGAGTCAGCCCAGTCTCTGTATAGTAACCGTCAGGCTGCAGTGAGCTGTGGTGTTCTATGAATAGATCCCTAAAGATGTTCAAAAGAATAAAAGAAATAAGTCTATTTTTAGCTCTCGTCTTTTTGTCAGCTACTTGTTCATGCCATTTTTGCCATTTTTGTTTGTTTGCAAAAGCACACGTTTTGCTATTGCTTGAAGTCATGTATGTTCAAACACTATGGACTAGGGCTGAATGATTAATCTTGTTTTTATAATAAAAATTGCACGTATCTATCATATAAGATCACAATAGGTGCAATTTTAATCATATCCTACATTATGCATAGTTGTGTTAAGTTTTAAATGTAGAAATTTAACCTAATAATGCAAAGATCACAAACTGGCATTCAAATACACTACATTCAGCATTTAAAGGTGAATTCCACCAATTTTTCAGAGTTCCTGCATAATTAAATGATTGAAAATGTAAAGTGTGGGTTTATGTGAAATGCTCTGTTCTTGAGAAAGTTACAGAGTCAGAGTTGTTCACGGTGGCTCTGATAGAAACCTGATGTCTGAAGCATTTAATGCCTGTAAGAGCTTTCTCACAGAAAGTTATTAGATTAAATTGTTGCAAATACACTGTATGATGCCTGAAACATTGTTTTTCAATGTTTTTGAGAGAAGCTTGTGACCTAAAATGTCTGAACCGTTCAGGGTGGAGATTTACATGCAGGGCATTGTAAGGCAAATTATCCCAAAATTAAACTTGCTGAAAAACATGCTTTTACCTTTTCTACTATGTTCCCATGTCAACATCACATATGAAAGCTCAGAAAACACAGGTAGGTTCACTGATTGTTTTGGATAGTAAATAAAATGTGAAAATGGTAAGTAAATCTACAGTGAGCCATTTCACATCAAACTGCTCATAATGACTGTTCATCTCAACCACTGAATTATGCAGGAAATTTGTAAAATTGTTGAAATTGCCCTTTAAGCCCCAAGCACAAATAAATTAATGTGCTGGTCTTCCTGGTAAAAGGCCTGGAGCTCAGTTTAAAGAAAATAATTACATTTAAATTGCAATCCCAATATTGGTCAGAAAAAAATACATTTCTTATTTCCACAGATTGTTCCACCCTACTATAGCCTTCATGCACCTGCTCTCTGAAAAAGAGAACTGTTGAAAGAACAGAAAGTGCTTAAAGGGTGAAGCTTATTTTGAAATGCTCCATATGCTCTTTGGTCAAGGTATGAGGAGAGAGTGAGATGACTGAGCAAAAACTGAATGTGGAGCATGTCTCTGAAGAACAGTAGCCTTCCTACCTGAGTGTGTGTGTGTGCTGTGAATGCAGGTATTTGTGCTGCTGTTCCTGAGACGTGTGACTGCAGGAGCTGCAGGATTCGTTCAGTCTGAGTCACAGTCTGATTTAGAATATTTGAATCATGAGTTCTAGTCTGAGCGCTGGTTAATGTTTCCCATGCTGCCCCTCTTCCTCTAGAGTAGAGAAGTCCATAGCAATCAGAAATTATTCTAACAAACATGTCTAAAAACATAATTGATACAAATGATGCTGTACCTGACTCGTCCGATTTGTGTTTTGGATTGTATGGACAACAGAAAGATTTCTGTTCAAGTGCACAGATGCTGACTTGCTGCTGTCCCGATGTCCTGAAATGCCCCAATGTTATTTACAGATCTTCTCTCTTTCTCTTTCTTTCTCTGTCCTCCCCTCTCCCTCTATCTTACTCTCTCAGACCACCAGCAGTGGTAGCAGCAGGATGAGTTCAGACGGAGGCGGACGGTCGGTGAAGGTGGGCTCTGTGGTGGAGGTCATTGGTAAAGGTCACCGTGGAACTGTGGCCTACATCGGCACCACACTCTTCGCCTCTGGAAAATGGGTGGGGGTCATCCTGGAGGAGCCCAAAGGCAAGAATGATGGCACAGTGCAAGGCAAGCGCTACTTCACCTGCACGGAGAACCATGGGATATTTGTGCGCCAATCACAGGTAGAGCACAAAGCAATAAGCCCAAACGACCATGCTGAAGTAGATATGAGCTTATATATGTCTTATGTTATATGTCTCCAATTTTAAGAAACTTTACCACCTTTTCTCATTATTTCTCCCTGTATCTCTTTCTCAATGTAGATTCAGTTGGTGGAGGATGGGGTAGACACGACGTCACCTGACACCCCTGAACCTGCCACTGCAAAAGTGCCTAAACGAGGTAAATTTACCTCGTTGATGTACACTATATTTATGTGCGTCTATAACTGCAGGTGTACAGTAGATTCACATGCATGGATAACTGCAGATGTACAGCGGAAGCATATACATATTCAAATGCTAGTGTGCTGTAGGTGTGCAGTACATTCGTGTTCATATAAAATGGAGATGTACAGTAGATTCATATGCATATATATAATGGAGATGTACGGTAAATTCATATGCATATATAATGGAGGTGTGCAGTAGGTTCATATGCATATATAATGGAGGTATACAGTAGATTCCTATGCATATATAATGGAGGTATACAGTAGATTCATATGCATATATAATGCAGGTGTGCAGTACATTCATGTGCATATATATTGGAGATGTACAGTAGATTCCTATGCATATATAATGGAGGTATACAGTAGATTCCTATGCATATATAATGGAGGTATACAGTACATTCAAATGCATATATAAACGCAGATGTGCAATAGATTCATATGCATATATAATTGCCAGTGTGCATTAGACTTGTATGCATATATAAACGCAGGTGTGCGGTAGAGGCATATGCATATATTAATTACAGGTTGCAGTAGTGATTCATGCATAACCATATGCAAAAGTTTGGGGACCCCTAGTCAAATGACATGTTTCTAAGTGAAAATAAGGTAACACATCATTTACAGAGAACACACATCTGCACATTTTAAAGCGCAGTTATTGTTTATTTGCTGAATTTAACATGTTAGGGGAAAAAACACAAATTAGGGCACATTTAACATGTTATGTTTTACATTTTTGGTAAACAGCAAATAAAAAGAAAGTAAATACAGGTGTATTTTCATATTCATATCAGTTTATAGATGCATATGTATATTGCTGTTGCTGGGAAAAACCTTGTATCTCCAAGATTCAAACTTTGAAGGAGAAGGAAAAACTTTAAAATTTAATTTAGCAAGTTGTTGTAGTAATTTTTGGACCATTTCTATTGATCCATACATCATGATATATTAACAAAAGGTCAAGGTGAGCTGGCATTTTAAAAGTCTGCCAAAAAAATAAACAAAGAAAAATCGACAGAAATAGAAAATAGATTTTGTCCTGACTGTGCTAATGTGAAAATATATATAAATGCAGGTGTGCAGTGGATTGATTTCAGTTCTGTCTCTTGGATTTGACTTGTATGCTTCATTTGCTCTCTTTCTCTCATCCACAGAGATTCTAGAAGCTCCCAAGGCCAATAAAGTGGTGAGTGAGAATGTCTCTCTCAGTATTAGTTATGTCTTGGATATGTCTTTGTGTTAGTTATGTGTTTGTGTGTAAGTGTGTATGAGTATTTTTGTATTCAAATGTATTATATATATATATGCCATTGCTCTGTGTAGTTTCTTTGCTTGAATTGGCAGAGTGGATGGGTTTTATTACTATTTGAATCCAGCAGAGGGGGGTATTGTTATGAGTTTATGCCCCTGTCCTTCATCTTGTTCACTTTGAGGGCATCTTTATCTTGTTTCCTGTCAGAACACATCATACACCTGTGAGAGTTCAGTCGTTTAAACAGTAATGCTGTATTAAAGGTGTTTTATGTCATTCACTCCACACATTCCAACCTAAACTCCAGTAGCACCCTCATGCATGCATGCACTCTCTGACTCTCCCTTTCTCTCTCACTGACTGTAGAGGCGTTAATATGCTGCAAAGACCTACTTTGAGTCTAAAGGCATCAGCGCTTATGTTGAGCAGAGAGTCTGTGGAGAGTGTACATTGCCCAACCTAAATCTCTGGACACTGGCCTCTCTGGTCTCACAGACTTTAGACATACATTTTATGATGGTCACTGGAATCTTCATCGTATCGGATATGCGAGGCCACAGATCTGCAAGTGTAGGTAAAAAATGGTAATGAGAGGGCACTTCAGCTCGACCCACTTCTGTGGTTGATATTGACACCAAAATCTCTACATTTGAATGTGAATTGTGTATTACTTACATTGGAAGACATTCTTTGTTCTTTAGTCTAAATCCTTTAAATATTATTATTTCTTTATTATTATTATTTTTTTTTTTTGGAACTCCTCCCGTTTCATTTATGTCATCACATGCAGGGCCGGCTCTTTTTTGTAGGCCCCCTCTCATCTTGCTAGCTGATGTACTGCAAAAGAAAAGGCTAACTAATAGCAATGACAAAATTATGTAAATGTATAACTGGCTGATTTGAGTAGTGCTGATGATTTGGATGCTCATTTGAGGTTCTAATGAGTTGCAATTTAAAATTACAAACAACCTTTTCAACATTCTGGATCTGCGATATTTCTCTCTTATCCAGCTAACTGTAAGCTTATTCGATCTAATCCTGGTGGCAGTGGTGACCGTGCTTTTTGCCTTATAAATGATTTTCTTTCTGCAAATTACGTAGTATGTTTCCTTTTCGACATCATAAACGTCACAATTTCATGTGCATGAGCATCTAAACCTGGATTAAACACAGCCTAAGTATCTAAACCTTGGCTGTGTTAGGTTTTGTGCAGTTGAAACTTAGTCAGAAAGCCTGTCTGAACCTATGTCATTAGACAGACCCCAGATCCACTACATCTTCCAGTCTTCCAACTACAAGCCAAAACTAATGGCATGACATTAATAGGGAACTCTTCAGTTTTTTCAACATTTAAACAGAGTCGTTCAGAGTGGTTTGGTGTGAAATGCTTCATTCTACAGAAACTTACCAAGTCAGAATTGTTCACAGTGGTGGTGATAGGAACCAGAGGTCTGAAGATTTTAATACCCCTAAAAGCTTCCTCACAGAAAGTTATTACATAAATGGCTACAAATAAGCCTAAAACATGTTTCTGGCATAAAACATGTTTTTTAATCTTTATTCTTGATAAATCCATGCTGGTTGTATTAAATCAAAGTAGCCCCTGAAGAAAATTTATTTATATTGAAATGGCATTTTTTTGTGTGAACCCTGGTTCTTATCACCACCACTGTAAAGAAATCTGAGTTTGTGTGTTTCTCAAAAATGACTAATTTCTCATCTATCCACTCTCATCTCTATTACAACAAAATAGTACAGTAATAACCCAGAAACAGGTGGCTGCAGGGCTCTAAGCAGCTGCTTATGTTGCTTATTATGTGGAGCCAGCACTGATCATGTACTTTTCGCTATGAATTTTGGGTAACTCCATGAGCAAAGTCTGCAGAAGTCTGCATCCAGAAACTCTCAGAGTCTGCATTATTCCCTTATGGTCTAGACAAATGGCAGAGTCAGAGTCCTCCAGCTCTGTGGGCCTGCAAGGTCGGAGACGACCAGAGGTTTAGATTGGGCAGGTGTGTGTGTGTATGTGTGTGCTCCACATCCTCTGCCAGAACTCCAATTGGATGACCTTTTGACCTTGAACTTCTCACATTTTCCTCCTCCCTCTGAGCGTGCAGCGAGGAGCCAAACCCAAAAAGGTGCTGCATGTTTTTTCTAACCTCCGTAACCATAGAAACTGCCAGTCCGTATGGCTCCGCTGCATGCCGTCAAACCCTGTCATTAACACACCTCATGTAACTCTGTGTGTGTGTGTGTGTTTGTGTGTGTGTGTGTGCGCGTGTGTGTGTGTTTGTGTTTGTGTGTGTGTATGCGTGTGTGTGTATGTGTGTGTGTGTGTGTTGTATCATGGATTCCCATTTCTTGTCAGTCTGTTCTTGTTGCTAGTCATTTGCAGCCTGGCTGAGTTTGAGTCCTGTTATTAGCTGCTTACATGTATAATTAATAAGCATGCTTATGTTATGTTTTTGTGCGTTTGGGGGGGAGGGGCTCTTGCAAGTGATGCATTTCATAAATGCTATATTACAATATGAATTAAAGTAATAAATTAAAGATGCAAATCAAAATTTACACAATTTTCCATTTACCCCAGATGTCGTCGATCAGCGGAGACAGGCCTTTTGTCCGAATTTTAGTTGCATTTTATTCCAAACTTATTTAGTTTTACACTGTAGCTGTGATGCTAATGTTGCTAACAAACACTAGCAGTCAGTTGTCACCCAAATCCTTTCTCTAAAAACATCTCCCACATCTCAAATCGTATCCAGCTCTTCATTAAGGTCTTGCAGACCAATCAGTGTGGTTTACAGTATAATGTACAGTGTTCAGCCACACTGTGAAGGTTTGTTCACATTTATGATTCACAGTAGGTTATATTGTCTTTTAAACAGCATCACCAAGTCTGTGTGACCCTATTAGAGAGCTAGATGTAGTTTTAGCAGGTTGAGAAAAGTTTTGGGGATGTATTTAGAGGAAAGATTTGGATGACAATCGACTTGTAGTGTTTGTTAGTGACGTTAGCCTCACAGCTTCAGTTTAAAGTCAAAGAAGTTGAGAATAAAATTAAACTAAAATTGTGCTAATTAGTGACCATTGACTCCTAGAGTTCGTTGGCAGTGTTAGCCTCTTAGCTCCAGCACTATTTGTGTCATACCATTGGTTACCCCAGACAGTACTTTCAACACATTTCCCTGTGCTTAGAAAAGAGCAGACCTGTTGATTTAAAACTCACTTTACCAATAAACCATTGGGCAAATAAATATTTGAAATACTAAACTATTTCACACGAAAATCAAAACTAATCTAAACTGCAATAACAATCCAGGTCTTAGGATGAGAAAAACATGAGAGAATGTGATCCCTTTTTGGAGAAGTGTAATACAACTTTGGAACACTGGAGCAATACAGTCAGCAACAACAACAAAAATCATATTACTGTAACACGTTAATTTGTGCCATATTACCCCCAACACTGATTATGTTAATGACATTATGGTAACAGTTGTTGCATTTATAATGCTGTTAGAAAGCTGAATTGCCAAGCAATGAAACTTAGCCTAGAATAAAAAGCCTAAATTAACATATACTGTATTTTAGCTTGAAGGTACCTTTCATACAACTCATGCACATATAGGATTCTTAACTAGGCATATGTCTTATTAGTTCTTCATAATCGTGTTATAAATGTCAAAATGTTGATCACTTTATTGTAACCCTTTAAAGTCCCAGGCTTATTATGTACTAAGGCTTATTATTCAGTAACTACAGGGACTTCAATGCAAGTCTTCAATGGCTGAGCTATTCTTAGGTTATAGAAGTGTGTAATAAAACTTTGTTGGGTGGACGTGCTGGTGGGCCCTGGCCTTTACGTCAATACAATATCATTTGCACCCAAAAATGTATTTTATTACTTATTTCATTTTGCGAATACTGATGTAAGCTGGTCATAAATAATTGAGTATTGCTTTTTAAATAAGTTTATGCTTATTTAATACTAATTATGATGTCCCTATGAAGGTAGCCTTCAAATAAAATGTTGGAGAAATATGTGTTTATTGTGCATAAATGTTTACTGACCAAAATTAGCATTAAAAGTGTGTTTTGAGTCAACAGGCTTTATAGGGAAACACATTAGAATTGTCGTCCATGGTACTCGACTGTATTCTTCTGAAGCAGCAGTTAGAGATCAGGTTGAAAAATACTGAAGTGTATGTAGGTCGGTGTTGGACGGCACGTATAGTCTGATGGTCTGAAGTTGTGACGTGCCCTCAAGACACAATAAGATCATGACCAGTATGCACTTCTGTAGCAACCAAGCTTAAGCCATCATTTGCATTTCAGCCTAAATTGAGGCTGTTCCTATTAGCGCATGTGTAAACATTTTAACGAGCATGGGTTTATCAGGATTTTTTCACTGCAAGGCCACACTTAGGTTTCAGTGAGCAACAAATAAAACCAGAGAAGAAAGGTGAAGCCGTTTCAGTGTATTTCTCTGTCAGATGCATAATGAATCAGCAACATTTACTTTCACATCTGCATCTATGGGTTTTTGATGCTATCTGCAGCTGTTGGGTTTTCTTAGGGAAGAGTATATGTGCTCTGTGCTTGTCTAACTGAGCATGATCCGCCCGAGTGCTCTCTAAAGCTCTTTGGAGCGAAGCTCAGGCCACAGTCCGGCAGGGCCTGCTGTGGTTCACTGCTGAAATATCGGGTCCCAAGTCACGTCTGCAAAGCTGCTTCTTTTAAAGGTCAACATTCAGGTGGTATTTTAGATTTGAGACTGTTCATGGTCTTCTGCCAGACAAAGAAGTGGAGTTTGTGTTACTAAGATTTCTCACTAGAGCTGATAACTGATAAATGATGATGGCTCCTCCTTATATTATTTAGTGTCTATTATGTTAAAAAGCCCAGAGTAACTTACTAAGCAACATAAAACATTACTTAGAATTTGTAAGAAACAAAGTATTACCTGTATAGTGTGTGCACATATTTTAGTATGTGTTGTAAATATCAAGGTTTTGCTCACAGAAAGACGAATGATTACACTGAATAAAATGAAATTACTTCATTTAGATTTGTACATTGGTTCCACATAAATAATATCATCACTGTTTTTCATTTCAGTTTACCTACTTATGACAAGAACTAAGTCAATGTAATATACTTTATTCGTGTGGAGCCAATGAACTGTGCTCTCTTTTATCAGTGTAGATACACTCTGACAGTGCTATTTGAGCCACACACGCTCACTGGGGTCCTACACTCTAGTGGGCTTTTATTATATTTGTGTCAGGAGTGCATGGCATTAAATTTCTAATGCTTCATAAATGCTGGTTAGCAGTAACTAGAACTCTAGATTTCTTTTTTCAGCCTTTCCGTCTTTTTTCCCTTGCTTAGCTGCAAATGCTTCCTATGAATTATTTTCTCATGTGATAAATCACAAAGTAACAGATCAAAAATGGTAAATACTTGATTCTTTTGACATTTTCTTACAAAATGTAAATATCCAGCACAGTCATAAATTTCTCTTAGTATATGTAAGTGATCTAATAACTTGCATATGTTCTGATTCTGATTCTGATTCGGATTCTGATCACCTCCAAAAGTATATACCATTTGTGTACACATTGTAGCAATTCTCATGTATCCTCTTACATCGTATACAGTGCAGTAGGTGAACAGTTGCACAGTAACACATTTTTGTCGTGTTGTTTTGACTTGTATGAATTCTGAAGTTGTACAAAATCATCACCAAAACTCTTTGGACTGAGCTTCATCTTTCAGCAAAACATAATATTAAAGCAGCTGTTGTGTTTTCCAGAGCCTAAAAATGTAATATTTGTGACTAGCCAAGTCAATCAATCAGCTGATCTGAACACCAAAGAGCATTCAAAACATACTGAAATGTCAAAAATAATATATTTATTAATATCTTTATTTACAGAGCATGTTTTATACCAGTGGCAGCTCAAAATGCTTTACAGACAGGTGATAAAGCTAAACAGTAATAGAAGAAACTATGAGTATTCATTTAAAATCATAAGACAATGACACAGATCAAAATAAATAAATACAAAAGAGACATAGAATTTTACTTCAATGCTAAGTCAAAGAAATAAGTTTCCAAATGTTTGTTAAAAGGGAGCACTGAGCTTGACTGTCTAGTAAAAGGTGCAATTGAGTGTTTGCAGAAAGCCAGAATCTGCAGATCTAAGATCACATACCAGAACATAAACAGACAGACATTCTCAAAAGGCTTTCTGAAATTGAAATTGGCTGCATCACTGGCCATCATCAAGGAATATACCCAGTCTCCTCATGTATGTGGCCTACTGACTTTAGGCAATCATTGATAACAAAGGATTTGTGACCAAATACTTAACATAATTAGTTTTTCTTTAACTTTTTGTCCTCTCTAATGGGGGAACAAACAGGCTGTGATTTATGTTGCGTTCTTCCAGTATAGGTGCAAATAATTGAGCTAAAGCTGCACTTTGACCTTTTTTTTGTTACTCAGGCTTTTTAGGTTGTTTGAAAGTTCTTCTAACTCACAATTTGAAGTACTGTGTCTCATTTAGGTCAACAATATTTTATTTTTTACTCCATGTTTAATTAATTTTTTTTTCCCCAGTAGCTGTCACACAACTCCACCAGACATTTTCTGTTCTTGGTCTTCCAGTTATGGAAGGCTGTGGCATCACTGGGGTTCAAGCTCACAACCTCCTGATGATGAGATTGTCGCTCTGTCAATTAACTATTTGATGTACAATTACCTAAAAAATTAGGTCAGCCTCAAATAATTTTAAACTAACTTTAAATTATATTGCAAAAATTGGATATTTAAATTTTAGTATTTTATGTGTTCCCAGTACTGAGGCTGATTGTGTTGGACTAACTAAAAGTAACATTTTAACCTAATATATTTCAAATTCTTTGTTCTAGTAAGAACAAAATGCTACATAGGCCAACAGAGTTAAGTTACAGTGTATCCAACGTGCAGAAGTGCAGAGGCAAAAGAACTAAAATGGTCTCACTGTCTAATTATTATAGACTGTCCACTATAAGTGCACTACACTGAAGCAGTGAAAGTCAACTGAGCTGTCTGAAAGAGTGCCTTCTGAATGAAGTGAACAGACTTAAAGGGAAGCAACTGGGTAAACACTCTCCTCCTCTCATCCTACTACTGCACCCTCTCCTCCATCCCACTCTCTTTCCTCTGCAGAGCTGTAATCCGATCTATCAATCTGTCTCTGCACCCTCCTCTCTCTTCCCTCCTCTCACTCTGGCTGTAATGGATATTCCAATGATGCTGCATCTGCACAACCAAAGTGCAGTAATATATTAAAGACACACACACACACAACCCCCCCCTCTCTCACACACACACACACACCATATATATATATGTGTATATATATATATATATATATATATATATATATATATATATATATATATATATACACACACACCAAGTGGCTGATTACAATAATACAGTGTAAATTCTGTGACTTCTACACACAACTCAGTATTCGAAATGATGTGTACTTTTAAATCAATCAAATTCAACTCATCACTTTTTCAGTGCATAGCTTAAGTCTTAAGGACAACATTGAAGTGACTCATTTATTCTTCCCTTTCTACATGTTACTAATTAGCCTGATGATAAGACAGCTAAGCAGACAGCACAGTGTAAAGTAACTTTATGTGAGAAAAAAATCTTTGGCTGGGTGACATCTAAAATACTGTAGCGCAGCGTAACTACAGACTTAGGATTCACAATTAAACACATTAACAAAAAAATTAGCTTACATGACACATGATTTTAGCTGGGTAATTTTTGCAATCATCACTTCTTACCACTGGACAAGCTACTTCTTTTTGTGGAGAGCACAGTGAGCAGACCTGGAAAATTATGAATGCAGTCATAATTCAACGTTCTATGGAGAATAAAAAGTAATGATTTTGTTAGCTGTTATTAACATTTTAAAGATGGTACGTTTAAAAGAGGCTTTGTTCCTGTTTTCCATTGTGTTCTGTGAAAAAGATGTTCTTTTGTTCCCTGTCTGATTTCTCACTATCCGCTGTACATTGTTAAAATCAGTTAGGCCTCAGTCAGTTCATCCACACAGAACGTGTAGCAAACACAATTTAGCATATAGCATATTGATGTAAAGATTTATGTAGGTGCTTTGAGCTGTGTTTTGTTAACTTAGAAATCCAACATTAGCTGCATCGCTAAGCAGAATGAACAAGACTAGCATTGAACGTTTTGACCAGTGTTCACTCTGCTTAGTAGAAGTCATGGTGAAGTATACTTTAGTACCGTATAAAGTGAAGCACAACATTCACACAGGATAGATAAGAGAACCTTTCTCTGGTGACTCTCTCTTTATAGCTGACTGCATAGCATTTGAAGTGTGAACACTAAAGCGTTCTGTTGAATCCCACCTTAAAGACTACCTTAACAGGTTGTGTCATCACTGTAGAGACAAAAGCAGGGGCATGGTTTATCTTTTCGTCTCCTTTTTCATTTGTTTACAAGTTGCTTTAGCGATTAATGCAGTGTAATTGTTCTTATATTTACACAAACAAAGGCCCTATTTTAATACTTTTTTAACATGCCCTCATTTACTTTGACTCACAATGTTACACATGTGGCCACAGCAGAAGGGGAGGAGAGGTCAATGGGGAGCGGAGGGTTCAAATGGAGCACGCTTGCCTGCGCACTTGCAAACGGGACAAACTTGCGGGACATTTTTGAGTAAAAACAAATGCAGTAAGAGGCTGATGTAGTGTTGTGCAAGGCACAAAATCCAATTATATGTGGTTGCTGAAGACGCACTAGAGACACATGAAAATGCCAGGTGTAAGTGGTTATGACTTGCTGTCCACTTACAATCCAGTCACTGTAAATAGAAGTTTATACTGAATGTGAACAGGGCCTCAGTTTTAGTGCAGTGGCTAGAAGGGTGTCAATGTTTCATGCGAGCCCTGGCCACTCACTGGCTATGTCTCCAGTACCAACACTTTCCGAAAAGTAAAGATGGCCCCCTGTAGACAAGCACAGAGTGTATGTTCTTGCCCCATTGTTTTGGAAAGCCCTGTGTAATTAGCCCATAGAGGAATACTGAAGAAACGTTGCTAGGATACAGGGCAGACTTTCATCAATTCACCCCCAACACCTCACCCCCCTTTTTTCGCTGTCTCTCTCTCTTTCTTTCTCTTTCTCTCTCTCCCTCTGTCTCTCGCTGTCTCTCTCTCTCTTTCTCTCTCTCTCTCCCTCTCTCGCTGTCTCTCTCTCTCTCTCTCTTTCTCTCTCTCTCTTTCTTTCTCTCTCTCTCATTCTCTCTCTCACGCTTTCTCTCTCTCACTTTCGCTCCCTCCCTCCGTCTCCCCTTTCGCTCTCTATGGATCTCGCCCAGAAGGGAGGGAGTCTAGTGATGTAATGTGCTTGCTAGGCAGCCGTTGGCACAAAAGAGCAGCGGAGAGAGGAGGAGGAGATTAAGGGAGAGGGAGAGAGAGGGAGAGAGAGGGATGGATGCTGAGGGAGAGAAGGATGGCTGCTATGTGTGAGGGCTTACAGAAACATGACAGTGCTGTAATGGAGACATGAGGAGATGAGTAGAGATGAGGACGTGAGCAGAGCGTTCTCGCGGGAGAAAAGAGGACGAATTCAGCTGCTGCAGTGAACCGAGAGAGAAAAGGAACCTGTGCAGCCATATCAACAGCGACTACCTGCAACACCGTGTCTGTGTGTGTGTGCGTGGCTCCAGCTCGCCTGCTGCTGTGTGTGTGTCTGTCTGTGTGTGTCTGTGGCTTTTGCTGAAGGTTTGGCCTGCACTCCTTTCTGTGTCTGTGTTAATGTGACTGAACCCTCTTCTGCCCCTCTACTCTCTTTCTCCCCCTGGTGTGTGTGTGTGTGTGTTTGTCCTCTTTGCTTGCCAACATGATGAGACAGACGCCTGCTCCTCGTAAGGTACACAGCACCTGATTCTTTCGTTGTCATTTCTCTGAGCTCTGTCTGTAATGCAGTGATCAAATCAGTGTGAGTGCGAGAGGATTAGTGTGTGTGTGCGTGTGTGTGTGTGTGTGTGGGTGTGTGGGTGTGTGTGTGTGTGTGTGTATGCAGTTTGGAAAAGTGGTGTCGGTGGGTGGGAGGGGTGTGAGTGCTGAGTGTATGAGTAAGTGTAAATCAAAATTGATGTGTGCCAAAGCTAAATTTGGCAACAGTTTACTTGAACTCTGCTACATAACATTGACATAACCATGCCATAAACATGTCATTGCAGATGTCTTTATGCAGATGTGCTGTCATGAGTCGGATTTTCTTCATTATTATTGCCATTAGTGTATATCATAGTGACATAATGCTGATGATGTGAGCTTATATCTTAATAAATAAATGGAAAAATTACTTTATCTAAGTGCAGCAGAAAATGCTCACTTTTGCCCAATCAGCCTGATGTGGCAAGATACATCATATTATCAGTATTACTGTGAGCTACAATGGCCAATTCATTTCACCCCAATAAATGTCATGACACAACATAATATCCTAAAATCATCATTGTCACTTGTTGAATGCAAACTTTATGACAGATGATGCCTACTGGAATAAGTGTTTATGCAGGTCTATATCAGTTCTCATTAGAGGCTATCGTTGTATGCAAAATTTGACCACCACTGGTCAAATGTTTTGTTAATTTTCAAAACGTGTCATCCTCTACTGGGGAACATACTTAAATATTGCATTTTCTGCTAATTTTAGTGCACAATGTCTGTTTATTTGCTGAGTCTAACAAATTGGGGGAAAATAAAAAAACATAAAATATAAAATTTGCCATAACATTTGCACTGGCTATGTTGTATGTATTTTCCCCCTGTATGTTAAATTCAGAAAATAAACAGCAACTATGCAATACAATGTTCAAAAGTGTGTTCTCTGTAGAGGATGTGTATCTTATTTTCACTTAGAAAATCAACAAAATATTATTTGATCAGGGACGCCCAGACTTTTGCATATGTCTGTAGGTGTAGACTTATAAACACTGCCCTTGTTAAGTGTACTCTAGTCAACCATCATGACGAGGAATGTTATAATGCACTATATATGATGGTTGCATATGATGTCTGCTGTGATATATTTATGGTGTGATTATGTCGATGTTATGTGACAAAGAACCCTAACCTGAGTTTAAGAACCCTAAATTTATACACACAAATAGACACACTTGTACAGGTGTATGCACAGTGGTTCATACAGTATTACAAATCTGTGGCTTGTCATTTTTTTGTCCCCCTGTGATATATTTGTTTATCAATGTTCTGTAGTTTGGTCTGGGCAAAGTAAAAGCTTATAGTTGTGAGTGGTGTTATGATTGATGAGTCACAGCACTGGCTGCAACTGTGGCCATTCACATTAGCATGATGTAAATGTAAAATGTCAATAATAGACCCTTTAAAGATCATATGCATTGATATGATAGTTATGATAGATATGATATGATAGTTGTCTCTGTATTATAACATGTTTGACTGACTTCCTTTTGTAGAGCTTCAGTACAGACATAAACTGTCTTAGAGGCAGGCTTGTAAATGGCTCTGGTCTTGTGACCAGTTTCACCGCCCACATAAACAAATTCAAATGAAATCAAGACTAAACAAAATAAAATTCAATTCTGTTTAACATTCTAAGTCTTATTTAACTCTAAATCTTCTATAGCATTGCTCCAAAAAACAGAGTTTTCCTTTTACGCAGTAAAAGAACTGAAACTCACTTACGAAAGAAACCACTGAAACCACACTGACTTCTGTTACAAGGGTGTTTTGAGTTGGCGAGTGAAAAAAATGTTAGAATTAAATTTTCTTCTTCTTCAGGAAATTCAGATTATGCAACGTAAATTGTTTTCTTGTTAAATATTCCAGAATTTGTAGGGGTGAAAGTGTTCAGGTAACGGAGCTGAATGAATGTTGAGGGACAATAAAATATACATTTCTCAAAAACCTATAATGGCTGACTCATGAAAAAGGATGTTTTAAGCATAGGATATTTCATGGATTTTCCCATTAATACAAAAAATACATTTTTAAAAGTATTTTAATAATTGTATTTTAAGGTAAATTGTGGTTACAGTGGGCTGGGGCAGCTAATTGTTCTATAGTGCTGTAGTTGTATTAATATGTTTAATTATTTATCTGAACCATGCACATAGCTGTTGTGAAGGACACTTTACCTGTGTTTAAAATGCTGTTTACCTGTACTTATACCATGTAGCATATACCTATACTACATGTAAAATAAAATTAGTGAGAAATTCTTGTCCTTAGGGAAGTTACTGTCTGTGTTAATGAGGTCTGTGCTACAGAAACAGCAGATAGAGATTATGTTGAAAAATACTGGAGTATTACTTTATTTAGAAAAGATCACATTAGATAGGAAATTGGAAGTACTGTTCACCAACACTTACAGTGTGCCTGGGTCAGAGTGTGTGTGTGTGTGTGTGTGTGTGTGTGTGTGTTAGGTACAGATGAGGTTTTGTCTGAGCTGGCTCTGTGGTTTCCTCACTGCAACAATGCAGCTGTGAGGAGGCCTGTGTGAGTGTTGTTTTTGACCTTGGTGGTGCCAGGCACTCTCCTTTCTGCTCAGCGAGAGAATAAATGAGAAAATGTAGACCGATTTTGGGACTGTGTTTTAAGAAGTGTGTGTGTGTGTGTGTCTATTCACACTCTCTTGTTCTAACTGGAGATGAAAGAAATTGCACACACACACATACACTCACAGACTCATACAGTCGTATATGAAAGTTTGAAAACCTAGGTGATAAGTTAACACATCCTCTACAGGGAACGGAACTCACTTAAATATGCCATTTTTGTGAATTTTAGTGCACAATTTCCACTTATTTGCTGAGTTTAAAATAACAAGGACACAAAGTGCCACTGATGCAAAGCTTCAGCATGTAGTAACCTAAAAGTCCTGGAAAGCGCTCACATGTCCACAATGCTCAATAGACTCCTAGCCATTTCACCTAACACAGGTTTTTCATTCTAGCTACTGAAGTGTCAGTATCTCTGAGACAACCATGTGAGTGAGTGAATGAGTGAGTTAGCTAGTTAGTTAGTTGGTTAGTTAGTTAATTAGTTAATTAGTTACAAGCCAGGTCCATGTGGTGTTTCGCATCTAAAAATGTAAAATCCATAACTTTTATGCAGGCCAGAATTTTTTTTAAATATCTTTTTCAATATGTTAAATATTAAATAAAAGAAATTATACACTACAATTTGCAGAACAATATCATATTTAAGTGTGTTCCCTGTGGAGGATGTGTTAACTTGATTTCACAGAAAATCAACAAAACAGTTTGACCAGGGGTGCCTAAGGGGTGCATATGACTCTATACCCACAACCTTTGTCTTTTCCTGTTCTGACTGATTCTGCTGATCTGTGTTCTCTCTCCAATTCTGTTCCTTACTGCTCGACCCTCATCTCTGCCCACTGGCTGTGTGTGTTTGTGGTGTGTGTATGTGCTCCGTCCTCAGACCACGGCCAGGAGGCCTAAGGTGAGTTTTAACTTCCCATTACAAGATTAAGACTAATCCATTTGTATGTGTGTGTAACTCCTGACAGGCCTCTGGGAGCTTTAATCAGTCTCTTGGGGGATGTTCTGTATCCACGCTGACTGTGTGTGTGTTGTATGTGAACTACAGTGCTGTGCAGAAGTCAGAGACCCTCCCTTCATTTGCCTGATTTCCAGACTTTAGGTACAAGTTATTCATTTTCAAGAGATATTTCTGAGGAGGTTAGATATGAGATAATCCACTTGCATAGTAAAGAGGACAGACAAAACAGGAGATTCCAAACCTGGAGAGCAAATAATAATTAAAAGTTATAGAGACAGTAGGAAGATAGTAGGACTTCTAAGAACTCCTAAGGTCAAGAAAGACCAGACCACCTAAACTGTCACCATCAGATAAACAGTACTTAAAGCTTTCATCTTTGAGAGAGAGGAGAAAATCAAGCTTCACTCTTATTTCAGATCTGAAAAAGCCCACAGGTGTTTCTGTCCTCCTTCCACTGTGAGAAAACAACTCAGCGCTATGAGTCTAAAAAGGATGTGTAGCTGTCAAGAAGCCCTTACTGAGAAGAGGAGACAGACAGAAAACACATAGAAAGCTGCTGGTGTTTTCAGAACAATGGACTGACCACCCCAGAGTCCAGATCTTCACATCTTTGAATGTGGTACTTGGATTGTAAGAAATTCCTGTGTGTTGATGTACTTGGCCAATAAATCTGATTCTGATTTTAAAACAGAAAATTCAACCTTCTAAGACGAAACTCGTGTTGGAAAAATATCCCTGAAGATTTCAATGACAAACTGAAAGCGAAGAGAATGGAAGTTGGGTGGATACACTAAATAAAGACCAATATAATATTATATTTAGTTTCTGTTGTGTAATTTTCTGTTAAATGTGTTTTCCTGATGCTGCAAATTGAACTTAATTGTACTTAATGGCTGTTTTCACTGGAAATAAAATTAAAGGTGGTCTCTGAGATTTGCACAGTACTGTATATGGAGGCATATACTGAGTACATAATCATGACATAAGCTTTTGTATTCAAATGCTCTCTAATTAAAAAAAAACAAATAAAGAGTGAAAAATCCATAAATTGCAACACTGTCACTGTCATATCAAAACCTTGTAACTCTATTTAGTTTGGCTTTTTTACACCATTTAAAAATGCCAGCTACCATTTACATTGTGCAAACATTTTATGATGAATCAGAATCGTATCACTACTGACATATAATACATATTTTTTAATAACCCTCATGCTTAGATTTGTCCGATATTTCAATCTGTTGTTTGATGTTGAATTCTTTTTTGGAAGCTGTGTTAAAGGCAATGGGTGAACACACTAAATACTGAACATTCTAATATTACATTTAGTTGTTGAGACTTCTGTATAATTTTTTTGAGACTTCTATATAAAATATAAGCTTTCTGATTTTTTCCTGGTGCTGAATTAATAACTTGCCATGTGCACTGGAAAATATGATAAATGAAGAGTGGTTTCTGACTTTTTGCACAATGCAGCATGTACATGACAAATACTGGATATTAGCCTCAGCGTTCCCATATCGGTGCATTTAATTCAAATAAAGCGCATTTCATTATCATACATTATAGTTAAGAATGTTTATACCTGTTCTTGAAAAGTAAACCACTTTGGAGATACAAGGTTTTGTTACAACAGTGACATCTATTTTAAGGTCACGTGTTTCTTTTAGATTTTTTGACAATGATCACTTTTAATGATTTTTCATTCTCTTCTTTCACAAATGCAGCTCAGTGTAATAAAGCTCCATGTTGAGTTAGTCTCTAATATGAAACAGTAAAACCTCATAATGCAGAAATGTGTCTAGAGTGAATGTAGCCTTTATATGTGAATTCCCCAAATTGTTGAGCAACACTCAGTGTAGGAGTAAAATGGTAGTATTGTGTTTTTGTATTGTTTTGTATTGTTTTTTTCAGAAGTGTGTTTTCTTTTTGGGTGTGTGTGTCAGGCACGGGCAGGGGTCGGGGTGAAGGTGGGCTCTGGCTCTGCCTCTGCTGGAGAGATGAGCAGCAGTGAACCCAGCACTCCTGCTCAAACGCCATTGGCTGCCCCGGTCATCCCCTCCCCTGTGGGAAACCTCCCCTCCCCTGGAGCTCCGCCCATTCCAGCCCCCAGTAAGGTGGGATGCTACTATTGTCTGTTTTATTCTCTCTCTTTCTAAAACCCATCCAATAAACATCATCTCCTCTGTCTGAAAGGTGTTATTGTTGCATATCAATACAGTCAAAAAATGTCATCATTATTTTTTCTCATTGTTTGCATTAGATACTAATCCCTTCTATTCATTTTTCTATTCAGCATATTCATGGCCATTTTTCTGTGTTTTTATTTTTACATTTTCAAGCATCACATTGTTCTCAAATATAAATAATCCATTTTTGTCTCATTGCTTCATTTTCAGTGTGACGTCATGGATACACAGGTGTGTGTGCATGATTGACTGTGTGAATATGCACGTGGGCCAGTGTGATGGCTGTTTTACGCTTACATTTAAAAATGATCATAGAAGTGTTGGGGTAGTTACACAAAGTTACAACAAATAACTAATTACTTCTCTCAAAATGTAATGAGAATACATTACTCATTACTTTACTTTAGAACCCATTTCTAAAACCCATTTGTACCAACTGTACAAGAGGAAACCCAACAGTCCTTTTTCAGTGCCTTATCTAGAAAGAAATAGCCAAGGACAGTGAACATCATTTAAATAGCCTGTGAAGACGCTGCCAGTTATGTTGATTAAAATTATATACAGCTGATGCTGTTTAAAAACCTGGAAACTACTCAGAGTCAGAGTTAGAGTTCAGAAACAGCCACCTCAGTTCAAAATCTTTATGAAACGTAAAGCTTACAGAGCTGCTTCTGAATGTAAATTGAGTCTGGCCTGCAGTGGCGTGCACAGACTTTAGCAAGAGTGGGGCTGAGGTTTTTATAAAAAGGGCATTTTGTGGCGGCACCTCTGGATAAGTTCATTTCAGGATTTTTTTTTAGTATATGAAAATGCCATTGTAGACAGTTTTTCTGATATTATGGTCTTCTATATGCAGATCTGATTTTAATTATAGTTAATTATACAAACATAACATATAAGTCTTGTCACAAGAACCAAGAACAGACCTAATCCTAATAAATTTCCTAATAAATAATTACAGTGACAGTATAATATTAAACTCAGTCTCTTCATTGAGCCAGTGATAATCATATTTAGCGCATCAGTAAAATATATTACAATTATTATAACTGTTATCAGAAGCAGAAAAACTATGAACTCTACCTTTATCTTTCCCATCTAGTTTTTGCTGGCAGCATCTACAAGGTGCCGGCAATTTGGCTGTAACTTTCTCAATAATGCTACAGATGTGTGACTTGATGATCATTAACCAAACTTAGATTTGAAAAAAAATATTTGAATGGAGCTAAAGGCTATAAAAATGCCTGATCGAGACTGTGTGAGTGTTTCAGACTGTGTGGCGATTGTAACCATGGCAGTGTAAACTACCCATGGCAGCAGGGTTTTTCAGACTTTTATTTTATGCAAGATATCAGACGGAGGGAATTTGTTCAACCAGGAACGGCTGCGGTCACTTCAACAAAGCTAAAGTTAGCTCCTTCTTCGCCAGCTCCTCATTCAAATTTTCCATTCCACCTTAAATGGTACAGCAATCAGCTGGCACCTGCACAGGCTGATGTTTTAAAGCCATTTTATAGGATCACGGACACAATCAAACTGTGCCTGCCCTCCAAGGACAGTTTGCACAGCAGCATATTAAGCATTTAGAGCTCATCGAAAAGGGCACTATTAATTTTGTGATAAAAGTCAGCAACTGTAAAGTGATTACGAGAGTTTAAACTGTAATGCGTTACACTACTTTGTCACAGGAAAAAGTAATGACATCTACGGTACTGTTACCCCAAACGCCATAATATGCAAAACCCACTAACTCCCTACTGCTGCCTGAGGCCACTGAGGCCAGTTCTGCAAACAGCCGAAAAGTTGGGTGCTGTGTGTGTCTGTGTGTGTTTCATCTACTCATTCACCTCAGTCTTCTCTCTGGCTTCTGTTGAATTGAGGGGGTTTGTATATGTCACATGAACTGAGTTAAAGTTACAGTGCATTTGTGTGCGTGTGGGTGTCAGGAGGAAGAGGCTCTGCGTGCGCAGGTGAAAGATCTGGAAGAGAAGCTGGAAACTCTACGGATGAAGCGGGCGGAGGACAAGGCCAAGCTGAAGGAGCTGGAGAAACACAAGATCCAGTTGGAGCAGCTGCATGAGTGGAAGAGCAAGATGCAGGAACAGCAGAACGAGCTGCAGAAACAACTCAAAGAGGCCAAGAAGGTCTACATTCATACACATAGATGCATTAAAGCGATTGTTCATCCAAAAATCAAATCTACACAATTTTTCCCTTAAATACAGTCAATCAGCCAAGACATGATTAGCTGATCAAATACAAAGAGGTAAAGGAGCCATTTTGAAGCTTTTGTTCTTTTGTCCATTTGTTTAGATAACACTATGTCACACAATGTCAGAAACCACATAAGTAAGACTCTTTGAGGTTACTTAACAACTTGTTGTAGTTTGAGGCAAGTGTGTGAGGATTTAGGTTTGCAGAATGCTATGAGCTTTTGTTACTTGTTATCTACATTAGCTTCCCAGCTCCAGTGCTAAGCCAAAAAAGCAACTCACTTATCATCTAAGCCGCTTATCCTCCTGAGTGCCGTGGGGTGCTGGAACATAGCCCAGCGCTTATTGAGCGGAAGGCAGGATGCATCCTTGTTAGGTCATCAATCCATTACAGGGCAGACACACAGACATACACACTCACACCTAGGAGCAATTTAGTTTCTCTGACTGGCCTGACTGCATGTGTCTGTGGGAGGACACCCATGCAGACACGGGGAGAACATGCAAACTCCCCACTGAAAGGTCCTTGGTCACCCAGCCGGGGAATCAAACCCAGGCCCTTCTTGCTGTGAGCTGACAGTGTAACCCACTGCGTGCCCGTGCCTCCAAACAAAACAAACTTCAGACACCAAACATGTCTTGGCTGATTGTCTACTTTTGGAACAAAGGAGAAAAGTTACTAAATTTGATTTCTGGCCAAACACTGACCTTAATTGTGAAACTGACCTCTAAGGCAGGCAAAGAGGTGGAAAGAGGTAGAAAAAGTACAGAGGAACTCTACTTAAGTGAACATATAGGTACTGCATCAAACTTTTACTAAATTACTAGTGGAAGTATGGATCTAAAAGATTAATAAGGTAAAAAATAATATGTTTTGACAAATAAATTAATGTGTGTAGCGTGTAATGTGGTAGTGTATATTGAGCAGTATTAGTCCTTGTACTGCTTAGTACAGTTGTGAGAAGTTTCAGATGTGCAGATATACAGAGATAAGATATACAGATGTGAATTTAGCTGAACTGATGAGAAAAAGCGAAAAATAAAAAAAAGAAAATAATTTCTGACCCTTGAGATTTGTTACTTTGTCGTTACTTTGAAGGTCGAAGTGAAAAAAGGAGTAAAACATAGGTTTTCTCACAGATGTGTAATCGATAAAAGAACAAGAATTAAATTTTTAAATTCAAAATTTCAATGCAAAAGTACAAGAATGTGATCATTTTATGATCAAATTTATGCATACGATTGTTTTATGAATGAGGCCCCTTGGGTCACAATGCCTATTATACAAATGTGTAATTGATAAAAGTACGAGAATTCAATTTTTGTAATACCCAAGTAAAGTACAGATCTTTCAAAATAATACTTAAAGGGCCTGTATCCTATATGTTCATTGTATTTTAACCCCACCCCCCGAGATTCTTTTATGCCATTTGTGTGGTTTTATGCACCAAGAACAGTCATGTTTACGCACTACATCAAACTCTTCTATTTAAAAAATGTGAAGGAAATTCAGATATCTGTGACATGGGCCCTTTAAGTACAGAAACAAAGTATTTGAATTACTCAGATATTTTCCACCCCTGTCAACAGGCCTCTAATCATATAGTGATTTTTACTAACGCCTTTATTGTAGGAGGCAAAAGAAGCTCTGGAGGCGAAGGAGCGTTACATGGAGGAGATGGCCGATACAGCAGATGCCATTGAGATGGCCACCTTAGACAAGGAGATGGCAGAGGAGAGGGCGGAGTCTCTGCAGCAGGAGGCCGACGCCCTCAAAGAGAAAGTGGAGGAGCTGACCATGGACCTGGAGATCCTTAAACATGAGATAGAGGAGAAAGGTACACTCGCTCAGTCATACACACACACACACACACACAGTGCATTACCAGTTATTTTGCTCATGAACTCTGATACACACAGACCACCTGTGGACACTGGCTCATTCTCAGTTTTGCTGATCTGCAGGCTCTGATGGAGCAGCTTCTAGTTACCATGTGAAACAGTTAGAGGAGCAAAATGCCCGTCTGAAGGAGGCCTTAGTCCGGTGAGTATGTGAGACTGAAGAAGGCCTGAACCTTTAACTTTCTACACACTGATGTTCATTTGTTTGTTTGTTTGTGTGTCAGGATGCGTGATTTGTCAGCCTCTGAAAAGCAAGAGCATTTAAAGCTGCAGAAGCAGATGGAGAAGAAGAACTTTGAGCTGGATACGCTGAGGACACAGAAAGAGAAAATGCAAGAGGAGATGAAGTTTGCAGAGAAGACCATAGATGAGCTCAAAGAGCAGGTGCACAATCCTAAAAGGGAATTACACTGATTTTCACAGAAACTGACCAACACTGATTTCTTTACAGTGGTGATGATAGGAACCAGGGGCCTCGTTTATAAAACGTGCTTGCTTTTCTTTTTAAAATTTGTTCTTTAGCTCTTAAAATCCCAGGCTTATTACATACTAAGGCTTATTATTCAGTAACTACAGGGACGTCAATGCAAACTGGCTGAGCTAGGAGGGCCCTGGCCATTTAAAGGGTTAACCTAAGGCCATTTGCATCTGATTGATTTATAAAAACAATATGTTCACGAATTGTTCACAGTGCCTACTGTGCAAATATAGCCATTTTATTTCTTATCCAGAACAATACTCAAAACTGTTATAAAACAATGTTTCAAGCATTAGGCAAAGTATTCAGACCCATGTAATGCAATAACTTTGCATGAGGCAGCTTTTAGAGGCACTAAACGATGTGGACATTTGGTTCCTATCACCACCACTGAGAACAATTCTGACTGTATTTTTCTGTAGAACTATAATGAAGAATTTCACATCAAACCACTCTGAATGACTTTGTTCACAACTTATTCCCACTTTAAAATGTACTCAGTATCTACTTCGAAACTTGTTTGTTGACTATGTAGTTAATAGAGTGAGGGACCTTAGGTTAAGAGTTTAAGCAATATAGGGTTCTCAGTGTAGAGTGCTCTGAGAAGGCCTTGATGAGATGTTTTTATCATCTGTTTTGTGTGTATGTGTGTGTCAGGTGGATGCTGCACTCGGAGCAGAAGAGATGGTGGAGATGCTGACAGAACGGAATCTTGACCTGGAGGAGAAAGTGCGGGAGCTCAGAGAGACGGTCACTGACCTGGTGAGTGGACGCACCCCTGTCAGCCTGGGTGTGTGAGTGTATGTAAAAGATTGTGGAGTGTGTACAGCTGTGGATGTACTCAAATGCATTTGTGTGTGTGTTTATGTTGTAGGAGGCCATTAATGAGATGAATGACGAGCTTCAGGAGAACGCCCGAGAAACAGAACTGGAGCTGAGGGAGCAGCTGGACCTGAGTGCGGCCAGCGTAAGAGAGGCGGAGAAACGCGTGGAGGCCGCACAAGAGACCGTGGCCGACTACCAGCACACCATCCAAAAATACAGAGAGCTAACTGCACACCTGCAGGTACTGCTGCAAAACCCTCACACTACAGCAACACCACACTCACTCAAAGGTGTAAATTACAGGAAAAGAGCAAATAAAACAAGCACAAAAACAGTAGAAAAAGGCTAAAGTAATTGAGCGTTTTACTCATAAACAGGGCTGCCCAGAGTGTGGCCTGTGGGCCAAATCTGGCTCATGAGAATACATGATATGGCCCGTAAGAGTGTTACTAACCTCACCACATTGCCCAGTGAGAGAACAAACCTATTTGGTAACAATTTATTTGAATAGCCAACTTTAGATTGTTTGTAGATACTTAACGTACTTTCAAGTTACTTTCAACTAAATATCCACTAAATTGCCCACAGTTTTATTTAACTCTGAACTCTGAACCTGCTCTAATCCTAATTTCTGGTGTTTAATCTGCTCTTCTTCGTTAATAATGCAGCTTCTCAGACCTTCTTTTATTGTGTTTATTTGATATGCATAAAAATGTGATTAACAAAGCTGACAATTCTTAGATTTTGATTTAGTTTGTCTCATACACTTTTTTGAAGAAAAAAAAAACATGGATAGGAATAAAAGTCACACATCTGATGTGTTTTCTAATTGCTTTCATTAGCCAGAACAGTAATGAGCTCTTACTGAACCAAACTGTGGTTACTTTGTGCACTCACTTGGAAAAAGATCACAGTGCATCCAACAAAAAAGGAAGCCTTGTGCATCTTTTATACAGTGATAGAAAACATGGTACACAGAAAGCTGTGATTCTACTCTATACAATTTACTCTGACCAATGTGTACATGCCCCACGCTCGGGTGGAGACAGAAACTGTTATACTCACTCTTATAACTTCATTACTTACATTTTAGTTTCATAGAAGTTAGAGAATACTATATTATAAGAGTAATTCATTAATAAGCCGATGGTTGAGTTGGATTGTTTTGTTAAAGGAAGGTACCTGACCAATCTAATTAGGCAAACAATACTAGATTTACTTTTCTTATGTTTTACCACAAGAATATCCAGTAAGCCAACATTTAATGCCTTAAGACCCAATTTGAAATATAATCTACTAGACACTCTAACATGTGTGTAGCTGATAAACCTGGTACAACTTTAAAACATAATAGAAGTTTCTAGAGGAAGCAGGCAAGCAGGTGTGGAGCATATGTAATGTTCAGGGAGGACATTACACATTAGACACATTTTACTGAAGCTGTAACCAGTCAGTAGTCTTTTAAGTGATTCAGTAAATAAGGCACTGGATTGAAGCATGAATCAACCTATTGAACTGAATTGAATCATAAATAAATAATACGCTCTAAAGAATGTCTGAGACAGACCACAAGGCTTAAGAATGGGCAAATGTGTGGATGACCTTTTGTTGGTTTTAAAAGACGTTTTGTGTGTGTGTGTGTGTGTGTGTGTGTGCACGCAGGAGGTGAACAGAGAGCTGATGAGCCAGCAGGAGGCCACGGCTGAGCCGCAGCAGCAGCCTACTGAGATCTTCGACTTTAAGATCAAATTTGCTGAAACCAAAGCATATGCAAAGGTTAGGCACAAACACAAATCAACTGTATTGGAAATCATACATATCAAATGATGTTATATTAAACAGAGATGGACAAAAAGCATTACATCTGTTTTAGAGTTCTGTGCAAAAGACTTAGGCAACAAAGCAAATAGTTTAAAAACATTTATCTGGACAATAACTGTATTTATTGTTTGTAATGTCATCATCTATCATCAGAATAAATACAAACAAACATTGATATAGGGAAAAGTAACAATAATTTCTTTTTTTTAATGTTGGTATCTTGTGAGCTAGACAGAAAAATACAGATTTGGTTCCAGGCGTCTCCTTGATGCCCCCAGCCAGTGCATGGATTTGTTACATTCATTAGCAGCACTTCTGATTTTATTAAGTGACGTACTGATTGTGCCGAACCAGGTATTGGATGATATCTATAATTAATACCAGGCTTCCACAGGTTTGGAGAGGTTAGGAAATAGTTAAATGAAAACACTGGCAGACATAAAATCACTATTTATTGTATTAATGTTATTTGCCTTTATTCTAATATTTGTGTTTTTCTGAGTAAATAAATCAACTGCCCAGATAAGTATTATGAATATCATTTTATAAGGTGTCTAAAACTTTTGCACAGTACTGTTTTCCTGCTTGAGTAAAAGTACAGAAGGACATACTAGTGATTATACATAAGTATCAGAAGTAAATGTATTCGAGTTATTACAGTGCTTGCATGATATTGCTTGATAGAGTTATATAGACAGAGTACTAGTACTTCTACTCAAATAATGTTTTAGCAAACGTCCTATACTCAAGTATGGGAGTATTGTACTTTGTAAACCTCTTTACAGGAGAAGGAGACACGTTCTTAACTTTACTGTACATAATGTAATGAGATTATATTCCAAGTAATTCATTTATTTGTTTATTTATTTAGTGGTCAGTTCATCCTGAAATGTTCACATAATAAATGTTGTAAAAAAACAACAGAAAACAAGGCTTTGAAATGACAGTGATGATATCTGCGGTTTAATTTGACAGTTTTAGTTGTACTAAGTGGAGATGAGGTTTATGGTAACAATGCCGGAATTCTGTGATTGTAATCACAGGCTATTGAGATGGAGCTGCGTAAGATGGAGGTGGCTCAGGCAAGCAGGCAGGTGTCTCTACTCACCTCCTTCATGCCAGACTCCTTCCTGCGACACGGGGGAGACCACGACTGCATCCTTGTCCTACTGCTCATTCCCAGACTCATCTGCAAGGTACAGTGTGTATGTATGTGTGTGTGTGTGTGTGTGTGTGTGTGTGTGTGTGCATGCATACTGAGTTTCTGGACGTCTGTTTACGAATCTTTGACTTATAATTTCAGACTCAGAGAAAGTACATGTGCACTCCCAGGAAAAAAAAAACAGGCCAAGCCCAAAATGGCAAAACATAAAGCTTTTTATGGTCTTAGTAACATCATCATTAAACAAATAACAGTAACTTAGTATGGGATAGCTCTTCCCTTTGATTTCCCAAAATGTGGAAGTCTTGTTGGTAAATGTACAGACAGCCTTTTACAGAAAGAAGAGTGAATGTTGTTCCGCTCAGCATTGATGGTGTCAAACTGTTTAAAAATATTTCCAAGCTAGTTTGTGCTTAATATGAGGTCAGGTATTGTCTATAGGGTGTAAATCTGGACTCTGACCAGCCAAAACTATCAGTAAAAACCATTATATTTTGGGCTTTGGCCATTTTCTTACCACAGAAGTGGTAAACTACATTGATTTTGGAATGTTAGAATCAATTACAATCAATATGAATATTTCTATTATCATGGTAATAGTACAAGAAGATTCAGTGTGCACTTCACTACAAGCTAAATAAAAAAGGAAGTAAAATAAAATAAAATAGCATAAGATAAAATATAGATAAACAGCATAATAACAGAAGAAGAAATATGCAAGGTGCAGTACAGCCTTAGGTGCATGTGGACATTTTTGGAGAGGTTAGTTCAGGATGGAGGACCATGGCTGGAATATTGCTGTACAAAAGTGACCATGTTCATGGCTGGAATGTTGCCATATACAGCGACCATATAGCAATAGGCAGTAGCAGATGGTGTCAGCTATAATAACATTCAATAAAATTTATGCTACACTGAAAGTAATTGCTTATAAGCACATACGTCGTACACTGTCATATGTGTAGCACCCATTGTTGCTGTGTTTATCCTAATAATAATAATAACAAAAATAACTATAATAATCTTCACTTGTGCAGCACCTTTCATAAATTAAAATACAGCTCAAAGTGCTCAACAGAGGAAGCCAAATAAAAGCCAGCATAAAAGATGAATAAGAAAGCAGAGAAGATAAAAAAAAACATTGAAAAAGAAAAAGTAAAATGAAATAAAAATTCTAAAAAGAAATAATTCTGTTATAGCAAAAGTATAGAAGATAATAATGAAATGGGAAAACAAAGAGTTGTAGCACATAAAAACATCTAAAATTAAAAATAATTAATCAAATAATTGCTCATAAACAAGTAGATTGATATAATAAATGAAACCGAAGAGAAAAGCTAAAGTAAAATGAACCGTAAGTCTTGTGGGAGGAAGTTCCATAGTTGTGGAGCGTAAACGTTAAACGCAGCCTCTGCAGTTCTTTTGCATAATTTTTAGGAACAGAAAGTAACCCTGTGTTGGATGATCTTAGACATGGCCCTTTACAAATTCGGACAATCTGACATATAAGAAGGTGCTGGTCCAGTAAAGGCTTTAAAACAAGTAAAATGACTTTTAAGTTGTATTCTGCAGTGAACAGGAAGCCAGTACTGGAGTAATATGTTCCTCCCTATTTGCTGCTGCAAATTCTGTGCAAGCTGTGGTTTGTGTAGGGAAGAAGGAAAACCACAACAAAAGACGTTTCACAGCACAAAATGCCGTACAATTCATTACAGTGAAATTCAGGTACAATTTAAAACCCATTGAAATGTTGTGGGGCAGCACTGGGAAAAGTGTGGAGATGAAAATCCGGCCACTGTGGATGGTTCCTTTAGGAAAGTATGATAAAGCAGTGTGAGGTTGTCTTCAAGACCAGAGGAGCTATGAGATGCTGATAAACACTATAAAGTGAACACCATAAACTGTTAGTATGTTTTTCATATTTGCTTTTTTGGTGTATCAGTGATCATCACAAATTGAGTGATTCTTTTTCGCACTGTAGTGTTTACAGGGGAAAACCACAGCAAAGAACAGATGCTATTTGTTGTGTTTTTCCTTCTTTAAATAAACAGACAGGATAAACAGTTTTAAACATTGTGTACATCATGTACGTGTGAGCAGTTCATTTGACTGCATACAATAAGACTACCATTATAAAAGGTTATAATATGAGCTTATAAAGGTTTTATTAATGATTTATAAATGATTTTATTAATGAGGTTAATATTAATAAGCAGTTATAACACATAAAAGGGCAAAAGTGACCCGTTGCTTTTCAGAGAGTGACCCGACATTCATTAAACTAGTAAAAACCTCAGATCATGCTGGTTAGTTATCTTAGTTTGTCTTCTCCGTCAGTCAGCAGTAAACCTGTCAGCTTCATCACATTCATATTCTTCAGATACAACAGCTCACTACTGCCCTTTTTATTTATGTGTTATAACTGCTTATTAATGATCTATAATGATAGGCTTATTGTAAAGTGGTACCAAAAAAGCTTGATATATTGTTTTAATGCCGGTTTTCTATTACTTTTCCACACTATACATTTGGTAACAATTTCAAACATAATTCTGAATCATAACAAAATAATCAAATCAAATTTAATTCTAATAAATTAAAAAGATTCATGATGCATAGAATAATTTACTAAAGAATTACACAATAATGAATCAAAGTGAGTGCTATTCCTGTGATACTGGCACTGGTGTACTTATGTACCCGAGCCAATATCTCTGTGTAACATGACCTTAAGTGTATTTGTACAATTATACTACACTCTCAGAATAAAAGGTACAAAACTGTCACGGACAGGTACCCTCTTGTCACTAGGGTGCTAACCTCAAAGATACTTCTTCAGTACATCTAGTTAGGGAACATAATTGTACCAAATTCCATTGCAGTTATATTGCTTAAGCTGTATTGCCTCCACACACTCTGTCTTGTTTGTCTCCAGGATTATTACTTTATTGTTCTGTTTCAACATATTGAATTATGAAAAAAGCATAAATACTTATTTTTCTCCTGGGAAGTAGCTTATTTAGGGTGAACACTTGGACCTTAAAATCACTGTGATACATTTTGTGGTACATATTTGTTCATCAAGGCTCCAATAATTTACATCGTTTGAACCTTGATAAACAAAAATGTACTAGGACAGTACCTTTTTTTCTGACAGTGTATAATTTAATCATTGATTTATTTATTATTAGCTTTTGAGTTTATTTATATTCTTGAAAAAAATAGTTCTATTAAATGATTTACACCTGGGTTCTTCAGTTCTAGTCTTAGAGGGCTGTACTGCACAGACTCAACTCATCTGTTAATTGCCAAGTGTAGTATTAGTGTCTGAGTAGGGAAATGACCAAACTGACCAAACCTCCAGGCCTGGAATGAAGAACTAGGGCCTACATGCAGGTATTGCAATATTATCCAGAATGAAATTGAAAGTAATTTTAAGGTTTGATGAACTCTTGAGTCGTTTCTGTAGGCCTGCTGTTGATGCTGTGACATCACATTAGTTAATTTCTTGCAATTTCATTTTTTTTGCAAGTGCTGGCAGCTGTTGCTAGGTTACAGGTGAGTGAGGTGGAGGGATACTTAAAGAGACCTAAAGAGGAGTCAGATATTGAGAGATAATGGCTCTTTCTGAACGTCTCTCAGACAGTCACACTGTGAGAAGCAGACAGGCTGTGGTGTCATTGTAATGGAACTGAATCATGTGAGGCTAGACAGATGATGTCTACGTGGTTGTGTGGTTGTGTGCTGCAGGCCGAGCTGATCAGTAAGCAGGCGCAGGAGAAGTTTGATCTGACCGAGAGCTGCTCCCAGAGGCCGGGGATGAGAGGGGCTGTGGGGGAACAGCTCAGCTTCGCCGCCGGACTCATTTACTCTCTCAGCCTACTGCAGGCCACACTGCACAAATACGAACAGTACGTCTACACACATTCACTCTCTTTCTCTCTCTCTCTTTCTGTCTTCCTCTCTCTCCCTCCCTCTCTTTCTGCCTCAGTCTCTCTCTTTCTTACTCAAACAGTTAATACCAAAAGTATGTATGTGAATAATAGCTAATTGAATAGGATGGGATTCATTTCCTGCACAATCAGAAACATGTATTAAAAACTGTTATTGTTTACCTCTTTTTTAATTGCTCCTATAACTTAAAGGGCCTGTATTTTATGTTTTTTATGTTATTATGTAGGTATTTTTTTCTCTCAGGCCCGTGTAACTCATATGTGTGGGTTTATGTACCAAAAAACTCATTTGTTAATTTTCTAAATGAAAATAAGTTACACCTCCTTTACAGAGAACAAGCTTCTACACATTTAAAGGCACAGTTACTGTTTATTTATTGAATTTAACAAATCGTGGGAAAAATACACATAAAATGTGACCTGTGCAAAAGGTATGGCCCATTTTATAATTATTTTTTTTATTTTTTTCCAATATGTTCAACTCAGTAAATAAGAAAAATCAATAACATGTTATTTGCCCAGAGGTGTTTTGATTTTTACCCAATTATCTCCCCAATTTTGTCGTTTCCAATTCCACCCGCTAGTTAGGACTCCCCCAATCACACGATGCTATCAACGCTAGGAGGGTGCCAGAGGTGTTTAAACTTTTGCATACGACTGTATATACAAATATATTGGTTTTCATAACATTGCATAGATATGAACTCAAAACAAGCTGTTTTCGTAACATGGTTTTGAGTAAGGACTGGGCAGTGAATGGTATGTTCTGAAGCTTTAACAATGTTTGCAGAATACGTCATGCAGATACTGAATAAGCCTCAGGATGCAATAAGCCTGGGATTAACATGTTTGTCCAATTAAGAACAACACACATGGTGTTACTTTGAACACAACCATCTTATTTAACACAGGCAGTGTGTTTAGATGTCTAAAATAATCATGCATTCTAATTACACATACAGTGTCAGACACTCTGTGGTCTTGACAGAGGTGTAAAGTGAAGGTATGGGTGCTCAGTCAAAATCTTGCACAATTAAAAGTAAAAATATGGAGCCAAAAATATACTTGAGTCAAAAAGTATCTATAATCAAACATACTCAAGTACATAAAAGTAGAAAGTTCATGCTTTAACACATATAATTTAACTTTAATGCTGGGAAAGAGAAAATCACAGTCTACATAATCCAGTCTAGCTAGGTTTAAGCCCTGTTCAGACTCTTGAGTATGTGTTAATTGGAAATACATATAAACACTAGGACAAAGTTGACATGCATGCATAATGTGACATTGTCTTAACTGCTGCACTGCGTGACATTATCAGTTGGTTTCCATCCTGCAGAAACATGTTATACTGCTATCTTCCTCAGCAGTGCAGGCCTCGAGTGTGGTGCTAATAGACAGTACTGTTTCTTGCACAAACATAAACTGGTGCAGTTGTGGGCAGTTTCATTTTACACACATGAATTTGGACGAACTAGATGTTTTACAAAGGTGAAAAATACTTGAGTATGTACTGAAGTATTATACTTAAGTATTATTTGGGAAGATCTGTACATTTCTTGAGTATTACTGAAATTGAATTGCTCAATTACTAAATAACACTTGCAAGAGAAAAACATACTTTTTACTCCTTATGTTTTCATTTAGACCTTAAATGTAAAAATCTCAAGAGATTTTCTCTTTTTCTCTTGCAAGTCATATGAGTTCCTGTGCTTTTGAATTTATTGTTTTTATGAAAACATCCAACCATATTCATATTCATATCTTTGTAAAATGAAACTGCCCAACAATTTTGCTAATGTATCTTTGTGCGAGGACTTTTACCATCACATCACACATCACCAAACAAGGAAAACCTTCGATTTATGTGTTAAAACATTTGCTTTTTACTTATATATGCTCAAGTGTGTTTAAGTGTAGATACTTTCTGACTTTCATTTATATTTTGCTCCATACTTCCACTTTTAACTGAGTAAAAACTGGACAGAGGTCATTCACTCTGTAAGTGTAGCTTCTCTTTACTTTTTCCATCCATAATGTAGAGTACATTTGCCAAACTGAACTGATTAGCAAGAGAAAAAATTTGAAAAAAGAAAAATCTGGCCTGTGAGATTTGTAACGATTACTTTGAAGGTCTTAATAAAAATGTAAGGACATTTTTTTCTCTTGGGAATGTAATTGAGTGAATGTACAAGTATTCAGTATCAGTAACGCTCGAGTAAAGTACAACATTTTTGACACAATAAGGAAAACACTTAAATTGTGTTGTTAGTGAACACATCATTTTTGTCAGTGTGCTCATATGTACTCTGTGTGTGTGTGTGTGTGTGTGTGTGTGTGTGTGTTGAGGGCTCTGAATCAGTGTGATGTTGAGGTGTATAAGCGTGTAGGCTCTCTCTACTCAGAGATGTCCGTGCACGAGCGCTCTCTCGACTTCCTGATCGATCTGCTGCACAAAGACCAGCTGGATGAAACAGTGAATGTAGAGCCACTCACTAAGGCCATTAAATACTATCAGGTAGCGCTCTCTCTCTCTCTCTCTCTCTCTCTCTCTCTCTCTCTCTCTCTCTCTCTCTCTCTCTCTCTCTTCCATGTGAAAACATTTGTCACATTAATATTTGAAGGGTTTTGTTCCAAAACACTCACACCACTTCCTAGAATTTTCTTTTTTTCATGGGTTATGTTGTTGGGAGTCGTTATTGTTATTACTTTTTCATAAAAATTTTAATAAGTTATCATTTTTCCTTTAATAAATTGTTGTTATTTCTTTATTGTTGTTATTCTTTTCAAAAACTCATAATATCTAGAATTGTTACAAATGGATATACAGCATTTTGCAATTAAACTCTTCAACTCTTCACTTTTTGGTATTCTATATACAATAAGAGCCATACAGTACAATTATGTGCAATAACAATACGAAGTACCTTTAAAATATTACACCCTTTTTTTGAGAATATTTTGAGAATTTGGGGAACAATAAATTATTAAATTATATATAAAGCACAGTGATTACCTATTTACAATAACTTTTGTTGTAATTAAATAAGTCATCTGCCTTGATATCACCACTTTCTATTTATTCATTTTATTATAACTATTCTTGATTATACACAACTTTCTTTTTCCTTTTGGAAGCATCTACAGCTCCGTTCAGCATTCTGGACACTTCTTTCACATTTCTTAAATTTGTTTTTTTTACAGCTTAATAGCTACTTATTTGGAACTTGTGAAGTTGTAAAAGAGGAGCGTATTATGTATATATATATATATATATATATATATATATATATATATACATATATATATACACACACATATAGTATACATTCATATGCAGCTGGATTGATCTTATTTTTTTGCAAACATTGATTCCAAACTTTTAAACACTTTTCTGTAATACTCTGCTCTGTTCCTTCAGCACCTCTACAGTATTCATCTAGCTGAACAGACTGAGGACTGCACCATGCAGCTGGCTGACCATATTAAAGTAAGATACATACATTCATATTCACACATACACTAAACATACGGTTACACCTGACTAACAGATCTAACCTGTGAATTGCTGCAGTTTACACAGAGTGCCCTGGACTGCATGGCGATCGAGGTGGGTCGTCTGCGCGCCTTCCTGCAGGCGGGGCAGGATGAGACACAGCTGTCACAGCTGCTGAAGGATCTGGACACTTCCTGTAGTGACATCCGCCAGTTCTGCAAGAAGATCCGCCGCCGCATGCCGGGCACTGATGCCCCGGGCATCCCAGCTGCTCTCAACTTCGGCCCTCAGGTCCACACACACCCACACACACATATCAACATAACACACATACACTCTGACTCACACCACTTACATGTGACTGACGATGGTTCTGCAAAGAATAGAGTCTTTATACTTAGCACTCAAAGGAATAGTTGTGTAAAAAATCACATTTACCTAATATTCCACTTACCTTAGATGCTGCCACGCAAGACCGGTTTGGAAAAAAGTTTGCTTATTTAGTTTTGCATTGCAGCTATGATCCACCACCTAAATAGTACCTGCTCTGTGAGGGTCCATGGGGGTCCTGAACACTGAAGAACAGGGTAAAAGGGGGCTAACAAAGTGTGCAAAGGAACAGATGGACTACAGTCTGTAATTGTAGAACTACAAAGTGCTCCTATGTAGTAAGTGGAGCTGATAAAATGGACAATGAGCAGTTATGCCTGATCGGTGTAATTCATCATACACTTGCCTCAAACAGTGTTGAATTGTAAAGTACTTTCAAATAGATTTGCTCACATGGTTTCTGACACTGTATAACATACTGTTAGACAAGAAACCTACTTCACACAAGCATTTTAAGCTGTACAAACACGTTTCACACCTCACTGCCTTCTGAAATGTGCTATGATGCAATTCACAAGGCCAGATACATATTTACGGAAGGATGCCAGTGCAGACGCTTCGACCTATACAAACATGGTTTTGCGCATTGTTAGGCCTAAAATGTGTCATGACACAGATCATAACGTAATGCAAGTGCAAGCTGTATTCTGAGTGTTACAGCCAGGGGTGCTATAGCAACTGCCAGGCTGGGTTAAACTGTCTCGTGCCACCAGCGTGTTTACTTCCAGTCAAACATCACAGCAGACAAGCAGTTGGACAAGTCTAATGCAAAAATTGCTCACTCACATAAACGTGTTTATAATACATCATCGCCTTCAGAGCAAGTAAAGCAGCCCTCACTCCTCTGCTAGTCCCATGTTTAGTTGTTGCGGCTGTTGACAGTAGATCTTGTTTACAGATACTCTGAATTGTTCACTGTCGCCCCCATAAGTTTTCACTGCCACAGAAAAATAAAAAAGCAAGCTGATTTTGTACAGAAGGACTGTGCATGAGCAAAGCATTGGCTGGGCATTGACTTTTGCATTTGCACTCTCGCATTGAGTATGTATTTGGTTGAGTTATGGTATTCAGTGAAAAAATGGATAAGCATATGTTGAATCTGGAACTGTATCTGTCCATTTTTATAGATAACATTGTGCCATACAGCGTTATAAACCAAATAATTAAGTCTACTTGAGATGACTTAACAACTTGACACAGCTTGAGCCAAATATGTTCTGATTCCACAACGGTGGTTATCAGCTTCCATTACCATTGTTTGCCATATAAGCTTTGCGATTCAAGCACAAAACTAAACACGTTTGCTGGAGGTGTAGTACAGTCAGTAATTCTGCCCTTCATGTGGCACACAGGGGTTTCATTCCATGCCTGGGAAAGCATACCAATCCATACTAATAGTCCTTGGGCAAGACTGCTAATGGTACATTCGCCTACATCAGGGATGCCCAATCCTGGTCCCGGAGATCTACCACCCTGCAGAGTTCAGCTCCACCCTTTATGTAACACACCTGATCCAGGTAATCAAGGCCTTCAGGGGCATCTGACTATAAGAGTGAGGTGTGTTGGATCTGAAATCTCCAGGGTGGTAAATATCCAGGGCCAGGATTGAGGACCCCTGGCCTACATGATCAACTGTAAGTTGCACTGGATATGAGCAAATGCTGTAAATTTTATCTTCAGTTGAACTTTAAGACTGATGTACATGGACTGGCATGGCTATTTATCTCCCTCTTATCCATAATGCAGCTCATTCATGGTAACTGTTTTCAATCAGCCTTAATGTGCAACATAAGGTAATCATTATTTACATTATGAAACATAAACATAAGAATATAAGTTAATGTTAGATGCTCATGGGTTGAGTTGCATGTCTTGAGAGCATAAATTTTTTTGAGGGGCCATTCTTTTTTTGCGCCAGGGCCCATAAGATCGTAGTTACACCACTGTGTAAATGCCTGTGTTTACGTGTGCAGGTGAGTGAGACGCTGGCAGAGAGCAGGAGGCAGCTGGCATGGGTGAACGCTGTACTGCAGGAAGTAGCTGCAGCAGGCGCTCAGCTCATTGCTCCACTTGGAGAACATGAAGGTCTACCCACCCTTAAGCTGGAGGACATGGCCTTCAAAGCAGCTGAACAGGTCAGTGAATGAGTCTGTACGAGTGTGTATGTGTGTGTGTGTGTGTGTGTGTGTGTGTGCAGTATGAGTGAGAGAAGGAAGTGTGTTTGTGTGCACCTGTGTTATATTTAGTTTATCTCTTGCTCAGATCTACGGCTCACAGGGTATAAACCCCTATGAGTGTCTTCGCCAGTCCTGCAGTGTTGTCATAGCAACCATGAACAAGATGGCCACTGCTATGCAGGAGGGGGAGTATGACTCTGAAAAGCCACAGAGCGGGGTGAGTTCAGTTCAGTTCACATCACATCTACTTTATTTATGTAGAGCTTTTCACAATATGATACTGCGAGTCGGCCCCAACGCCATCATGAACAAAGGCAACAGTGGCAAATAAATGTTCTGAAGAAAACATTAGAGCACTGGGTTGTGGACTTAAGAGAATGAAAGACATTTTAGTTTATGAGGAGATGGAAAAGGTGGTAAAGGTGGTTTTGACAAAGCCAGGAACAGAAGAGAGCAACACTAGTAAGATAACATCCTCAGTGATAAAAGTAGACATACGGTACTGTGCAGAAGTCAGTCCTTCATTTATTTCATTTTCCGTCAAAGCAGCCATTGAATACAAGTTTTTAGGAAAAAAAGCAGATGTGTATTTAACCTAAAATTACAATAAAGCTTAAAAACTAAATAGAATTCCTTTTATTTTCAGTATTTAGTGTGTCCACACTTTGCCTTTATTACGACTTCCATTCTGCAGGGATATTTTTCCACACCTCCAAAGTTCAGTCTTAGAAGTTGGTTGCATTTTCTGGTTCTCACAATCATTTGTTGATGATGATGGGAATAATGTGTAGGTGTCTGCACAGCCCATTGATTTGTGTGTGGGCTTTCTAGGTAGCTCCAGTGGACGTGCGGGCAGCTGCCCTGAGGGCAGAGATCACAGATGCTGAAGGACTCGGCCTCAAACTGGAGGACAGAGAAACTGTCATCAAAGAGCTCAAGAAATCCCTCAAAATAAAGGTGCGTTTATTTAGATATATATTATACATCTAGCCATGGGCAAAATGTATAAAATGCCCCTGGTTGGTTCTTAATATAAAACACCCCGAATTTATATAAAAAAAACTGAAACCAGATTGTAAATAAGAATTTGTTCATAATGATTTGTCTGGTTAAATTAAAAGTGAGTGTCAGCCAAACTGATTCCAATCCGGTATATATTAGAAATAAAAAACTGCCAAGCTTTAAACATGGCTACCTCACCCTTTTTATTCAGTTAAACTCTTTCACTCACAGAAATAAAGAAACATCAACACAAATGTGCAAGTTAAGAATAAAGACACTCTAATTATATAATACTTAGTTTGCTAATTGTTATGCTTAGGTAAACATTATGCTATAATTTGCTGCTGTTACTGCATGACGTTCTCTACATGTTCTGTTGCGCTACAAGCAGTTCAGGCCAGATTTGTTACAGAATCAGATATGATTAATTCTTTTTTACCACCATAATCTGTTTCAGCGTTTTTTTTGCTAGATTTTTCAGATAGACATCAATACTGGGTATGACATCAAGCCAGCTCTCACAAAAAATACAGCGTTTAGTCTGTTGAAATAAGTTTAATGCTGATGAAACATGTGGAGCAGCAGGTAAGAGCAAAACAAAGAAGGTCAAAGTTCCACCTTCTATGAGCAAGCAGCTTGAAAAGAATAATTATCATGTCTTAATGCAGTCCACACTGTATTAGTGCTTGATACAGTGATTATCCAAAGTAAACGACAGTCACTTTTTCCCCAGCATATTAGACAGAAAAGGGTCAGCTTACTGTCCATTCCCTTGATTAAATGCTTGGGCAAATATTTGACGATGCTGTAAATTGCTCTCCAGCGGAGGGTAGTGATAGGTATGACACTTGTGTCTGCTCTAATGCAGAATGACTGTGCATCAAGCTGTGTATTTATGATGGGCCACGTTTCTGACTCATGTATTTGAAGTACATTTTAAATGTAATAGATAAGTCACTTTTCAGTGTTGCAAAAGCATGAAAAAGAAAAAGAATGAAGAGAACTAATATAAGTACTAGACAAATGGGTGGCAACAATAAAAACTGAAAGATCATCTCAACACATCTTCATGAGCACACAGCCTCACATGGAAAGACTCAGGCAGAAAGGTAAAAAAAGACCAAAAAAGATCAACCAAGAGAATCAAATATATACACTAATGCACATAAAGAGGGGCTACTGACAGACAGAGAGAAAGAGTGAAGTGGGAGGAGAACACCCACAGGTTTTGGCCAACAAACAGTGACTAAGCAGTTAAAGCTGTATACAAATTATATGTAAATTAGACAGACTGTACTTATACTTGTGGGTTCTTCATTACAGAGCAAAAAACTATTCTGACGGTGACTTGGATCGGTTCATAGACAAAAAAAGACAAATGGTCATTGGTTATGTTTAATCAACACTGGGTCACCCTGACGCAAACAGAAAATGACACAGACCTACCACAAACCTCATAGACACAAACGCCAAATAGATACAAGACTGCACGTTCAATAATATAAGGGCAAATATGATGAAGATACTCTATAATTGTATAGAATATATTGACCGACACATTGGCCAGGATGAATGATTACATAAAAGTACATATTTATGTGAAAATCAGTGTGATATAATGTTCACTCCCTTCAAAACAAATGCCTAAATGTCTTTGAGTGCAGGGTGAGGAGCTAAGTGAGGCCAATGTGCGGCTGAGTCTGCTGGAGAAGAAGCTGGACAGCGCGTCGAAGGATGCCGACGAACGAGTGGAGAAAATCCAGACTGTTCTAAACGAGACTCAGGCACTCCTGAAGAAGAAAGAGAAGTAAGAGGGTGAAATTGCACCATAGTGAAGATTATTGTATTGTACAAGGCCTAAACAGTGTGTAGTGCAGGGGTGCACAACTCCAGTCCTGGAAGGCTGGTTTCCCCACTTAAGCACACTCACTAAACCTTGCTATTAACAGATAAGTGTCATCAGTTGTGTTGTAATAGGTAAATGACCAAACTGTATTGGACAACGGCCCTCCAGGACTGGAGTTGTGCACCCCTGGTATAGTGGGTCTTCAGTTAATTGAGGCCTTTTCATTGATTTCTAACCACTGTTAAATACATGGTAGAATATTCAATGTTAGTAAACCTACTGTTTGTCACAAATTTATCGCTAACGTGTGTGTGTGGTAGGGAATTTGAGGAGACTATGGATGCTCTACAAGCTGACATAGACCAACTCGAGGCAGAGAAGACAGAGCTGAGGCAGCGCATAAACAGCCAGTCAAAGATGACCATCGAGGGGCTGAGAGGAAGTCCTGCCTCTGGCATTGCATCCATTGTGGCTGGTGGCATCGCAACTGGTGAGAGAGAACGAGGATGTGTGTAATCACCAATGTGTGCTGATATGTGTGAGAAAGACTCTTATCAGATTCTCTGATGACACCCTAAAGGATGTGTGGTTACGATGACTTAGCTTTCCTAGCCACCTTCCCTCTCACTTTCTGTCATTCACTTTCACTTTACCTAAGCCTAATATATCTCTCCCCATTTCTCTTTATTACCCCTACAGAGGAGCAGAAAGGTACATTTTTGACGTCCATCTGTTTGGTGACATCTGTATTCCTCTCCTGAGCTCTCTCTGACGCTCTGTGTCTGCATGGCTTTTATGTGTAAAATAGACTTATACTTATCTGAACGGACTCATATAGGAGTCTCTCTTGTTTTGTGCTGCCTGAAATTTCTGATCTGACTCTGTTGGCTTTTTTAGTGAAGGATGACTCTTTAAAAATAGTCTGCTCAAACTGCTAGTTGCATGGCATGTCTCTCTCTCTCTCTCTCTCTCTCTCTCTCTCTCTCTCTCGCTCTCTCTCTCTCTCTCTCTCTCTCTCTCTCTCTTCTCTCTCTTTCCATATTGTCACTTTATCTCTGAAATGGTGAAATAGTAACTTTAAAGGTGAAGGAAAATGTTCTGTAACATCTGTTAATGTAAAAAAATGAGTATATATGCACTACCATTCAAAAGTTTGGAATCAGTTTATATATTAATAATTTGTATTATTTAATATACAGTAGTAACTTACACAATGTAGATGTAAATCTTGTAAACTGGACACCAAAATGTATTTTCAGATGTTTAAAGGATTTAGGGTTATTATATACTGTATAATAATATATCGCATGCTGTAATCATTTACAGTATTTTTATTTAAGTTTTGTACCTCAATATTGAATCATCACTGTTCAAATATTAGTGGTTCTGAATATTAATCTTGTTATCACTTGGTTACAGCTTTCTCTGTCATTCTCGATACATGCAAAATTTCTTCATTTTTATTTGCAGCTTTCTAGCTTCCTACTAATTCCTTTAAAGCTATGAAAATGCACATTGATTTATTTTATACATTTATTTGAATTCAGTTTTATTGTATTTTATTTATTATATTTGGTTTTATTTGGTTGAAACATTAATTCCAAACTTTTGAAAAGAACTGTATATGTACAGTACTGTGCAAAGTTTTAGGCACCAGAGAAAGAGAGGTTTGAAGAGCTGTTTATCTGGTCAGTTAGTGTTTACATTAAACACTAATGCTTTCGTTTGATTAGTAAGTATTGACAATAAAACAATAATATTAGAATAAATACAAATAATATTAATACAGTATGTAGTGTTTTTTAAAACTTTTCCTCATAGTAGCCTAGCTCTAAGTGTAGTTAGCATCCAGTATCTTTATTTAACAGATGTATGCAAAGGTTGGGGGGTTCAGGTGATATCTGGAACCAAACTTTGTTCTTAAAATGAGCTCAACTACATTTTTTAAATCAAGAAATCTTACTTTTTAATCCATTTATATTTGCATGTATTCTAATATTCTGATATTTGGTTTTATGAGCAAAAACACACTTCATGCCAAGATAAATGGCCTTAAATGATGTGCTTTGCTGCCTTAGACTTATGCACTGTACTTTTGTATTGTATTTACAGTTGTTAGCAAAAGTTTGAACACCTGCAGTCAAAGTATATGTTTTGTTGATTTTCTAAGTGAAACTTAGTTAACACATCCTCTACAGGTAACACACTTAAATATGCCGTTTTTTTAAGCACACAATTTCTATTTATTTTCTCACTTTAACATACTGGAAAAACTGTACATCAGATTGTGCAGAAGTGTGTCTCTGTAGAGGATGTGTTTACTTGTTGTCACTTAGAAAATCAACAAAAACATGTAATTTGACCAGGTGCACCCAAATTTTGCTTATGACTGTATATTTTTCCTCAGACAGTGTCGATATGGATGTGTGATGATTTGGACTGTTTGTGTGTTTGCAGGTGCTGTAGGAGTGTGTGCTGCTGGAGGCATGCAGGTGATAGATTCTCCATTGTTGACGCAGCAGATTGAAGCTCAGCGACTCAGCATAAAGCGGCTGAAGAATGAAAACAACATCCTGAAGGTCACCTTCTCTTACACGCACTCTCTCTTTCATGCACTCATACACAGGAATCCTCCTCTCAGTCGTAGGAATTCGATAATGTCTGCAATTCCACATCTATGATCCTTGGAGGCCAGTATAGACATTCCTGGCACAATCTTAACATCAGCAGCTGTTTTAAACTTCTTAATTATTGACCTGACAGTGGAAATGGACATTTTCAATTGTTTAGCTGTTTTCTTGTAGTTGTTTCCTGATTTGTGAAGCTAAACAACCTTTTGTCGCACATCACTGCTGTATTCTCTGGTCTTTCTCATAACAATGAGGAAATTAGGCTTGTGTTTCATCTCATATATATTACCATGTGTCATGGCTGTCCATTTAAGTGTTCCTAATTGCTCAGATGAACTTTAAAACATAAAATATGAAGGAAATATACTTCAGTTAGATTTCACTGTTAATAATTTTTAGGAGTGCCAACAATTGTGACACACATAGATTTAAGAAAAATATTTTTTTCATGACAAGATTTTTTCTGACAATTGTATCTTAAATAAAGATCAAAAAGAGAAGTAAATAAGAATCAGCTCATTTTGCTCATGATTACCAGGGGTGCCAATATTTGTGGAGGGCACTGTATGTAAATGTTTTTGCTTCAGTATAGAGTGTTTCAAACTAGAATAGTCTTTTATTATTTCCAGAATAGAAAAACGTAACCCCATGCTTTCCGTGTGTAAATGCTCCCGTTCCACAGGCAGAGAAGATGCGTGCTCAGTTAGCCTCCCTGCCTCCGCTGAACGTGTCTAAGCTTGGCTGGAGGGAGGGCTGTAGGCCAGAGGTTCTTTCTAGTGCCCTCTACCGAAAAACTGACCAACTGCTGGAAACGCTGCTGCAGATGAGTGCCAACGTTAAAGTAGTGGACATTACTGGAAAATCTCCAGGTTAGTGATGATAATGGGCTCAGACGGTTATACATTTGCACAGTCACATTCATAATTCATCGTAATGAATTGTGCTCCTGTTTGTGTTTATAGTGACCCCCAGTGCCCAGCTCCTGGAGCAGACCGCAAGGCTGCAGTCTCTCAGTGACACTTTGGATAGACTGAAGGTAAATCCATGATCAAAGCACTTACATAAAGCATCAGAAAGTTGTGAATAGCTCAGCCTGAAGCCCTATTTGATGCAGATTAGTATTACTGGGGGTGGCTTAGTAATTTAAGTGATTACTGAGATTTGTGATTTTAATCCAGTATAAATCTGCAAAGTCTGGCCATTAATGATTCTGGAGTGAATTACCTTCTGTATTTTGTCAAACCCAGAGCTCCCTCAATTCAATCTGTGCTTTCTACCAAAATTTGGAGAAAGTACACAGATATTTTATCCTGCAAACATTCACATTTACAGCATTTGGGAGACACTTGTATACAGAGCAACTTACAATTTGATCATTTTACACAGGTAGGCGAAAGGTAGTGTTAGGAGTCTTGCCCAAGGACTCTTATTTGTATAGTGTAGGGTGCTTACCCAGGTAGGGGATTGAACCCCAGTCTACAGCATAGAGGGCAGCAGTGTTACCCACTACACTATACCAACCAAGCATACTTATCAGCTACTCAAATTGCTGAGAAATGGTATCACAAAACCTCCCCATCCTCCTCTCGAAAAGACAGAAAGATATGGATGGATGGATGGATGGATGGATAGATAGATTCCAGCCTCTAGACTTATAAGAAGGCTTTCCACTAGATGTTGGATCATTGTTGTAAGGATTTTATTGAATTTAGCCACAAGAGCATTAGTGAGGTCAGGTACTGATGTTGTGTGGTTAGTTGTGGATAATAAACTCCACTCAAACTCATCCCAGAGGTTTCCACTGCTCCACAGCCCATTGCTGGAGGGCGTTTACTGCCACTTGCCAATATTTGGCATTGGCATGGTAATGTTAGGCTCATAGGCAGCTGCTCCAGAGTGTCCCATTGTGTTGGCAATGCTTTTCTATGAAGATTTTACAAGCTGTGTGTGCGACCGAACACCTGTGTCAACAATGCATGCTTCAGCTGGATTAGCAGGGATGTCTGGATACTTTTGTTGTTACAGTGAACATATTTACACATACAGACAAGTCCTTAAGCAAATTGTAAGGTTATAGCTGCGTGTGTGTATACTAGTACAAGTGACTTAAACAACAATGTGAGTTGGCAGAAATGGGCATGGACGCAGGTGAATAGTTACATAGTTGGGGTAATGCAGAATAAAAACACTTGTGTAGCTAAATAAGGACTAAAAATTTAGACCACAGCCAGATCTACCACCTGGATGAATTGGGTGCGCACCCTGGGGCTCTGCATGCCAAAAGGCTTTTTCATACACCAGATAAAAGAAACCACACCGGGAAAAGACCTGTATTTACTGATATGCACTCACAGCAACTTGCTAAATAGCATAACACTTCTCAGACATTAAGCCACAGTTAGGCCAAGGTGGATCACAGGTATACCCAATCAAATGCCAAAAAATATTTTTAAGCTGAATTTAAGAAAATGAAATTTGTTTCCTGTGAATTTTGTCATTGTATCTTGACTAATCATAATCATGGCACTCATCATCTCTAAACATACAAGGTAGTCCAGTCATCCCGAGTCCTGCCTTATTTTCTTGACCTTGCGATCTGCTTAGCAACCCTTCGTTATCCACCATTACCCTCTTCAGGCTTTCAGTTTAGCAGTGCGCTACTTCTTCAGGCTTTTTTCAGGTACATTCATACATGGAAACTAAGCTGCAAAAACAGCCTGTTTTGAATTTACTGATTTTGTGATGTCAAGAAAACCAAGACATTTACATATTTCCACGTATTCAGCTAATAGCAGTTTGGCCCTGCCCATTCATTCAGAAGTTATAAGGAGTGTTTCAACCCGAACTGCTTTTTAAATGAGCCACAATACAGGGCAGCCAGCAGAGATCTGTTAAAGGCACTCTAACAAACACAGCCTGTTTGAAAACACCACAAATGTTATACAAAAAAAAATACAAGGAAAATGTGGGATATGGGCCCTTTAGCATGATTTGTATTAACATTCGTCTTCCCCTCTCCTTCAGGATGAGGTTGCGGAGCATGTTGTGTCTCAGCGGCCTGGCGCTAAGGTCTCTTCTGACTTCGCCACTTTCCCCTGCTCCTCCTTCGTAAAGGTAAGACACTGAAGCAGCTCCCTCATTCTAGACCCCAGCAGAACCAGATGACTCTCTATCGCTCATTCCTGCTATCTCTACATTGCTCCACCTCTCTCAGGCTAAAGAGGAGAAGATGGGGGATGCGGTGTTGGTTGGTCGTGTGATGGTACCGTGTCCACGGGGGCAGGAGCAAGTTCACCAGCTCGTGCTGTCTCAGACCCAGCTTCAGAGAGTGCATCGCCTGCTTCAGACCTAAACATGTCCTTCCCTCAGATCAAACCCCCACAACACTTCCCAAAAAACCTGGCCTGCTTATACTAGACGCATCTCAACGCTGCTATCAAAGGACAAGAATGAAACAAAGCCTGTGTCTCAGTCTCAGTGATTGGTTAAGAGTTTTTCGTTTAGGCTTGGCATCTACACAGCCAATGAAATGCGAATCTATTTATTTGTTTATAATTTAATTTTAATTTTAAATTAAATTTCAAATTTTAAATTAAAATGTGTAATATTTTAATTAGTCTTTTTTGCAAAGGTATGGACTCATTTCTGTCAGGCAGAAGAGAAAAAATTGGTTACGGTTTTTCTCATTCTGTGTTTTTCTGGCTAAAGTATGTCAAAATTTTGTTTTAGAATGACTTATTTTCTCAAAATATTGTCTTACTGTGTTCAAATAATAACTTATTCTGCCAAAGTAATGATTGTAATAATGACTTATTATCCCAAAATAATTACTTCCTTTTGTGAAATTTAACTCATTGACCCGCACAATCTGTTGAAAGTCAATTTTCTGAAAAAAATAGCTACTATTATTGTCATTATTTCAAGAAAATAAACACTATTTTGAGATACTAAGTGAATATTTTGAGAAAACAATAATTTCAAGATATAAAGTCAAAATTACACTCAAAAGTACATCAACTGACATAAGTACATTTTTTGACACTGCTGCCAGAAACAGATCATATTCATCCAGTGTTCTCCTCTTTCTGCCAGGAATGAGCTTCCATATGAAGCCGAATTAATGCAGTCAAACACATAGTTTTGGACTTTATTTAAATCTGTTGATATTTTAGAAGGTGACCATAAAAGGCGCTGTGCTCTTCCTCAGCATCATTACAGCATCACATCATATTATACACTGTAATTCTAAGATATTTCAGAATGGATTAATTAACTTCACAACATTTAAAGATAAAGAAAACAAGCAATCTTAATAGTATGAACTGCTAACAATCTTAAGGATTCAACATTATTCATCTGACTGCACTGTTTATTTGAGAACAACTAAGACAGCTGAACAAACCTGATACATGGTGCATCAATGGTTCAGTATGAATGAAGAAAAGCTTGCAGTTTAAAGGCTGTTAGGACCTTTTATGATTAAACGGGCAGGTTTGTCTAAGTACCTCTGTTCTTAAGGCTTATCTGTCGTTCATTCTCCATTTACTTTCTTTGTCTTTTTGTATGATGTCAGAAACTATTGAATAGCATTCCACATGGCACAAAGGATTACATTAGCTGGAAATAACAATGAATCAGACTTACTTGCATCACTTTGAGCATTTTAATATATTTTTGACCAACTGATTTTAATTAGGGTTGAGTAAAATCAGGAAATGGAGACTAGGTTTAAACAACAGGAGACAAAATGGTGAAATGGATTGCCTGATAAGTTGGCATCAGTATTAACAAACATAGGCTGATGGCAAATGTTTAATTCATTTCGATATGAGGCCAGTATTTTATTGTTCTCTGAAGGATGAGACTGAGACGGGTACATTAAGACTAAAAGCAAGATTGTACTCAAACCAAATTACTGAAATCCAAAACTGCTTAATGTGCTTTACTGTGCTGTGTAAGTGGAGAGTTCCCCCTCCGTAACGTCATTTTTATCCAACCTTTTCTTGTAGGTATAATCTAAACTTGCTTCTTAGCATGTGGGATGATCATGACTAGCATAAAGAAGAAGATCAACTTGTAAGGCCAGTGATGATTATGGAAGGAAGGGGGCAGTTAGGGGAGGGCAAACATATACAGTATTTGCTCAAAGGTCATTATTCAAGTGGTCTTAAGTAATCAGTGGTTCGCTTTGCTACTGACTGTGTAAGTTATTAACCTATTTATTGTGTAAAGTGCATTTTGTTGCTTACAATGATGAAGAATGTGTTGGGCATATTGCATTTGAATGAAGTAAATCCAATAAATTGTGCTAGAAATGAAAGATGTTCCTATTGGTCATTTGACGATACATGTCTGAAAGTATCTAGACTCCCTCTAATTGGTGAATTCAGCTACTTTAAGGCACACCCATTGCTGACACAGGTGTTTAATTGCACACCCACAGCTTGTATAACCTCCATGGGAAAGACGTCACGAATGCTCTGGTGGCAGCAATCAAATTCTCACAACATCTAGTGTAAAGTCTTCCCAGAAGGGTAAGAAGCTGTCACTGCAGCAAACAGGGGAACAAACAACTATTAATACCCTTCAGAAGAGACCGTGAATGAGCAGGTGTCTTCAAACTTTTGGACATGTAGTGTATGTTGTCATTAGTAGCAAGTGAGTGAAAGGGAGGAGCTGGAGCGAGTCCTTCTATCCTCACTGCTCAGGAACCCACACAGAGAACTGACTCTAAGCATTTGCATTCTTATTGTGTAATGAACATTATTCAAAGAAGGCAATGACGGGGCCAATTGGATCTCTCTACCACAGAAACCTGAACTGATAAAATCTAAATTATTTGAACAGGCAAATGTTCTCTCTTTCCCGTTTCATGGTGAGAAGCTTAACGTGATCCTTCAAAAGAAGAAAGAACACATTTCCCTCTCTGCACGAGGTGCTACTGCTATGGAGCCTGAGGAAACTTCTTCATGGAACCTGTAAATTCTCCCCTGCTGGACTGGCTTGGATGTAAGCGCATCAGCTTGGGTACTGCCTGGATATTTTGGGATATACCACCTTCTCCAGGATATACAAACTCCTTTGTTTCTAGTAGGACATGGATGTCATTGAACATTTAATTCAAAACATAACTGTATGCAATGGCAATGTCACCACCAATAATAATGACGCTATTAAGATTATTAGATGGGTGTCTTTTGCTCTCGGACTGCCTGGAATCTGCTTCTCAATTTATCTCATGAGCCAGCAGGTCAGCAACGGCAAAGCTGCCCCCGTCTACCTCATCAGCCTGCTCGCCTCGGACATCTTCAGCATCTTTGGACAGCCAAATAAGCCTATAGACAGCATTACGCAGACCTCCACACTGGCTGACATCTCCTCCTTGGTGTTTTACTTCGGCGTCATCACCAACATCGTGTTCATGGTGTGTGTCGCACAGGAACGGTACCTGTTGGTGGCTTGTTCACAGCACGTTGCCTGTTGCAACAAGATCAAACAGTCAGTCGTGGTTTCTTTGGCCCTGTGGGCGGCCCCCATTGCTATCCTCATGCTGGCTCTGAATGGCTACATGCTCTGCTTCTCCATCGTTCTCCTGCTCCCACTTGTTGTCCTGTCCTTCTTCTTAGTGGACACCTTCAGGGCCCTTTATTGTTCCAGGAGGTCAGTGCACGTTCACGAGAAAAAAAGGATTCTGGGTATGCAGGCCATGCTTTTCTTCAACTACAGCTTCCTTTATTTCCCTTTTGTCTTAAACACACTGTTAAATGCTTTATCACTCAAATGCTACACTCAGTATTTGGGACTGGTCGTTAACGCACTCTTGAATTTCGCCCCCTTCGTGGATCCGTTCCTCTCCTTTTTTCTGACGAAAGTCAAGGATTTAAAAGAAGCTTGCTCCTGTTGTAAAAAGAGGCGCAAACAAGTGGATGAGATGCCAACAGTGGTAACAGTCTCTGAGATTGTAACTAGACTCTGAAGCTCTGCATCATGAAGCAGCAGAGGGACCACGATATAGGCCTATTCATGAGACCATACCATTTAAAAACGGCTGATACAGACGTTAAAAACTGCTTTTGGTTCCTAATCATACTTTCATATTAAGGCTTATCTTGTGCCCTGTGATATGGAGTAACATCAACACTTCTGGTAACTTGTGATTGTGATTATTGGCAAATGCAATACCAATTTTAGGGGGCTCAAAATTTTGACAACCTTTAATATCAGGTGACATAATTTTGTATTTTGTATTTTGCATTTGGTATTTAGACATTGTACTTTGATACTCCAATTGTTAAAGCTGAACAGTTCTTTTATTGACTGATATGATTAGTAAGTATAACTAACAACTGACAAACTAAACAACAGAAACTCTTATATTACACTGAAACCCTGGGGGTGGAACTAACCAGTATTGCCATCATATGGTAAAACAAAGTGGCTCCAATTGAGCTACTCTGTAGAATAGCTGTCTAAGGTTTTGCAGTATCATCAGGAGAGTGCGAGTCTGAATCCTGGTGCTACCATGATTAAGAAACGGCACTAATTATCAGCATGTTTTGGCTGATACCGATATAACCTTGAGTTGCTACTTATCGGCCAACTGATACCAGCTGGACCCTGGTTCTGTCAAACCTTGTCTAATGTAATCCAACAGCAGACTGTTCTGACAGAGCAGCCCGGAGTGTTTCATATAAAGTATGGAACAACAAGTTGATTTTTCAAAACAGAAAAATTGTATGTCTTTTAATAGTCATAAAATGGAATACAAACAGTTTCTCCAATACATAGAAGACTCTAAAAACCTAAAAGGTGTAAAACCATCATCTGAAGTAGGTTTTTCAGGGTACGAAGGAGTCTGCTACTCAGAGCAGACTGACAGGTAAACTGTAGAGAAAGAGTGCAGAGCTCTTCGAGCAAGTAACAGTAAAAATCTTTAGGCACAATCACCAAGGTGGGTAGACATAGGATGTGTGTCATTACAAAAGTGGGGTAATTTGGCCCAGGTGGCAGCTTTTTCTGTAACCAGAACACACATACATGGTCAGAAACACAAAGTTGTAAACAGAAAGCTCCCCCTGAAAAAAAGATACATGGAGGCCCTTTCTTCAGGGATGGAGGAAAGAAAGGCTAGTGAGAAAATCCAGCGTTGCAAAAGCATTACAGTAACATTACCAAAGGAGAAAGAAAAGAAAACTAAAGGTGATTCAATGGAACGTTGTACAAAGTGTCTTTCTGTCCTGAGTATCCAAAACAAAACGTCAAATGTCAGGAAAAAATGTTTCAAACACTGACAAACCACCTCTGAGTGTTTTTCAGTAAAGCAGTCAGAAAGTTCTGTGGGCCCAGAACAAATACAAAAAACAAAAAAACAAACGATAAAACCAATAAGGTAGGGCCCATACCAATAGGGCAGGGCTTATCCACACTGCTGGTGAACTGCAGGTTTTGTTACTGGAAGGGCTGGGCTCTATTGGCAGCAATGGCCAGTCTCTGAGGCCTGTCAGTCAAGGCAACAGGGTCTATCGTCGTGGCTGGTGTCTGGTGGGTCTGGGGATCGGGGCCGGCGCCACAGCGCAGGAAGGCGTGGAGGCAGAGGCGGCGGCGTCCTCGGCCTCCTCCAGCTCTCCCTGCAGTTCCTGACTTACGCTGGACTGCAGTGCGGCTGGCGTTAGCCACTCCTTAGGCAGGCAGCTCTGCAGAAAGGGCACACAGGAGCTGAAGTAGGCCAGTCTGTTCACCCAGCGCGGGATCTCACGACCACACAGGATCTGCCAGAGACACAATCCACAGAGATGCCAAATGAGATTTCTGTCTTTTGGGTACAGTAAAGGTCTTCCATCATCATTGTATGCATTTGTACAGGTTAGGCAACGACAAGGTTGGGGATTCAGCTGCATTAGAGATTGAAATATCCATTCAAACCCAACAGAACTTCAAGGCTTGTGTCAAGTTTGGACATCATTTCTCAAATATGTTAGGCTCAGGTTGGGTTCAAATTTTGCTCTTTGATTCTCACAGCTTGCCTCCCATTTGTACAGATTTTATCTATATTTCCTCATTTTTTAATTTGGCATGCTGGAGTCACCCACTCAGCACCAAGGTCCACAACATAGTTTTATATGTGACATCCTATATGTAGAAACAGACTTTTATGATTAAACAAGTGAGGCTAACGTCTTGCTATATCACAACTGTACAGCACGAGACTGGCACAGTATGTAATTTATCCAAACTAAAAACTTTTGAGATGGTGTTCAAAGGCATTATTTAATGAGTAAATATGTTGAAGGAGAATTTTAATCATGGTCTAATCTGAGATGTTTTTATGACGTATTGACTTGGGCCCTAAAGCAAATGTTTCTCAGACTGGTGCTTAAAACCCCCAGATGGTTCACATTTCCACTTTATCAAAGCTCCCAGCACAGGGATTGAACAAAAATGTGGACTGACCCTTACCTCTGACAGTGCTGAGGAAAAATGATTGCAGTTCTTGTGCATGAGGTGGTAGGCATTCCCCTTGTACTCCTTTCCCAACTCCTCCATGATTCGCTCCACATCCTCTTCTGTGAAGTCTGTACTCCCTAGAACGATAGCTTCTCTGAAACGGGAGGAAGAGAAACAAAGTGCAAAAGAAGGTTTACTGGCTTTCCTTTTCTTTACAAAATATAATCGACTCAATTATAAAACTCACTTGAATTTAAACGTCTCCCCAAGTTCTGTGGCATCACCAGGTGTTATCTCAAATATACCTGAAAATGGATATGGATGTCCCCCATAAGCAAATTCTGGGGAAAAAAAGAGAGAGAAAGCCATAAACATCCTGAATAAATAATGTTACTTTTGCATTCAATAGATGTATAGCCTGTGTAAGAGTATGCACACAAAACAGCAGCAGTCAGAGAATCTTACCTCTGCCATAAATCTCAATCCCTGAGTGAAAGACCCCGATACCCAGAGAGGTAGTGAACTCATTGATCCAGTACTAGAAAGAACAAAAATGATTTGTTAAGTTTACTTAGGTAATTAACTCATTTCAATTCTTCATTGCCCCAAAAATGGAAATGCTTTGTTCAGAAAAAGAAAAAAAAGAGTTCTTTAAGCACACACTGGCTATAAAAGGTAAAAGCAATAAGAATAAACATTTATCCAAATTTAGAGTATAAACAGCTTGTGGAATAAAAGAATGCTTAGTTCTGCTCAGTCGCCTCTGAGGCACTGACCCTTGGGAATTTCAAAGTCAGTGTGCAGAGGGTGATCTGGACATTCAGAAACATATTTAGCTTTCTTTCTCACCCTCAAAAGTACTTCCATTTCAGTTGGATGTTTTCTGGACAACTTCACAATCCCAGACAATCTATTTTTGTTCTTAGCCGTCATGCAACCCCCAAGAAAGTACTTTCATAGAGTGGAAGTCTAATACAGTATGTTTCACTTAACATTCTGAACATGTTCACAAATCTGTGAACGTTCACATTTGATCATGGATATAAATATATATTAAAAAGACATGGTTCACCTGCAGTACTGATTTTAGAGATCAAATGGTTTGAAGTGAACTGCTTTAGAAATTCTTCCATTGTGAGGATCTCTGGCCTTAATAAGCAGCCACTCAGAAGATATGGGCAGAGACAGTTGACCTATTTTGCTGTGGCATTTAGACAATTTACCAAGGAGCCATAAGGAGTGGGTCATGGAAGGATGAGAGTTTAGACCTGCCCCTCAGGTCCAATTCTGTATACAACCATCTGGAGGCCTCCAAATAACCCTTCTTCTCACACTATCACAACATGACATGTTCTACAAAAAATACTGGGCATCTTAAATGAATACAGTGTGTTACTGTTAGGAGTGACTGACATGATACTATTGCACTACATAGCCTACAACCTCTCATGTCATCAAGACCCTGTTAAGCATATTAGATGTTTTAAAGAGCCCATATCCCACATTTCTTGTATATTTAATTTGTCCTTGAGGTCCACATCTGGCATTTGCAGGGGTTTATGTACAAAAAACAGCTGTAGTTCATGTACACATGACTGTTCACCCTTTAGAATTAAACATACTGCTTTTACTACTGTGCCCTAAATGCTAATATATGTACATCATCTTTATTCTGATTAGCTGAATGGTACTGTGCCTCATTCAAAATGCTGTTGTTGTGAAAAAACCTTGTATCTTCAAAATGGTAACTTTACAGGAGAAGGAAAAAACATACATTACTTTTTATGTAAGTCAATGGAACCAGATTTTTTCCAAGTCATTTTGGACCAGTTCTTTTGGTCCATTCATCAAATTTACACACAATGCAAAGGTCAACATGCACTTTCAAATTATGTCAAAAACTGAAAAACAACAAAAATGGAGATACAAGGTTTTGTTCCGACAACAGCGAAAAGCAGTCTGGGCTAAAACATGTAACTCTGTAATTTCCACGTAAATGGGTGGAGCTAAACTGCACTAGGCTGAATCGGTGAATGCATGTAAATGTGTTGGTTTTGGTCACAAAAATAATAAATTCAAAACTGCCTGTTTTTTTTAAGCTTAATTTCCAACTGTATCTACTGGGGAGTGAATAATACATTTGACAATTTAACAATTTTTGTTTTAACACCCAAAAAAAGCGAGGAAATGTTCTAATTAAAACAACTGGCCGCCCACTTTAAACTCCTGCTAAGAGGGTGTGTTCAGTTTTGGAAGGTAGTCCCAATGGTGTCAATACACAATTTATCAACTGCTTAAATTTTACGTAGTCATTGAATTTCTATTACATGGGGGGCAAAGACGATAAGTTTGTTCAGCACGTTTAAAGCACGCAGACCTCTCGCTGCCGAGCATTATGCAAAATCTGATACTTGGCACAAAAACATGGGAACGGTCTTTTGAGCAGAAAGCTGTTAGTTTGGAAAGCTCTGTTTCAAGCATCATTTGTCCTCGCTCATGAGCAGCAGTCTACATATTGTGATGCCGTGCCCTAACCTTTGTCTGCTGTAAGAGCACTTGTGAACAAAAAAACAAAACCATTATGTGCAACTCGGCTTCTGAAGTGGAACAGGCTCCACTTGCATTACATACTTTAGTTGCATAACAAACATTAATTCCTGATTCAAGATGATCTTACCTACAATGTATGCTGCTATCACTGTACTGTTCTTTTATTTTGCACACTTGTTTACATGGCATTCACTGTTGTACACTGGACACAACTGACCTTTGTCTGAAGCACGTATTGTGCCATGTAGTAATTTGTCTGTATCACGGATTTGGCATTGTGCTGTTATTATTTCAGGCTTGAGATTAGTAGAAAAGCTTTTTGTTGTAGCGAACTAAATTAAACCAAACCCTGTAGACAAAATGTCAACATAAGAAAAATGTTTCTGGTTTTAAATTCTTTTATCATGAAATCAGAGAGCTTACATACAAATGAATCATCTGCACTTCAGAACGCAGTCTATTGTGAGTAAGACAACTCCTATCAAATTAGCTCATTCAAAGTGACCACACGTTTATGGCTTCCACAAGCCCACACTTGCCTTCTGACTCAGCTCATCCTCTTTTCTTCTCTTTTCTTACTACAGTCACAGGAAACATCCTTCAAAGAAAACTTCCTACAAGCTTACTAGGAAAAGAGATGCATCTCAAAACAAAGAACTGAAAAGCCTTTCTGCTTATCGAGAAACCTCAGTCTCAGTGGAACTGTCCTGAAACCACAATCCAACAATGTCTAGATATCACATTCTTTAAAGAAACAAACCACCGATCTTTTCTAACCAACACAAACAGTGAAAAGTGCAGAGGAAGAGCTCAAAGTAGAAGGCTAGTGAGTCTGTCAGGGCTTCTCGCATGGGGCTGTGAAACGAGACACTTATCCCTTTGCCCTCAATTACCTCAAATCTTATTAAACACATCCTTCATCACAGAACAAAGGATTGGCCTCCCTAGAGTGGAGTTATAAGCAGACAGAACACCTCAGTAACATCATTTCGAAAGGGTTCCCAACTATGTTCTCATTCATGTAAAGCTGTGCAGACATCATTACACTTTTGAACCCAGACAGTAAGGATCACTGTTTCATTAACTTGAGCCTCCGTGTGTTTAAAGCTTAATTCAGTTTTAAGACTTCGCTTTATTCCTTTATTCAGAAAAGCAGTTTTTTCCAGCTCTAGCCTTTTATGGCATACTTTCAATTATCCGTTAAAAAGGTTATCATTGTGCATGTAATTTAGATTCAAGGCCATTCAAATGTATGCTTCTTCAATGCTAAAGATCATCGCACTGTTTTACTCATTAAATTATCATAAGCTTTCGATACTCTCTACCATTCTATTCAGCTCTAATGACTGAAATACTTGCAACAAGAGTTATGTGGGTTTTTTTTTTGGTTACTTGAGTTATGTTATTGAGTTTAGATTATGTTCTGTCAAAGTTTCCTATGATGAAAAGGCACCCCTTGAGAAGAATCTATACTGGTTTTGTGTGAATACTCACATTCAGAAAAGGTCAAGTATCATGTTTTGCTGATATTCTAAGTGAAAATACAGAGAGAATATATATATATATATATATATATATATATATATATATATATATATTTACACACAGAGAACACATTTTAATATACACAGATATAATAATATACACACTAAATGTTTAATGCGGGCAATATGATATTGTCTAGGCTGGTAAAATTAGGTTAATTATCTAGTTACACTTCTGTACTCTAGCTGCACTCTCTGTAAAGCCATTTAATTCACTGAAATACCTTGGGATCATTAAGAACATTGATCGAGGCAGATGAATGAAATAAGAAATAGAAAATAAAAGTAACACTGTCACCATGTTAGAAGAGACTACAATTTAAAATACCAGAGCAAGAAATAGACTGTTTGCTTTATAAGGATGATGTACTTTTTGTATCATAGCAAACTCCATTTTATTATGGTTTACACAGGTTTGCTGGCTTGTGTGCAGTTTTCACTTTCACTTTCTATTTTTCTTTGTTTTATGCTTTGTAACAGACATAGCAACTTGGTAAGAGACTCCAGTCTCAGCTGAAGTTTACCACTATAATTATTGACAAAAAATACACAAACAAAGCAAAGCTGTTAACATGCTAAATGAGAACAAAGCTCTGAGATCCAGGCAGGTCATGGTAGCTGTAATGGGCTTCTGGCATCTGATGCACCTGCTTTATTGGATTAGAGGTGTTGATACAACTTTCTTGTTAATAAGAAGATTGAATGAGTAAGTCAGATCTTTGAAACACTGTACTTCTTAAGTTTTAGTTGGCCATATTTAAAGCTCTCAATGACCAATAGCTTTAAGCACCACAAATGTAAAAGAGTATCTGAAACAGCATACGCTTCTTCAGCCAAAAATAGCCTATGACTGCCACACTAGGGGATAGCACAGATACATGAACACATATGGTTTTGGCTAGTACAGGGGGAGACAGATGGTACTGCAAGGATCTTGTTTTAATGTACTTCCTAATTTTTTTAAATTTCCTGTAAAGTAGTTTTGAGATCTATGTGAGGCTTTCTAGACTGACCAGAGCTATGACACAACAGCCTGTCACGCCACTTGGCCTTTACTGAATTGTGTTTCGAATATAATGCATCAAATGCAGTGTTGGGCAATACTGATTAAATTCAGTGTTATATTAATTTACAATTTTATCATGGCATCACAATATTTGATGATAAATAAGTTAAGCCTGCATTAATGTTTATCAACCCATGCTTCTAAGGACAGTTTTGTTTAGTACATATTATTGTAAACTTTCACCAGAAACCAGATTTCGAAAAAGGAAAAAGTGTGTGTGTGTGTATATATATATATATATAAATATATATATAAAATTTAAGCTTTCAAGACAATGTAAAGCATCTATCAAAAGATATACTTTGTAGTTTACTGTCACTAGGCTTAATCCATGTCAACGGAACTGGCCCATAATGCTTATTCATCATCAATACTGCCAAACCTGAACATCAATGTAGTGGTGTGGCATCAGTTATGATATACGATATACAGCCCAGCATTCAACAATTTACTGGATTTATCCAACCCAAAAAGTTTAAATGAAGCAATATAAATAGGTTAGTTGAACGAAAGCAAAAGTTTACATCAGTTCAAACCTCAAACACTTAAAATCTACTTCAGCTCTGTCCTACTTTTTACAGTTTATGCACCTGGATATGGTTTGCACACCGGAACGATCTCTAGCAGGATGCAGCTCTGAAAACTGAGACGATTCCAACCCTCATGACTTTCACAGTGACGTAGTCTTCTTACATTCTGAGCGTTTGAGGTGAACTCTCTTCTGGAAAAAGGTGCACAGAATCCAGGTTTCATAGCTGATTCGGGCAAACACACACAAAAGGGAGGATGTCTCTGGAGCACCTAAGGTGACAAAGTGGCTATCATATATCATTTAATAAGGTGTGATCACAAATTGATATATTGAAGCCACAAATTAATATATTGAGGCAACAAGTTAAGTCACACGTGGACACAAATTGATGTATTGAGGCCAGAAAATAATATATTCAGGCCACGTGCCCACAAGAAACTTAACTCGTGCCCTCAATATGTCAATTCATTGGTCACACCTTCTTAAAAAGAAAAGAAAAAAAAAAAATTCACCTTAGGGGCTCTGTGGATATCCACTCTCTTCTTAGATCCCAGAAATCATTAGCACTGAGTATCTGCTTCTTGGCAGTTTGCCCTGCTTCTGCCTTATTAGTCCAAAAGCAGCAATGATCCTCTCACAAAGCCCTTTTTTAAAAGGCCAAATAATGACACCCCCACTTTTAAAGTTATATGCCCATATTTAAAAAGAAATGATGAATCAATTGAAATTACAAATGACGTCCAGCACCTACCAGTGAACAAGTGAACGCACTGTGAATGTCTGTTAGCATGCTATCTTTTGTTATCTGTCTTCTTTCATTTTTATCAACAAACCCAGCGGATTGACGGCTCATTAACCTTACTTCTTTGTCACTGTACCGACTTGCTAGGTAACGAGGGCAAACTGGACAACAGCTCTTCTGGCACAATGCATGTAAACAGTGGCAAGGCTATGAATTTTTCCATCTCAGAGCAGCAAAACCTGTGTGTGACTCGTGCGCAAAATACTTCACAGCCATCTTGATGTGGAAACCCAGAGGTCTGAATGAATCAAACAAGTGGGAAGTGTGAAGTCATACTCGTTTGATTCATTCAAACCTTTTTTTCTTTGTCGCTGGACTGACTTCCTGGGTAACAAGGGCAAGGTGGACAATTGGTCGCATATGAACAGTTGCAAAGCTCTGATATTTTCCCCTCTCAGATCAGCAAAATGTGTGTGACTAGAGCACACAGTACCTCACAGTCATCCTGATGTGGAAACCTAAAGATTTGAATGAAACAAACTGAGATGGCCTCATACTGCCCACCAGTTTACACACCTTATGGTTTCATAACAGATATGATTCTCAAGAGCATGGCCAAGGAAACAACTCCCCCACTGTCATGTCTTTAAAAAACTGTAGAGCGAAGGTTAGATGGTGGAGCAAAAATAGACTTGAGAAAAAAAAAAGCTCTGGGTCACAAAGCCAGTACAGAAGCTCTTGTGTAGTCCATATAAAGGGCTACTTTACACTTGTTGAACACCAATTATGCGGTGCAGAAATGCAATATTTTATCACATTTTTTGGTTCTAAGTGTGAAATCAGCCTAAGGGTTGTAAAAGCATTTATGGTTTATAGCCTGTACTACAGCAAACCAATGGATACATTAGCTTGTTTACTGAACACAGGTGGTAAAGCTCCAGTAAACCCAGTCGGTTATGCAATGAATAAGATTTTACACAGATGCATGATGATATCTGCATCATAAGGCTTTTGGCAGATAACTCTCTAATAAATGAATTATCGATTATTCGATTTGGCTGTTATTTCAAACTGATATTTGACAATGTATTTATTTTACTCCTTAAATGTACAATGTTTAATTCATTTCACTGCATTTGCAAACCTAAAGAAGTGAATGTTAGATTAGTTTATAGTAATTAGGCCCCAATTTATACATTTTATGAGCGCTTATGTATCGGCATCAACAGACACGTGCATGAAAAACAGTGTATATCAGCATTGGTCTACTGTTCCAGTGTTGGCACATCCATAATATCTTATTCAGACCACTGAAGCCAATACTGAGGAAAAAAAACACACAAACAGGAAAAGCACTGGACATGTCTGATGGACAATCTTGGCGCTGATGGACACACAGGATGTTGCTGTTAACTGACAAAATCCTGCTCTGTGAACCTGCCCCCAGGATTAGGACTGAGTTAATAGATAATGACAAACAAACACTGTTTGCATGGAGCACTGGACAGGCTTTGTGGGAAACACAAGCCTCAAAAATAAGTTTAAAATGAAAGCTCTGTGTTTCACGGTGTAAGTGACCGTTCAGAGACTCCTTTAAGGAAGCCTGGCCAGTCCAGTGCGCTGGAGAGGCTGTATGATCCAGCCAATGAATCCCCATCAGTGTAGCTTCTGTCATGTCAGCATAAACATATTGTTCTGATTATCATGTAAACAGTTTGAGACACACTGATCTAAAGTTCACTCTAACTGCGGAATAAACTATTTTTGGCTGGAGCATCACATGAATCAAGGCGAATCGAAGTACAATTCATTTTTCTTACTTAGCATACAAGCTCTTCCTTCTCTTCTCTCAGCTCGAGCTCTCACATTGGCTTGTCATTGGACGTTATTCGACCAGAACAGCGAGCTAACTCATGTTTTCGCATTTCGCAGCCAAACTAGTCACCAAAAGCGAGTAGAAACGACTCAGAGTGACTCACCATGTCATACACGTTCAGAATAACAGGCTCGTTTGCCATTACAGGCGTTCCTCCTTTTTCTCAGCCCCGTCTCCTCCGCTCAGCGAAAGCAGCTAGCCAGCTAGCTGCTGCTGCCCTTTAACGATGGGTTTCTCGTTTTGAAAGTCTTTGACCGCAGCAGTTCGCTAATCTGGATGGTGTCGGTCCTCTTCGCCTCTGTAGTTTAAACACAAGACAATGAAAACAGTAAAAGCGGGCTGTACAAACAGCAAAACCCCAGTAACGTTACACCGCAGTATACTTCCTTACCATTAGCCGCCAGTGAAGCTGTAGCGCCGCGGCTAGCTTTAAACCACAACGGCTACATGAACTAACGTTACTAAAGCGAGGCAGAGACACGGAGAGCGGAGCAGCGCGGAGACTCTCGCTGTACAACCTGTAAAAGTGCGAATGTCGGTGAAATTTCAACCATCCAAAAACAAGGCGACGTAAAAAGCTTCTCGAGCGAGTGAATGGAAACGTATTCCGAGACAATGTAACATGAAGATCTTTTAGCACCCGAATTTCAGTAACTAGAACCTCCTTAATGAAGCAGCGGGGGCGGATCTCTCTCTCTCTGTCTCTCTCTCTCTCTCTCTCTCTCTCTCTCTCTCTCTCTGTACCGTTTAATGTCAACGCGAGACAGTTTCTTTCCTCGGATAAAAAAAAGGCTTTAAAGCATCCTAATTACTTATTTGACTTATTTTGATTGTAATGTGTTTTTTTTTGCAATTGTTTTTATAAATGCAGTACAAGCTAAAACATATATTACACACATCTATCTATACATCAATCAGGCATAACATTATTCCTTGTTTCAACGCTCATTGTCCATTTAATCACCTCCACTTACTATATAGGTGCACTTTGTAGTTCTACAATTACAGACTGTAGTCCATCTGTTTCTCTGCTTACTTTGTTAGCCCCCTTTTACCCTGTTCTTCAGTGATCAGGACCCCCATGGACCCTCAAAGAGCAGGGACTATTTGGGTGGTGGATCACTCTCAGCACTGTAGTAACACTGATGTGGTGGTATGTTAGTGTGTGTTGCGCTGGTACGAGTGGATCAGACACAGCGGTGCTGCTGGAGTTTTTAAACACCTCAGTGTCACTGCTGGACCGAGAATAGTCCACCAACCAAATATATCCATGTGGGCAGCGTCCTGTGACCACTGATGAAGGACTAGAGGATGACCAACACAAACTGTGCAGTAGCAGATGAGCTATCGTCTCTGACTTTACATCTACAAGGTGGACTGACAAGGTAGGAGTGTCTAATAGAGTGGACAGTGAGTGGACACAGTGTTTAAAAACTCCAGCAGCACTGCTGTGTCTGATCCACTCAGACCAGCACAACGCACACTAACACACCACCACCACATGAGTGTTACTGCAGTAAAAGGGGGCTAACAAAGTCTGCCGAGAAACAGATGGACTACAGTCTGTAATTGTAGAACTACATAGTGCTCCTATATAGTAATTGGAGCTGACAAAATGGGCAATGAGTGTTGAAACAAGGATAATCATAGAGTCATAATGTTATGCCTGATCGGTATATATATATATAAGATATAGAGGATCAGGTTTAAGATTTTAACTTCTCTTACTTTACCAATATTTTCCATTCCTCACTGGACTGGTGGAAAAGCGGAATGAGAGTGTCAGTCTGTGCCCATTCTCTCCATATGGCTCTAATTTTCTGTGGTATCCCTAAATCTTCCCATATGTTTGAGTAGGATACTATCTAGTGCAGTGTCTGTAGCTACATTAAGCTGAGTGTAAAGCTTGAGAGTGAGATAAATAATGTAGCTTGTTCAAGAAATGTGTGCATGTTAGTTCCAGGTTATTAGTTCTACAGCATTTATTTGTTGGGTTATTCAAAAAAGACTCTGGCTGTGTTTCTGTGTGGATCAGGAGGAACTGAGATCAGTCCAGGGCTGACAGCAGAGAGAGAAGACATTGCGTGGCTAGAGCAAACTGAAACTGAAAACTGTCTTCATGTATGACATGGTTGTGACCAACAACCACAGGTTAATAAAGCACCATGACTTGTGCGAGAGCTGTGTCTCCATTAAGGGGGAACGCTACAGGAGGTGTCAGTAGCAAAAGGTTTCGCTGACAGGAAAGGTTCAGACTATTCAGCCTCTAGCAGCTAAGCTATGTAGCTTGGAGTGAGGATGGAGCACGCTGTTTGTGTGACAATATAAGAGGACAACAGCATCTTTAATTTTAGATAGACGGGCTAATTCTCACTTGCCTCCTTCTGTGCAGAGTGGTGGTCAGTCCAAAACCAGTTCATCATGGCACTGTCTCCAACTGAGCTGCAACTCTACACTGACCTGGCTCACCCACGTGACCTGGAAGAGGCCCTGGAGAAGGCACTGGAGAGAGAAATGGTGTTATCAGCAGCTGCACAGTGCACGGACGTTATCAGTCCTGCAGTCAGAACTGTGGAGGAGTCAAGTGAGTCGTCTAAGTCGGCGTGGGTGGAGGACATGACAGAACTGATCCGAGGGCTGGCCATACCCACAGCCATACAGCTAGTGGGACTGGGTCACCAGTACTGGACGTGTGGCTGACTGGGACATCTGGCTGGGGCTTGTCTATTGGGGGTGAAATCAGTGGGAAAGAATGCTGGCTTAGTCAACAAGAACAGCATAGGCAGTAAACAAACAGGGGCTGTGGGGGGGCAAACATCCATATCAGACTTCTGCCGTATTTCCATTGACTCTGAAGGAGTTCCATGCTCTGCTTTGGTTAACAGGGAGTCGTCAGTCACAGTGGTCTGGCCAAAAGTAGTACCTGCTGGGTTCGAGCTGGAAGGCATGGCAGTTCATCTCCACACTGTGAACAGTGAGCTAGAATCGATAATGGGGAGGGGATGGCTGATGCTGAGAGTTAGGAGCAAGACGATACACCGCATAGTCTTTTTGATAAGCACCGGGTGCCAAATAAACCTAGAGAGTGCCATGCTGAGTTCCAGAGGTGGGCATGCGGTGATGAAGCCAATGGATGCCCAGTGCGTAGTGGAACACTCAACATCAGAGCCAATTTGAGGATCTCTGGGGTCAGAGTGTACAGTCAGGTCAAGGGCAGGACAGCTTTTCATGGGCAGTGCACATGAACAGCACCCTCGCCAACAGAAAAAGCGGAAGGTGGCCATTAGAAATGCTACTGCTCCTGTTATCACCCCAGTACTGGACTTGATGCTGTGAGCTGTGAGAAGTTCTGCCATGCTGAGAAGGAGAACGCGGAGCTGTGCGCATGTTGCTGTGTCTAGTGTGAGGTACAGAAGGGACGGGTCCCAGTTCAGTTCAAAGACTTGGTAGTTCCTCTGGAGTGAGAACCTTTGTACAGGGTAGTTGTAGTGTAGTGTGTTCAAGAAATTTATGCATTCTACAGCATTTATTTGCAGGGTTATTCTATAAGGACTCTTACTGTGCAGGCGGGGCTAGTCCACCAGCTGTGTCTCTGTGTAGATCAGGAAGAACTGAGATCAGTCCAGGGCTGATGGCAGAGAGAGATAAGATGTTGCGTGCTAGGGCAAACTGTTAGAGAAAACTTTCTTTATGTATGGTGTGGCTGAGGACAACAACAGCTGGTTAATAAAGCACCACAACTTGTGCAAAAGCTATGTCTCCTTCAGCAGCGGAAATGCTACAATTCTTTTATCCACTCTCTGACTCAGATCTCTAAAAGGTGTGGTCATTTCTTTTTAAGTCATAACATTTTCCCCTTCACATTATCATAGCTGTCAATAAGTTAAGCTAAGCTTTGTGATGTCCACGTTTACTGATTTTCACTGCAGAAATAAGTATGATTTCTGCCCTGCATATTATCCTTGGTATTACTTAATATCAGACCCAAACAATCTTAGTTAAGTGGTATCACCAATTCCCACTATACATAGGAGAAGGCGACCACCCCACATTCAGCCGATCAGGACAGAGTTGTGTCTACTTGCCTGTCAACCAATCAGGAAATGGGGCTGTATAAACTTGTCAATCAATCATGTTGCACTTCCACAACAGAGTACTAACAGACCCCTGAAGTCGTACGTCATGTGGTAGTCGATGACATGACCATACAAAGAAACTCCAGGTCTATGATAGGAAAAATTAATGACGTTTTCACTGGATTCAGTGGTTTAGACACAGCAGTGCTGCGGGAGTTTTTAAACACCTCAGTGTCACTGCTCAGCTGTGAACAGTACACCAAGCAAAAATATCCAGCCAACAGCTTCCTGTGGGCAGCGTCCTGTGACCACAGATAAAAGACTAGAGGATGACTAACACAAACTGTACAACAGCTCTGGTGTCTGATCCACTCACACCAGCACAACACACACTAACACATCACCACAATGCCACTGCATTGAGCTGAGAATGATCTACTACCTAAATAATGCCTGCTCTGTGGTGGTCCTGTGGGGTCTTGATCATTGAAGAACAGGGTGAAAGGCGGCTAACAAAGCATGCAGAGAAACAGATGGACCGCGGTCTGGAATTGCAGAACTAAAAAGTGCACCTTCAAAAGTATTGGGAAGCACCTCTTAATCATTGAATTCAGGTGTTTTATTCAGTCGCATTGCCACAGGTGTATAAAATCAAGCACCTAGCCATGCAGTCTGCCTTTTCAAACATTGGTGAAAGAATGGGTCGTTCTAAGGGGCTGGGTCATTCTACAGAAACGTCCACTTTTCTATCTATCCATAGGTGTCACTGGTGTTACCAATCCTCATTGGTGTTACATATAAGAAAGGTAACACCAGTGACATTTTTAATAAAAAATACATTTTAAAAAATGGCTGCTACAGAGCATCAAACCACATGTTGTCAGTCATGGAATATCCACTAAAATATATGATTTAATCCATTTGTGTTCTATTTTTTCACAGTGACCTCAGAATAAAGTAGGTCACACCAGTGACATCAACTGAAAGCTTCATATGAAATCATGAGCTAAATGAGAAAATTTCTGATACCTGAAAAGACACAGTGGACTTACCATGTGCTTTTTTCATGGATCCTCAGAAAATAGGTAAAAGGAAGTCAAGTGATGTCATCAGTGTGATTTTTATTTCAAAATAAGAGATTTTTTGTTACGCGGTAACACCGGTGACACGACTCCTGGGGACAACGTTTGTTAAATATTTTTGTAAGATTTATTTGGCATTGGTTTTCTTGTCATTTAATTTATATATTCCATGATCATGTATAGATTATTGTAGTTAAAACTGCAGAAAAATGTGTTTTTTTCTTCAAAATATGGCCTCACCCTTCACACGTGACTGTGGGGACAAGCACTTCTGTGGTGCTTGGAATTCTAGATGATTGATTTAAAAAACAATATTGCTAAATTGATGGCTGTAGAAGGTGTAATTGTTAAAAGAACTTATTGCTTTATTTTAAAATATAAAAAATGTAACTCTAACATGTTTTTAAGTGTAATATATCTCTAAACGCTAGGGACACAAAAATGGACGTTTCTGTAGAATGACCCGGCTCACTGAATTTGAGCATGGTATTGTAATAGGATGCCATGTTTCAACAAGTCAGTT